AAGAACTTCTTTGTGTATGAATTGTCACAAATTTTTAAGCAAAAAAGTTCGAATGACTTCTTGCGCGGAATGGTAGCTGGCGTTTTCCATCACGACATCACTGCTTGATGGAATATTGGAAAGATATTTTTCAGAAAACTATATTTCATAGTAGTCAACCTTTGCATCTTCGCCATCCTTTGCATCAACCGTCTCACTATTCACCATTCACAACTAAGTCGCAAACCGGGAAAACAACCATTATATACCATCTACATGAGATTTGTGTTGCCTTCCTAGAAAATTATTTTTGAGTCAATAATTGTAAAAACGGTATATCGTCCTGTGAACTTTAAGAAACATTCTTAAGTGAAAAAAGGACTTAGTTCCAGGTTTTACCTGGATCTAGGTAATCCTTCGCGTAGTCGTTTGCCTCGTAGACAACCACCATTCAATCGTCGCTGTATTAGAATCACTGAAAACTGGACTGGACCGTATTCGTCCAGTTTGTTTAACCTTGTGACGGTGACGTAGGCGACGTTTGACATTTTATTCGGACGTAGCGGTCGCAAACATGCGCGAAACCGTATTCGTCGCGTATATTCCGGTCACAGTTGTTGCGTCGTCATCGCGCGTATCGGTTCTGCCGATGTACAGTTCCCCCCTGCTATTTTTATTCGGTGGTAGTTTTAGATATTCGTTAGGACTGAGATCGAGTTTATCAACGTATATAAATATATAGATATATTAAGTGTTTGATTGTTGTGATGCCGGGCGGGAACGCGTTTATTTTTTTTGAAGGCTGCGACCGTTGAGCCGACGTTTCGGACGTCTCCGGTCAGTCTGGCGCTCCCGCCAAAATTCCTATAGCCGCTTTGTCCGTTGAATAACGTTCCTGCCATAGAGTTCACCGCGCGCATTCGATAGCAATAGTTTTTTGCGTGTTTACGTGTATACTTAGGTACTTGACCTACGTGTTAGACGTTGTAGCGGCGACACATATCTCAGTGCGGGCCCCGCCCACCGATTCCACGATACCGTGGTTCCTGATAATGTGCTTCTTCCTTCGCACGCGCGACGAATGCCAAATTTTTGTAGCTCCGAGACGGACCGGCCGTTATCGCGTAGTTTTTAAAAGACGAAAACGTCTATACTCGATTGCCAGTTTCGCGTTTTGACAATGACCAAAAGGCCGAAATATTTTCGTAATGTTCGGGACAAGGTTACGTTCCGCTTAAATTCGTGAGAAGGTGCGGGAGTTTTGTGAGAGTGTATGTCGGTAAATTATCGTTAGTCACTGGGCGTCTCTTAACGGCACACTTCTCTTGAAATCCGGGTTATATTACGTTTATATTATGGAACATTGCGGCCGTATCGATCGTTAAAAATAAAACTCACAAACAGAATGAAACGGCCAAAGTAGTCGCCGGAATTTATCGCAAATATCAAAATGACAGCGGGGCGCCATTTCAAATATTTTCTTAAATGTTACCATGTGATACCTCTGCTTAAAGGTCTTTTCGCGTTCTATTCACGTATACTTAAACCAGAAATATAGTAACTGACCCCGTGATTAATTTTGCCTATTGTTTATTACTCCAAAACCGCAGACCCTTATAGAACCGTACCCGTAACCATTCCAGGATCTGTGGATGTACTAAACTTAGCGAATAGGAGTGAAACTTTCGTTTTCTAAGGTACTTATGCCCGGCTGTTGCAGAGACTTCACATCGAAGTATTAAATACACGCGGATATGGAAAAGTAATGAAACTCCAATGATTTTAAAAGAAATATTAAAAAAAAAAACAGTTTAAATGGCACTGACAAAACGATTAAATATTTTAACATTTAAGTGAAAGTAATCTAACATTATCACCTCGTTCAACCTTACGATAGTAATAATTATTATTTGTATTAAATTAAGTCGTAATCAAAAAACAGACTAATCAAATGAAAGGACCTTTAAAAAGAGGTAAATTATGTCATCACGAACAGCCCCATAATTATCCACTTGATAGAGTTCTAGCATGATCATTTCGGTTAATCCGTCATAATCGTGTCATGTTTTCGATATTTTGTAACACGTCCGCGACCAAAAGACTTAAAGATTCGCGATTCAATTAAAATTGACATTTTTCACGACTCTCGCCACAGACCACCGAAAACGCTTGGCATTTTATCAAAACTCGCCCAAACATAACGTCTAAATATCATCTGTCGATTGAACCGATACGTGACATATGGTGAACGCGTTCTGTACGCCAGGTGGCACTTTCAACGATTTCGATAATTGCGTAATGCTTTTTCTTGACAGACGTTAAGGAACGCCCCGTATAATATAGTCGACGACGTAGTGACACTGCTTGTAGTTAAGCCGGAGCTCCGTTTCCGGGAATTTTTGCATACGCAATCTAATCTAAAAGAAAATTATTTGAACTTAAGACTGATGCATACTTTCAACTACTTATGATACTAAAATGGAGGCAATACATTGTAATATATATTTTTGAGCTTGTTGACTATTTGGTGAAATTAAACGGTATTAGTAGAGGCCTATAGAGAAACGCGGCTGCTTGGCCTACAATTGCATGCGCTTTCTTGTCCCCCTTCCCCCTCCCCCACAACCCAAATCGTTCCGCCATTATACTGGTAGGGTTTTCGGTAGCAGGTCCATAAGGGTCGAATATCCGAACACATTTTTGGGACTAATTAGGTAACGTTATATGTCTGAGCAAGGTTGTGATTCGAAAATCATATTTTTTTGTAACGTGCACAATTGAAACCGTACATTTTTATCGGACCCCTATGAAGACCCATCGAAACCTGACCGGACCCGCAAACAGTGGACCACAAAGTACGTCGAACATTCCACTCGTTCGCCAATCATTCCTGTTCTCTCGAACGTTGTTAAATCAAAAATGTTATGAAGCGTAGCGATGTTTCAACGGAACAAGGACCAAAAAACGAATAATTTGAAAAAATACTGTTAGGTCGTTTGACGTGCGACGCCGGGCGATTTTTGTGGTCCGTGATCGGGCGCAGTATATCGAGGTTAGCATCGTCGGTCACGTCCGTCAATGTCAAACGGCCTCGGCGCAACAAATGCCGTCCTTGGGAGCATTAACTGAGTACGGGTTTTTGCGAGTTATTAGTGTTGCGGTCCTGCGATATTTTGTAATACGATGTTAAAAGTGTAGTGAGAGTGATCCCACTCGAATTTAAACGGAGCACATTATCTGGCTATAGCATTTCGTGTATACACTGTTGGTCCTGTTAAAAAAATATCTTGAATTTATATGTTGTAACGATAAAAGTATTTTTAAAAATTTGAAAAAAAAAAACGGTTGCAGTCCGACCGCGCCGAGGTCGGAGTGATTTTTTGATTATTTGTTTCTTTATTGAAGGAGGTTTCTATTTTTCATATAGACCAGTTTCTTGTTATTATATAATGTAAGTGTGCCTAGTCATTAGAGTTCGGGTCAATTTATGAATTTAAAAGTAAGTCGGTTTTCCATCTAATAGGTTTGTCGCGTCGTTCTCTTTTCAGCAATCAGCAATATATTATGTCGATCGGTTAGTTTCATTTCGATGCAACTGTTCGTTGACGATATTTTACATCTATATTTATTATTATTTGATAAGTGAATTTTCAAGTCTATTTAAGTATATTTGATGATTGCGTCATATCAGTTTGTTAAAAGCGTGTATTATTGCAGTGGTGTATCTAATAAAGCATTTTGTTTGCTTCAAGCCCGTGTCTTGCTAACCCGTTCCCTTCATCCGCAAAATATCCTTAGAGTGCTTCGATGTTTTTAAAGAAATCATAATTTTATATCTGACGGGACATAGCGTACGTCCTAGGGATATACTGTTTCAGCTTAAGACGTGTCAAGGATATATGACGTTACTAATTGGAACGTCCACAGTATATCAGATACGTATGTCCGTAGGATGTTCGTCAGAACATCCTAAGGATATCAAGATATACCTTACTTATTAGGTTATTTTCAACAAACTATGAGAAATACTGGAAAGGTAATGCGCAGTAGTCCAATTAGTTGTACGATTACGACCATTCTTTCCCAGTATTTGGTACTCGGGTGTGATGGAATTATAACCTATTGGGTATGGTTAATATTTAATATTTAATTTTGCTTTTGACGGAAGCCATAATACCATTAACAAAACACATTTTATACACATGTGATTTTTTTCAATTGTAGATATGAAAAAAATGTAGATACATAATATAGCGGAAATATAGAACAAACTAACCTAAAGTATCTCAAATATAGAGTAAGAGACTATATCTTGAACTAAACGCGAAAAGAATAACTAACATAACTTTCCATCTCGTGAAAGGTGGAACTATGGTATTCACAAAAACGTTTTCAAAAAAATTAAGGCATTTTTGTCTTGCCAAAATTTGAATTCATACATATTTTATTTACGTTGAAGTTTATAATTTTTAGATATTTTATTTTTATTTTTTACGATACATAAAAAAGTATTTCGTATTCGTTTCGTTCGTTAATTCTATGGAAACTGGAATTTTGCCATTAGTAATAAAGTTGAATGTCCGCAGTTGCCCATTATAAAAAAATATGTTTTCGGATGAAATCATAAAAACCGTAAACGTAAACAGAAATTGGTAATATTTTTACGTTGTGCTTTTTGTGTTGGCCTCAATAAAAAAAGATTTAGTAAAATAGGAGTTCGATTCAAATCATTTAAATCACTTGATTAAAATCCCTGGCTACAGCTAATATATCGAATAATTATTCGCAAGCTTCCACGAACGCTATGCGTTACTGCTTCTTTAAACTCTTTCAAGAAAAACGAAAATACTACATTTGAGGTTTTGCCGAACGCTGTTACTTTTGCTTACATAGGTGGTCTGTGGTCGGACCACGTCTGAGCATGTTACAGTTGCATAAGAATTTACCGGTCCACTGTTAGAACTTTTATTTTCATGCTTTAGTCAAACGAAAGATAAAAGAAAACTACAATGTATGCAATGTAGCTTTTAATATAGGATGACGCGTCACATCACAGATAACGTAGCCACTTCGTGAGCGATTCCGCACAAATTGTTTCCGATCGCTATATACAAATAACCTTGGTCGCCGAATTCGTCGCCCCAAGAGTTGCGAACGATATAGTGCGGCACGTTTTGCGACAGGTCGTAGCCGACGATTTGCACCGCGTGGTTGAGACTGGCGGCTTCACCGTCGCAGTGGAACTGGATAACACCGCCCACGTAATTTTGCCAAGTCTGCGCGTTGACGGCAACCGCAACGGGACCTTCTGTCGCCAGCAACGTCAGCAAAAGATTCTCGTTTCCCACGAGACTGAACAAAACGTGTATTATTAAATTTATGTTTACGTGCGACAATTGTCGCACCATCCAACCGTTAAAGCTAATTTCGATTTCGTGACTACCGCATAAAGCAGAAGAGGAAGAAAAGAAGAAGACACATCATCGGCTTGCGAAAGCGAACTGCAATTAGGTTTTAAGGTTAGTTTAACATTAACATCCGCATTAGGATTTCGAATGTTATAATTTGTTACAGGACTAAAGTGAAGCTCCACGTCATAGCATTAAAGAAATTGCGAAATCGGTTGCCATTTTTAGTATTGGGAGTTTAAGAATAAAGAACGTAACTGGGGAACATAAGAGCAACACAATAACTTCTATGGTACACTTTTTATTTTGGTAAAACCTACCTCAGGCAGACAAAGTCATCGATCCGTACCCCCGGAAGAGAAGCGTTCCACCTGCATTTATGCGGTCGCAACACGAGCGGATACTCGGACTCTTTAACCACACTGGCGTTATTACTTTTTAACCAACTGAGCAGGGAGCAAATGTCGCCCCCTTTGCAACCGTAGTTGTTCGTCGAGCAGTCTATCATTTGCTGGACGCTCAACTGTGCCAGTTCTCCGTGACGTATAGCGTTTAAAGACTCCACGGTCTCGACGACCGCAAACGCCCAGCAGGCGCCGCAGTCGTTCTGATTTTTTATTTTTGTTATCGCCCGTTTCTGGCGCCAGTCGACCTTTTCGGGCAGCGCGAACGCCGAACGTCTGTTTTCAGTTATTTCAGGTATTAATTTCCCATCAAAATAACGTTGGCCCAAATATTGCGATCGGAACTCTTCGGGGGACATATCTGAGAACTTCGTCAGGCCGTAATTGGCCGATCTACTCGACCGGTTTTTGTTGAGAAAATTTATGGTTTGTAAAGAATTCTGTAAGCATGGCTAATAACTTATTTGAAATACCCAAAAATTTGCACGTACATCACCTCGAAATGTCTCATCCTTCGGTTATAAGTGCTACTGTCCCCGTAAGATTTATTGAACTCCGTAAGGTACTCATCGAATAGCTGCCGGAGGTTGTTTTCGTCTTGAATTCGGACGGGCACCATGAAAAACAAGAGCGCGACGTAGCAAGCTATCTCCAAATAAACACCACAACCGTTTAGCGACATTTTTAATACGATAAATGCGTGTTGACATTGCAAAGCCTAATCAAAGAACGCGCGTTCCAAAGTCTTTCGGTGCGTTAATTTAATTTTAAATCGGCCTGCGTTATCTCCGAAAACAAAACATTTAAATTGCATAATAATGAAAGCACCACAGAATACGGAGGTCGTTTCATAGATTTCGTGGAATTTAGGTTCCAAGGGTGTGTGTGCAACTTTGCCTACGTCGTTATTTTTCCGTAATTTTTATTAATTTAAAATTTTATCATATTAAATAATTAAATATTAATTTGCGTTATATTACGCGTGTAAACGTATCCAATAAAATTATGCTAATTTTAAGTTTTTATGGCATGTGTGTTGGCAACGTAGGCTAGGTTGGCAACATCACCGAAAATGACAATCGCAAAATTCAAGAAAGTTTTTGTATTATTTTTTTTTATTTATAAAAGTAACGAGAACCGTAAAACCACGTATTTATTCACGGCATTACATCCACCAAAATTAAGTTTTCAGATATTGTTGGAAATAAAACCAATAGTATCGTAAATATTTAGAATATTGAATGCAATGAAATACAAACGACAAAAAGGTAAATAATTTAATTATAAAACGGATTATAAGTGACCCAGTGAGCGCGGTCCTGTTCTTTTTCCGACTTGTGACTGGTGAATATGGACTTATAAACGTCTGTCGCTTTTTTGTCTTTTGCGATGCTGTAATCGGGCTTCATCTTCCTCAACTCCTCGGCCTTGGATACTTTGCCGGTGGCAATGACGTTACCGATTCGGGATGACGACACGGGTTCATCCAGTTTAATTTTCTTCGGTTTGGACTCCTCACACTTCGAAACACTGCTCGATTGCTTCATTGTTTTAGGTTGGAGTTCACCGTTAATTTTTCTCTTGTCTTTCACCGCTCTCATCAGTCTCTGTCTAGTGAGCATCCTCTTTTTCATGAGCTCCAAGTCGTCAACGGTTCCGTTAAGTACCACGACGTCGTCATCTTCAAAGGTTTTGTTACACTTGTGGCAGGTCCGTGAATTAACTTCTTTGTAGGCCCGTTCGGAGAATACGCAACCGCAGCTCCACAGAGCTACGAACCTAAACTTGCCACCCATTTCCAAACCCAGCACGGGACAGATATATGGGGCGCACTCGTCGCGAGACGGCTCGTTTTTCTTATCCTGGTCTTTATATTCCGGATTCTTCGTCAAGTTCAAATCCTTCACGTCTTTCAAGCTCCTGATGTGTCTAAATTCTTCGGCTAATGAGCTTCGGTCAAGCAACGCCTCGATCAGGGCCATTTTGTTATAAAGCTTGCCGAGGTGGCAAACCACCACAGGCTCCTGCAAAAGTTCCTGCGTTATCGCGCAACATTTCCAAAGGAATGCCAGCTCGGCGTCTTTATCCTTCGATTCGGGCTTTTTTTTGATCCTGACAAGCTCATCTCTCCTGGGAATAGTTCCGCCATCGCAACCCATTGCGGCTCTAAAATAACTGAACGGATAACTAACATAGTACGACTTTTTCGTCTATGGATTTTACCTGTTTGATTAAATGCTATCTGTAAGTACTCCTTTGTGATGAAAATTTAGAAAACTCGCAATCGCAGATGACTTACGCACAGATGATCTGTATTTTTATGTACTTTGGGCACACTCTTCAGGGACACTCGCCCGTTCACATGGATGACAGAAAGCTGTTACTAATACAATGAAAAAATGTAAAAGATTACAGAAATAATGGTTACAATGTGTTACGCGATTTTGTAATTTTCTGCGATCAACCGACCATTCATTCATCGATCGAAAGATCGTGCCAAAAAGTAGAGAGAGGCATGGTAACGCATGGTCACCACTTGTATTCAATTTGAGCTTAAGAATAAAGCTTCTAAATAAACTCACTTTGTTTTTGTTTTTGGTGATAGTTAATCGTTTAATGCCAAAAAAAATTATTGAATTTTCCTGACATTGCTTGCTTTACCAAATTCTTTTCTTTGAATTTCATTCCGTGGTTCTTTCACTCCTGTATCTTAAATATGGTGGGTATAAAATTTTTGTAAATAAGGATAAGAATCTCCTTTTTGCCGAGCCATCATTTGCTAGTATTTTTTGCAATCACGTAAAATAGTACTGGTATATTTTATCCAAAGTTGTACAATTCATATTTCTAAAAACTGTTCCCTAATTTTATTATAACCTTTAATTTTGTCACTAAAGATTATTGTTTTCAGTCCACACACAAGAAAAAGACCAGGAAATTGAGGGGGCATGTGTCCCACGGTCACGGACGTATCGGTGAGTTGTTTTCGCTCTTCAAAATCTTTTTAAGTGATGTTGTTCTCGTGATGAAGTGAAGAACGGGCGGTATGATACCTATTCGTTGATTAATGTTCTTTTTCTGACATTTAATCGTTTAAAAATATATACATTAATAACTGGCCCAGGTGTTCTAATGTTATTTCTGAATTCGCAGGTAAACACCGTAAGCATCCCGGTGGGCGGGGTAACGCTGGCGGTATGCATCACCACAGGATAAATTTTGACAAGTATCATCCGGGTTATTTTGGCAAGGTGCAGATTTTGAATAGTGTTTGGCGTTTCATACTCAGTGATATGTGGCTGTATTTCTTTTGCAGCTCGGTATGAGAAATTACCATGTAAGGAAGAACAGCAAGTGGGCACCCGCAATTAATTTAGATAAATTGTGGACGCTGGTCAGCGAGCAGACCAGGCTGAAGTACAAGGACCATCCGGACGGTAAAGCCCCGGTTATAGACATAGTGAAAGCCGTAAGTCGCCCGTAGCTGTAACTTTGCTTATAATATCAATTTGCTTATTTTCAGGGATATTACAAACTTCTAGGCAAAGGTCTGCTGCCTAAACAACCCGTTATTGTTAAAGCGAAATTCTTTTCGAGATCGGCGGAGGAGAAAATCAAAGCTGTCGGCGGCGCTTGCGTCTTATCTGCCTAAATGTGAATAAATTTTTGAAAAAAAATTGTGAATTTTTTTACGTTTTGTTTACTACAAATAGTTTTAGTCAAAATGGAAGGTAAAAGGAGATAAATTGGGAGATTTTACCTGTAGTGCGTAGGTGTCATCTAATTGCACATTGTTGGCATATTGTCATATTTATTCGATTTAACCTGAAAATATAAAAATCAATTATAAGTTTTGAAAATAATTACAAATTAAAAATACGCCAATAAAAGGACGTCAACTCATATGATGCAATTAAGAAATATATAAATAAAGCGCAGTTTATATTCTTAAAAATTTTGAATTGTGAATAACGTTTCATAAACTTAACGAACATAACTGGTGAAAATTAAATAAAATTTTAAAGCATGTTAGCGAGATACTTCTGCTCTATGGTCTATGGAATAGCAGCCAATCCACAAATAATTGGATATTTGGCAACAAGGGTTGGTCTATTCTATAAATAACCAAGGGTGCGCCAACCAACACTTTTGTCACCGATTTTAATAATCAAATTGGATGAATGGATTATATCTTGTAAAAACATACAAATGAAGACAAATCTCACACGATTCAAGGTCGTCTCCAAGGTTAAATTGTTTTCCGTCACTTACCAAATTCACGGAACGCGTAATGACATTTCTTCGATAATATTTAGTGATCTCTGCCATTGACGGATTGTGGTAGAACATCGAAAAAATAAAAATATTTTTTGGGAATCTGCAATCATCCAAAAATTTCGACGTTTTTTTCGAATAAAAAATAAGGAAAAATGACCGTTCCGAAAGCTTCCGGAGATTCGGCCAAATACAACAGCCTTGCCTACAAGGATAAAAGTAAACCCGCCGATGTCAGATCGAGCAACATTAACGCCGCAAAAGGTAAACAATCCGCGGCAAATTAAGCTGGGAGTGATTTTTGATGTTGGTTGCTTTAATTAATTGAAATTTTCGTTGTGCTTTACAATAATGCGTTTGAATCGGGGTTCTAGGGTTTTGAGAAGCTGTCCAAATAACGTTTTCAAATTTCAGCTGTCTGCGATGCGATTCGCACGAGTTTGGGCCCCAGGGGAATGGATAAGATGGTACTGTTTGTACATGTCGAAGAACGATTTTGTTAATTTAATTTTCTTTTAGATTCAAGCTGGAAACGGGGAAGTTACAATTACAAACGACGGGGCCACAATTCTGAAACAAATGAATGTTATCCATCCAGCTGCAAAGATGGTACATTTTTCGTCGCATTTCCATGTTTTATTGCAAACGTAATTGTAATTCGTAGCTGGTGGAATTATCGAGAGCTCAGGACGTCGAAGCGGGCGACGGTACCACCTCTGTCGTTGTTATTGCCGGGGCGTTATTGGACGCTGCCGAAAAATTATTAAGTAGAGGCATTCATCCGACGGCAATTTCCGAATCTTTTCAACGGGCAGCCGGGCACGCCTTAGAGATTTTGAATAATATCGCCACACCGGTCGAGTTGAACCACAGAGAACAACTCGTCAAGACCGCTTCGACTTCTTTAAATTCGAAAGTGGTGTCCCAGCAGTCGAGCCAGTTGGCCCCTTTGGCCGTGGACGCGGTTTTGAGGGCCGTCGAGCCGGGTAAGATTACAATTGAGCGTTTATTTATAAGATTTAAACCCCTTTCTTTCAATTTTTTCATTGTTAAACTGTTATTAGTGGAAATACGTTTCGTTAGGGAACATCCGCCGACTTACTGGTTACATTTGTTTAAAAAAAAAAAACTGTAGATTTTATGGAAATTTTGCATATATGTACTAAAAATAGGGGAAACCTGGGGATTCCAGCTTATAGCCCCAAGACCTTATGGAATGACCATGATAAACTTAAAACTGAATTGCTTTTACAGCCTTAATTTCAAATTTAATCTTTTGGAAAAAATGTTTATTTAATTTATTAAAATGTTAATTTACATTTTTAAGGGCAGATTTGATCTCTTAATTTTTTTGTCTGTCGCAGGGTTTTTACTTATACATACTAATTTCTTTAAACGAAAAAAAAAAAAAACAAATCAAGGTTTGAGAAAATATACAGGTATTTTTAAAATAATGTGCAACACTAAACGATGCTTCTTGTACATGTGTACCAAATTTACATGAAAAACACATATACATGAAAAACTACCTATAAACTAGATGGTAGGATGTCGTTCTGTTCTCTGTAACTGATTTTGAGGGAGCGTTTGAAGTCAAATAACTTTCGAACAGTTTTAACTACGGCCTTGAAATTGTCCACCGTGCTAAGGGATTTAGAGTTCCATACGCCCATACGGAACCCATCGAAGGTCTTGAAATAAAAAAAAAAAATTGAAAGTTTTTTTTTGGACTCGAAAGGATTCGATTTTCTCGAGACAGAAGTCATTTTAATTTTATTAGGTGGTAATAAATCGGAAATCTGATATATACCAAATTTAGCTGTGATTTTATTTGATTCAAATATTTTTTACGCCTGAAATACAAATGAACGCGTATATTCGTATTCGTATATTCGTTTTATTGTAAAAAAAAAGTATTCTATACAGGGTGTTGGCACAAAAAACGCATATTTGTTACTTTACAAACAATAATAAAAATTATATGCATATTCGGTACAACAGAAAATACCTTTAACACTTTTATGATGTTCAGAGACTGCTAGGTTAGGCTGTTGTAAACTGAGAACGTCTTTAGTCAGTGTTTCTTTATCTGAACGCGTACCTATATATATTTTATCCTTGATACTCGGCAACACATTTTCGAAAATTTCTTTTTGCTTCCCAATAAGCCTGTCTGTTGTGTGATTGACAAGCGCTTGAAGTTTCACCTCTGCAGGTGTATCTGTGATTAAAGTAAACTCTGTATCTGGATAGCATTTTTTTTTTCATAACTAGGGTATTTGTTTGCATTCTTTTGTTTCGCACCTTGTTGCATTATAAGATTTTTTGTTAAGCTCGAATCAATGAAAAAAGCAAACGCTTATTTCTTTTTTTATTTTGGACAAGTTCTCTGGTTCTGAAAGCTCTTTAAGAATTTGTAACGCATTTCTTCGTCCAGATGCCTCCGGACTTCTTGGTGCAGCGAACGTCAACTTTTCTGCGAAATACTTTTGCAAGAGCGGCATAAGCTTTTGCTTTTTCCGTTGGTCGTCAAGATCCATAAAATGTTTGGAAGGTCTACCTCTGCTTGGACTAGGTTTTTCCCCATCTGCAATAAAAATTATGGATTTATCGGGCCAGTCAGCAGAGTGTTTATTTTCAAAAACCTCGCGAGTGCGATTTGTGTGCAATTTTTCCACGTTTTCGAAACAAAACTACCAAAACTATTTTTTTTTAACTAAATCCCGTTATCACCTTCTTTAAAACATGAGTCATAGTTATTTCTCTATTTTTTTTTGCGGCGTTTACGCATATCAGAAAATAACGAAAATAAACATGAAAAGTTTACTTACTTAAGCTTTTCACAGGGTGATACAATAACAAAAAAAACAAATGCCAAGGACGTTCCATTCTATAGAATGTTATCTTTCAGGTAAGGCCGAAAACGTACGTTTTCCGTAATATATTTTTTACGAATTATTAATTCCTAAATAAATAAAAATGGCCCCTGTGCGACGGTGCGCATATCAGAAAATTACGAAAATAAACATGAAAAATTTACTCACCTAAGCCTTCGATCCACGAACGTCAATTGAACTTCGACTATTTGAAGCAAGAGCGCGAAAAACGCAAATACGATAACAAAAAAAACAAATGGCAAAGAGGTTCCATTCTATAGAATGTTATCTTTCGGGTAAGGCCGAAAACGTACGTTTTCTGTGAGATATTTTTTTACGGATATATTAATTCCTACATAAGTAAAAATGACCTCTGTGTGACGGCGCGGTTTAGTTGAAAAATGTATTCCGGGATTAACGGGATCGGCCTTTTCAGGTCGCGAAAGCGCCGTCAACCTTTCGGACGTCAAGGTATTGAAACAGCTCGGCGGCACCGTGGAAGACACCGAACTAATCGACGGCCTCGTGTTTCCGCAAAAATTGGCCAACGTCTCGGGTCCGAAGCGGATCGAAAAGGCGAAAATCGCCCTGATACAGTTTTGCATATCGCCGCCGAAAACCGACATGGATCATAAGATCGTGGTGTCCGATTACGCGGCCATGGACCGCGTCCTAAAAGAGGAACGGGCGTACATCCTGAACATCGTCAAGCAGATCAAAAAAGCCGGATGCAACGTGTTACTCGTAAAAGCGTCTCGACGAATTAATTTCCCGGTCGTTTAAAACGTTTTTTTTTTTTTTTTGCCAGGTACAAAAATCCATCCTCAGGGACGCGGTGTCCGACCTGGCGCTCCACTTTCTCGACAAAATCAAGTGCATGGTCATCAAAGATATCGAAAGGGAGGACGTGGAGTTCGTGTGCAAGTCATTGGGGTGTCGACCGATCGCCTCCCTGGACCATTTCGTCCCGGAGAATTTGGTGTCCGCAGAGCTGGTCGAAGAGGTCGGTTTCGGCGGTAACCGGATGGTCAAGGTCACCGGAATTCAAAATCCAGGCCGGACCGTGACATTGCTGGTACGCGGCTCCAACAAGTTGGTCTTGGAGGAGGCCGAACGATCCCTGCACGATGCCCTCTGCGTGGTGAGGTGTTTAGTGCGCAAACGAGCCGTCATCGCGGGTGGGGGCGCGCCGGAGACGGAGCTGGCGCTCCGGTTGGCCGCTCTGGCCGATAAAATGGAGGGCGTGGACGCCATTTGCTTGAGGGCCTACGGGAACGCGTTGGAGATTATCCCGTTCACGTTGGCGGAGAATGCGGGCCTGAACCCGATCCAGGTACGTTTATTGACGAAAAAAATTAAATGTCAGTTTTTTCGGTAACACGTTTTACCGGTGCCTCCTGCGTCAGACGCAAGACGTCAGCGATCATCCCGGTGGCTTCTTCATAACTCAACTGAAATAAAGCTGTGAAGAAAGCAACTGAACTGAAACTTTCAAATAATTTGTGAAGAAGCCAACTGAAACTGAAACTTTCAGTTAAGCTATGAAAATGACAATTGAAACTGAATCTTTCAAATAATCTGTGAAGAAGCCAACTGAAACTCTCAGTTAAGCAATGTAAAAGTCAGCTGAAACTGAAACTTTGAATTAATCTGTGAAGGAGCCAACTGAAACTTTCAATTAAGCTATGAAAATGTTAACTGAAACTGAAACTTTCAGTTAATCTGTGAAGAAGCCAACTGAAACGTTCTGTTAAGCTCTGAAGAAGTCAACTGAAACTAAAACTTTACGTTGAGCTCAGAAAAAGTCAACTCAAACTTTCAATTATGCTGTGAAGAAGCCAACTGAAACTCTCAGTTAAGCTATGAAAAAGTCAACTGAAGATGAAACTTTCAATTAATCTGTGAAGAAGCCAACTGAAACTGAAACTTTCAGTAAAGCTATGAAAAAGTCAACTGAAACTTTCAATTAATATGTGAAAAAGCCAACCGAAACTCTCAGTTAAGGTATGAAATAGTCAACTGAATATGAAACTTTTAAATCATCTGTGAAGAAGCTAACTGAAATTCTCAGTTAAGCTATGACAAAGTCAACTGAAACTGAAACTTTCAATTAATCTGTGAAGAAACTAACTGAAACTCTGAGTTAAGCTATGTAAAAGTCAACTGACACTGAAACTTTCAATTAATCTGTGAAGGAGCCAACTGAACTCTCAGTTAAGCTATGAAAATGTCAACTGAAACTGAAACTTTCAATTAATCTGTGAAGAAGCCAACTGAAACGCTCAGTTAAGCTCTGAAGAAGTCAACTGAAACTTTCAATTAATTTGTGAAGTAGTTAACTGAAACTTTCAATTCAGCTCTAAAGAAAGGAACAGGATGATTGGCGAAACGTCAGCAATTATCTCGATGGGTTTTTCAGAGCTCAACCGAAATTTTCAATTAAGATATTAAGAAGCCAACTGCACCTGAAACTCTCAGTTAAACTCTGAAACAGTTAACTGAAACTTTCAAATAATCTGTGAAGGTAACTGAAATTCTCACTTATGCTCTGAAGAGGCCAACTGGATGCTTGGCGAAACGTCAACAATCATGCCGGTTGCTTCTTCAGAGCTAAACTGAAACTTTCAACCGACGTAAGGGGAATCCAAAAGATTTGCAAATAATACCATATCTGACCATAACTGACGAGTTTAAAATAGACGAAATAACCAAAATGAGTTTATACTTTACTCAAATTTGAGGTTAAATTTTGATAAATGTATCCAAATTTTGATTTGATCAAATTAAATTTACTTTATTATCGGCCATTTTTTTTTGTTGTTTCACATATCAAGAGAAAAAAAATTATTCGATTTTTCTGAATAATGCGGTGAAACTAACGCCCTCTAGGCGTAACGTCTAAATAAGTTCCAAAAAAGCCTCAAACTGACAATTTCTAAATTATCGAAAAAATAAAGTTCAGAATAAAATTAAAACGAGCGAGATTGTTACGAGGCATGTTGATTTTAATCATACTATTTCGGTGTCTTCCCCAGTTTAAAGATCGCCCAATCTTTATGAATCACCCTGTGTATCTGATGGTTCGATTCGCAATGTCCGTTAGTATAGACTTAATCACAAAATTTTTATTTATTTCTTAGAAATTCTTATTTAGTTCTCAGAAATCCTGACTTGTTTTTCCCAAATTCTGTAAGTCAGAGATTCTGGCATGTTACTCACAAAATTTGACTTATTCTTCAAACTTTTGGCAATATTCTGTAAGTTACAAGTAATTTACATTAAGTTCTTAATTAGATCTTCTGACTTTTGCTGTTCTTTACTGTTTAGACAAGTTCTTCCAGGAGGTCTTCCTTTCCTTTACTACCAAGTTCATCAGTTATCCACTGCTCGTTTTTTTATATCTTTGGTAGTTTGAGTTATTTCTTCTTTGGTATCAATCATGGTGGCTTTCAGAGTTTGCCACATTCTCTGTCCGTTTTTGCCATTGAGGTTTTTTTGTGCTGGAGCTCTAAGAGTTATTTGTTTGGCAAGCAAAAGTAATTTTCCAGACGGTCACCGAATTAAGGAATAGACACGCGAAAGGTGAAGTATCGGCCGGGATTAACGTAAGGAAAGGCTGTATTTCGGACATATTGGAAGAGAACGTCGTCCAACCCCTGTTGGTCACTACTTCCGCGCTGTCATTCGCGACGGAAACTGTCAGATCGATTTTGAAGATTGACGATATCGTAAGTAGAGGGTTTTTGGCGGAAAACCGATCGAGTTTGCGAATCTCTATTTTGTAGATCAACACTTTTACATAGGAAGGTGCGAAGATCTTACTGGGGCGTCCAAGTAATTGACGTTTAATTAGCTGGGTCGGAGCAGACGCTTTACTCATATACCTTAACTTTATTTGTAGCGTTAACAATACTTTGACAGTTTTGTGTTGTATTCTATCAAGTATTCATATTCGATATGATAAGGTTGTTTTTTTTTTGTCCCCGCCTCTCCAAACTCCATGATGGGAACGACAGGGTTAAGCGGCCTTTGCGTTCTTGCTCAATCTTCGTCCGTTTACATAAAATGACATTTAATCAATAGTGACGTCACAAAACGGCACGTTCTAAAGCGCGAATCATTTTCAAGGTTATTTTTTTTGATTTTACAATTTGTATGTAAAAATGTACATACAAAATTATTACACGCAATAATAATTATCAAGTAAACCATTTTTATTATTCTGCAATAAGCTTAACTAATTTTTTTAAATTAATTACTAGTTTTTTTCTTGTAATATACAGAGCGTCACCGAAGTTGGCTCACGTTCTACTCTATACGTGCTTATGTACGGTGTAAGGGGGCGGAGCTAAACAACACACGTGACATTGTCTCGCCCTTGTTGAGAGATATTTAAACCAGCGGTTAATCTGGTTTTGGCGTTATGTTTTTTAAGAACTTTTGAACCTGAAATATTTTTTAAATATTTGAATGAATTGAATGTGATTTTACTGAATCGGGTATACTATTAAAAATTACAACAGCTTTATATGAAAATGATCTGTGGAACAAAGATAAACGATATCGTGGCAGTGATAGTCTGTTGGGGTGCCTTCAACCCACCGATTGAACAAAATTTAGCTCGTAAGATATAAATTGAAGCGATGTCAAATAATTTAGGATAGAATGAGTAAAATAGCTGAGTGTCATAAGCAAATGAATGCAAATTCAAAAATTCGATGGATGTATAAATATCAGAAATATAAATTAAGAATAATATAGGTGCAAGGACAGAACCTTGCGGTACACCTGATGAGACAGGGAGAAATTCAGAACTTACGTTGCCAAGGGTAACTCTTTGATATTTTTTAGCTAAGTAGTTTTCAAAAAATCGAGTCGAAACATCATCAAAGCCGTAGTAACTCAATTTGGCGCACATAAAGCGTTTAGAGATCATATGTCTATCACTTACCTCAGCTAATCGGTTTAATGATAACAATGTTTATTGAAGTTAACTTTCCGACAGTGGGCCATATTTAAAGGAAGAAGCTGTACGACCGTTAAAAGAAAAACAAGTCCCAGACAAGTATTTTTAAATTAACGACATAAATAATTCGTGAGCTGTAAAACGCGACACCCTTAATGAATTGACGCTCAAAACAACATTTTATGTTGATTACATGTTGACATCGGATCGTCTCTATAGACGATGCGGATACAATAAGCCGCCATTTGCGTAAGACGGGTCATATTAACAGCCGGATGGTTTTATTTCATGAACCCGTTGCCGGGTTTTACTCCGTGTTCGGGATCGTCCCACCCTACGATTTCGATCACGGAAAACTGATCCGCCCGAAATATTACAAGATCAGGGTCGCCATTTTGGCGATCGTGTTCGCCGTAGTGACCGTGGCGATGATTTTCCTGAGAGATTCCTACATTGGAATCTTCGAGAAGAAGGTCATCGAAATTCCACTCGTAGTCACGGGCAACGCCGTCATAGTGGTCGCCATGTTGTGTTCGTGCGTGCACCAATCGCGGTGGGCGCAGTTTTTCGCCAAAATGGCCGCCGTCGAGAACCTTCTCGGCTCGAAAGCGACGTTGCCGCGCGGCGTTGCCAGAGATCCGCGCGTGCAGCTCTCCGTCTTGGGCGCCGCGCACTGCGTCTGCGTCGTCCGCCATTTTTACTTGCCCGACGTCATCGGCGACCGGCCGCGGTTGATTTTGGTCGCGCTGTACGCGCACCAGGAGGTCGTCGTCCTTTATTACTACGAGATTATTTGTTTCGCCGTGGCGAATTTCTGCGTCGCGTTCAGCCACAAATATAAACGGTTGAACGGCGTTTTGCGAAACGCGACGGCGCAAAATAAATGGCGGGTTTCGGGTCGCGTTAAACGCGTCGAGAGGATCTATTGCGAGCTGTTCGAAGCGGTCGCCATTTTTAACGACGTCTTGGGTCCCGTCCTGTTTCTGATACCGATCAAGGGATTCTTCGGACTGATGGCGTACGTATTTTACCTCCGCCATTTGTTCCTCGGCACGTTCGAGGTGAACTCGACAGAGCAGAAAATCACGGGGCTTTGTATCACGTTCGCCATGCTGGTGAGTAAGGTGGAAGTGACACGCCCAAGTTAAATAACAAAATCGTGATGCGGAACATAAAAGCGGTAAATCTGACCACATCTCAGCGTTTTTGATTTTTGCCAAAATATAAAGAAAATATTCACATCTTTTAATAGTTGCTATTAAACGAGTACAAACAATTCTGCGATAATGTTAAAAACTTTGCTAATACAAAACAAAAAATACCCTATATTTCCGCATTTTTTCGTCGCAGGTATCAACAAATCTATATGGCTGAAATCATTCACGAAAAAACAGAGAACTGTAGAAAAAATCTGAGTACGCCTGCATTGGATTTAAAAAATGCCTTGAAAATATATTTATGAATAAGAGATTTATTGCTAATTTCGCCGTATCTCTAATGTAATTAAAAGAAACTATCGCCACAGACCACCAAGACTATGTGGAATTCTGTACTCTGGCTGCGAAATTCTTTTAATAGTCTGTCGCTACACAATCTGTAAACTTTGCATGGTTTTTGTACGGTGGTCCGTGGTTTTACTGTCACACGGTTTTGAGAGGTAAGAATGTGAACTTCACGTCGTTGCTTTGTTGCTTTAGTGTTATGTCAATATTTCATTTTACGAGGACTGAATTAATCAGTGGCCGATTTCGAAAAGGACCGAATCATTTCATTCAATCGTTCATTTCAATACTCTTTTATGCCAACATAAGCGGCAATAGTCACTGAATCCGAACAGTCCGAACGACCGATTCAGATCCATTTGAATTTGAATTATTGTTGTGTCTATATATTATGTTTTCTGTTCTAGTTAGTATAATATTTAGCTGTGTTGTGCTTTTTATTGAATCATGATTTTATCAAAATAGGTGCTACGTATTGGGTTGCACGAGTAATACATTAATTTGTTTAAATTAAATACCGGTGTGGAAATAGATATTTCATTCAATATTCAATTCAACACATCAGCAAATTACAGATCGATGTCGCAACTCGCTACTATAGAATAATTATAACAATACTCCCATTCTTTTTCCGTGATCTGTCTCAGTCATGCGTTTTAATCTTAAACCATTCAAATGAATTGTATTCCGGCGAATTCGGTCGGTCGTTCTGTAATCGGTCACTTCAAACTGGTCAGGGCAGGAGCGAGAGCAAACAAAGTGATCGAATCGTTACCACAAGCGGGATTCGGTTGTTCGATCCTATGAATCAAAGTGACCGAATCAATCGCGATTGACACAGCTCTAGTTCCTTTATTTAAGAAACTTCCAACACGACAGTTGTTTAGTCGTTTGAAGCAGCAGCGCGCGACTCTCTTTCCAGGCGGCACCGGCGATCGTTATGATTTTCTGCGACGTCGTCTCCCGAGAAGCGAACAATCTCGTCGTTACCTGTCACCGATTGCAAAACGAATTTCCAATCTCGTCGCAGACCTACTGGGAACTACACCTGCTCGCCCACAAGTTTTCGTCTCTGAAAATCAAATTCACCGGCGTCGATGTTTTCGAACTGAATCGCGGGCAAATCTTCTCGCTGCTCGGCACCACGGCTACGTACTTTATCGCGACCGATCAATTTTTCGATTTCAATTCGAAAAGAGGCCTGACCCACGCTTATTGGGCCAACAAGACGCTCGCATAACCTCGCGGGTTACGCGTTTGCGGTCCGTGACTGTGACGTCAAAAAGTCGCCATTTTTCCCCCGATAGGAAATGGTAAAATTATAATCGAAACGTAATTTCGTCGATATCGCTAGCGATTTTTTAGTTAACGTCGATATTACGTTAGGCGTTTTAAAGGGAAATCGGCTAACGCCACATTTTCCCGTCGAAAGTTCTGAATACTAATTGTCATTTGTCATATCGTTTGCAGTTTATTTTGTGGAGGGAATGAAAGGACTTGTTTTCTACAATTTAACGTGTGTATTATAACAAAATAAGTGTTAGCTTTGCTGCGGTGTGTACTTACAGTACCTGATTGTAAGAGGATAAGTATAGAATCTTTTCTTGATTTTCACCCAAGTCTTATGCAACGTTCAAGCTTAATTGTTAATATCAATTAGGGTTGGGTGTTATAAATGTATTTATTTCTCTAAATTTAACTGTCCAATAGTTCTCTTTCTTCCTGTGCTATATTCACGTAATTAGACATTTCCTAGAATCAACATTTAAAAAGTGTTCTGTAAGACATGGTAGCATGGCCGCAGAAACTTGTAGGATTTAGTCTATCCTAGGAGGCAACGCACGGTAACTGACATTGTATTTATTTTAAAAGTCTTTACGGAAAAAATATTTAGTTTCTGTACCATCGTATTAATTTAACTGGGACACGAACTCGTGATAGAACGAAAAATAACCCTAAAAAGGGACTTTCGATGGAACCATTGCACATGGCGGATGTTGCTCCTGCCCGGTTCCAAAAAATTTATAGAAATTGGTCGAAATTAGTGTCGTTTAAACAAAATATTTTACGTATATTCGCTATCTGAAGTGATAGAGACGTAGTGCCTATAAGTTTGGGAAATAGTGTTCGTCTTACGTGGATGTACACGGATTTGTGATGTGTAATTCCATGAGGTTTATGTAAATACGGTTTCCGAATGTCCTATATTCACGCTGGTAACCAGGCCGGATGGGATGGGAGCCGTTTGAAGAATCGGTCGTCATTTTGTGACGATTTATTTAGAAGTTTCCGTTTTTGTACACGTAAAAAACAAAATCCTGGAGGATGATGGATTGGTCCAGACCCTTCTCTTAAGAAGGCATTCTTTAGGATATCTGAATAATGTGAAAAATTGTGTAAGCTGGCCGAATGACCTTATGAGGTCGTGGCCATTAGAAAAAAGAAAGAACCCTAAAAAATAATTAAAAATTAATATATAATATAAAATCGTAAACATTCCTCTAAAAAATCACTTAAAAAAGTGAATGTTAACTTGTCGGAGATATCGTATACACAAATATTAATTGCGCATTATAATGGCCTCCATGACAATGAATACGTACGTAATTTTCTTAGGTTAGACTATGGGTTTGGCAAGTTTTGTTTGTTTTCGTCCTTTTTCAAAACGTTCTTACCACGCCAACGACACCTCCTTATATATCCGAATGAATTCGATGGATTTAAAGCGACAAACACAAATATATCGGTGAAAATTGAAGAACAGAATGCCTTTGGCGACAATATCGATTCAAAACTAGTAAGCAATGAGGATGCACGGAATCTTTTTTCTTTACTTTTAATTGGGCTCATCTCAAATTCGGATGTGCACCCATTTTCCGGCATCCGCAGAGGAAAATTGATCGATAACAATTTTTCACGCACCCAACACCCAAGGCTCCCGGTGAGAATCGAACGCATAACCTCCAGCAAGTTCGAGTTGGTTGGTCAACGCCTTATCAACCGAGCCATTGCACGGAATCTAGTTTTTTGCATTTCACAAACAGTTGGACAAGATTGCCACGGCCATTCGACCATTACGGATCGCCGTTGAGGAATTTTTTCTCTTGGTCACGAACCAACACGTAAAAAAAAACTTTAACCAAAATTTGTTCTCAGCGTAATACGTTTACCAATAACAAATTGGCGATTTTGCGATGATAAATTTTCCTGGAAAAAGAAAAATAGGTTTCTTTGGTAAAATTCCTTCCTAATAAAAAGGCTCACAAATAAGTGGCACGTGTACTACTGTCGCACATAGCGATAACACTACAAAGTCCCAAAAATATCAAAAACTTCTGAAAATGAAAGCTACATTTTTGAAGCAGTTACAAAGCGTCTGAGGCATAAAAAATATATGTTTTTTTTATAATTATTCTTCATTTCGATCACCATTAATTAACGTTTTTTATTTTAGTTCATATGGCTTTATGTTCTATCCTTCAAATACAATACGAAATCCAAGAAAACAACTCGATAAATGGTATATATATATATATTTGTATTTACAATAAACACTTGATATTGCTTTTGTATATTTTTCATTAATTTAGACAACCGCTAAACCAAAAAAAAAGACACCAAAAAGCGAACTTTTGACGCGCATAGTTTAACATAAAAACTTCTGCTTTTGTGAGAAAAAAAAAATCAAAGAGATTAATTTTTTATGTTATTATTTTACGCAGGGTTGCGGGTGCCGCTTGACATTTTTTTTAGACACATTTTATTACAGGAAAATAGAAATTAATAAGAATATAAAACAGTTCGATTTAATCTGCCAGAAATCATAGATAAAAAATAACCAAAATATATTATCGTTTTTGAATATTTTTTTGACTCATCTTGTCGAGATTTTGAACCATAATTTTAGCTATATCGAGCACCCTGACAGAGATTAAGAAAAAAGTTTCGCTTTCAAAATACAGGTAGACTTCAACGAAAGAGACTCGAGATTTCGCGTAACATTTCAGAAGCTAACGACAAGAACGTTTCAACAAAATCGAAGCAGTGTTCCGTAGGCGATTCGACTTGTGCAGCAAATTTTATTCAAGGTCGAATGTACGAAATTAAGGTTTTTTTCCATTTTTCTCGAACACGGTAAGTGTTATCGTGAAAATCGGCCTGACAAAAGTTGTAAATCATACAATTCGCTACAAAAATTGTTCAGGTACTTTTTCTCTTACGACTCACCGTTCGTAGAACGGTTTGCATGTTCGTCAAACGATCTTTTCAGAACCGCAGTTTCCAAAGTTCGTTTAGCTATATGGATCGCCAACCTTCGTAACTGAAGAAATCGAACGAGCATTTAAAAATAAAGGACTATACTGTCAGTCGTAACATCTGCAGGTAACAATAAAACAGTACAGTTGCCTTGTCTACCTCCAACATCTGCTTCTGCCTGTCAGCATTTGTATCTTGTGTATTATCAAGTTCAAGTGTGGCTAGGCAATGAGCTAATCCCAGAAGAATGAAGAAGAAACTTTACTCCCTCCTACTATTTTGCGTAACTACTAGAGGGGTTGTAGCAAGAATTGTGGCTGTCAAGAAGTGGGATTATTTTGTTCCCCAATGTGCCTTAATTGCCAGGTCCAGACTTGCTCCTATATTGTATCCAAGAAATTATTTATGTTTCTAATGAAGAGACAACTGACGTATCTCTTTTCTTATAACAGCGAACAGAGATTCTGCAGTTATCTATTGTAACAACGTTTAGAAGAAAACAACCTGTTACACTTTGAAAATTATCAATATCAATCAATGGAGTATACCTACTGAGGGAACCACGTTAAAATAAATGCGCCAAGTACATTACCTCATAGGTGGTGGGGAAATGTGTGCATATAATGAAAAATATGAATTTTTCTAATATTTGAAACCGCGGAATCTCACGAGTCGCAAAAAAAATGTGCCCGAGCGATTCTTGTAGAGAATTGTACGATATACAACTTTCTTCAGACCCATTTTCGCTATAAAACTTCCCGTTTTTCAAGGTTTGACTTACTTTTGCCTATTTCGACCGGATTATTACGAAAACTGTCACGTTACGAACCATAACACCTAACCACAACACAAAGGGGAAGACTTGACGGTCGGCCGCCTCCTCACTTGGGCCTGGGAGGCGGCGGGGGCGGCGGTCTATTCACTGAACCCTGCCTGCAAGGCGGCGTGCTCCTGCTGGGAACCGGAGGCGGTTTCAACGTCGCCGGCATCGAAATCTGCGACGTTAAAGTTTTCTGGTGAGGAGGCGCAGCGGGGGGCGCCACCCCCGCAGGTAGCGCCGGAGGCGGATAAGTCGGTGGGCCTCCCCCGGGGGTGCGGGGAGACGGGTAAGTCGTGGGGTCTCCCACGGGAGTGCGAGGTGGAGACACGCTCGGACGGGTACCCGTGGTACCGGGTTCCGGGTGCTCCCCGCAGTGTCGGGGGTTCGGGGGTCGCTGAGGCGTAGCAGTGGACTGTTTGGTGGCCGCTGGTCGCATGCACGACGTCAAATTTAGATGGGAAATCGCGTGGAGCGATCTGTGCATGGACTGCTGCTGTTGCTGCTGCTGCTGGTGTTGGGTCGCTTTTTCTTTGCCCGCCGCCACGTAGGAAAACACGCATAACACCGAGTAGCAGATTTGATCCGCCTAGAAACAGGATTCGAATCGGTCAGTGGCGCGCGGCCGCGGGTTGACACGACGCGGAAGCCGTTTCGACATTACTAAACAGATGAAATAGCAGCAAGATTCAACACTACGCACAGTGATGTAAGGTCAAGAGACTTACGCCAATGACGTAACAAAAGTACTACTTTAGCCTCCGACGTAGGGATTTTCGGTCTCTCTCTTTTAACTTTACTTTTGGATCTCTCACTTAAGTTTAAGGGTCTTAACGCTGTGCTGACGCACGTAATCAAAGATGGTTTAGGTTGGTTGGTTAGACAGATTTAAACTAACATGTTGTGAGAGCTATACGACTAGTTCAGTCCACAAAATTGCATTCTTCTAATTGCAAGTTGGTGTATCCCGTACTATGTGATACTATCATTGGTGGAGTGTTTATGATGATGAGTGAGAAATTGGGGACAACTATAAGCGGTATTCGGAAGCAGGATATCTTTTTTATCGTCCACTTGACGCACTGCAGTGCGTCATCTATTTCTGTTGTTAGGTTTCGAGAATTCATTATGCTTCACTAATTTCGACGTCGCAGCTTCATCTTGGTCTTTCTAGTTTTCGTCTACTGTTAGCATTTCAGTGAGAGATCCACTTCAACCTATTCTCTGTGGAGGTAACCGAACTAATTCAGACGTTTTTCCTCAATTGTATCATTGACAACGTCATTCCTAACCCTGTCTAGAGTAGACATATCAAAACTCCTTCGGATATTGCTTTTTGTTCATGGCTTTTGTTTAGCGCCCGTGGAGATTTTGTTTTTCGAGTTATTTTAAACTGGGTTTACTGAGAATTACAGAGAGATCTCTAAGAAAATCTAGAAGGGAACAAAGAGAGCGAAAACTGGCAGGTAGCAGTTTCCACTATCTGAAACTCAATGAGGTTCAAGACCCAGGAAGATGGCGCCTGCAAATCTTTGAGGGTTTGATCGTACTGCTTTGTTTAGGTTAATTTTGAATAATCTTTGATAGACTGTCGGCGTTTTTGATAGAGTTGTGTCAAGATATAGATTTTGTATTCCGTTGCTATCATGACACCACTTTGAGACACATCGTACAAAACGGAAAACGGGTTACACCGGTGGGGTGGGGGTAAATGTCATGCTTCTTTGGGGTGCGGGGCTAGATCGATCCTACGTGCGACGGTAACCGACAATATCCTTTGGAAGCAACGCAGCGTCTCGCTAGCCTACAACATCGAAAAAAAAAACGCATGCAAAACAGAAATAATCATACGCATGCGTTCTCACACCGTAGTTGCTTACCATGGGCGTTTTGTATTTCCTTTGTATTACCTGCCTCGTCTTGGGATCTGCAATACCGTTTCGATTAGTAGACACGCGACGCCATTTTACGATACTCACTAAATTCCTCTATGATAAAAACGCTACCCTTCTGCGTGTAGCATTTGCGGATGTGGCCGAGCCTCACGAAGAACTGCAAAACAACCTGTGGTTAGCGTATTGTCAAGAGATATGTGTGTGTGATAAAACGTGTAGCTATCGGTCCACATAGGGGTCTTTAATACAGCTGAACCTTCAGCTATCACGAACGAGATATCTCGCTCCCTGGTGATGTACATGTTGATCTTTGAACGTCGCGAGGTCTTATTTTCAGTTTGGAACTACAAAGCAAGACGTACGTTGAGACGCGACCTACACACGAATGTGTCGAACAGTATATACGATATAAAAACAAATGAAGTGACCAAAGTTAGAAAAATTCCAAATACTTCTTCAAGTAAAGAAAAATTTCAAGAATTTCTGTATGAAAATGATTTATATGTTGAAGAGAGCTACACGAAACAGCAACTTCTGGAATTATTAAAAATAGAACATTTTAATAAAGACTACACAATCGATTCGATAGCACAACAATCTTGAGATTACTCCAGTATCATCGTGAGGATTTGGTCCGAGTTGAAAACGCATATAAGCAGAAATAACTCTGCACTAAAATTTAGTGATAGTACCATAAACATGATTCGGTAAGAGGTAGCTAAAATATCAGTACAAAGCTGGTCTAACTGTGATATTTATCGAGAACGATCAGTGGCGGAGTTGATCATTGAAGTAGGTGACGACAGTAGCGATAGTGACGATTTTTATTATTATTATTATATTTAATATTTTCTATATTAATAATGATACTATGTAGAAATGTAATGAAATAGGACGTAATAAATTGTTACCTTGTACAAATGGTACTGAAAGGCACTATATTTCTGGTCGAAGTATACTAGTTCCTTTTAATTCTATTGTGCCTGGTTATAAACACGTCATTAGAGTGGATTAAAGTCTGAAGGAAAAATATATGAGATAAGAGCTGAGTCGCGGTTAAAAATGTTTCTATGGATTCTCGGAGTTTTGTCATCGGTAGACGGAGATTTTTGGAAAACTATATTTTTAGTATGAAGTCAGTGATGTTTTCAACGTAACGAAGCTCAAGAGGTTGTGATGAGGTTGTGGTTATGTGTTATGGTGAGTAGACCTCTCACGAGGCTAGATAACAAAGGTAGTAGAAAGCTTCCACGCATCTGTGACGAACGATGAGAGTTAGACTAACATTATGTCCCAGACAAGCATTTTAGAAGAGACGAGTTTCATTTGAAGCATTAACATCATCATGTCTTGATAATTTTATTAGGTATATACACATACTCATCGCTGTTACTGGTAACGTACGATGTAAATCCGTTTTTTTCCCACACGAGGACCATCAAACTGAGTTTTGTGGACGATAATCCAGGTTTTTATATCTTTTTTTTTCAAAGAATCTTCCACAGGTTACTGTAATACTTTTTATAAAACTTCTGGATTCCTCCTGGGTCGGTTTTTGTTGACTCGAACTTGCTAACGTTTGGCTTATTCAGAGCTTGATTGAAACTGGCTCACATTTTATTCTGTACCTGCTTTTATATTGTTTGAGGGGGACGGAGCTAAATGAGGGGCATAAACACCGTCTCGAATGACTGATTCTCATATTGGTGATAGCTAGAGACCCGAGTCGCGGTTAGATTGTTAGGTTGCTTATAGATTTCTATAGACTCTCGGATTTTTCGTTGGTAGAAGAATGGATTACATGCAAGAATTTTAGTTTTATCGGATAAAATTTTATGATAGGCTTCGTGATTGTGTTCGGCAACTGATGAGTTTATTTGTCTTTGAGTTTAAAGACATTTAAACATACGTTTTACCATTGAAATAGAAACTAATGACAACCTCCCATTCTTAGATATTCTTATCAATAGGAAATCAGAGCTAACATTGGGTCATTGTGTTTTACAGAAAACCTACACATACAGAGCGATACCTTAATTCATTGTTTACAGAACCGTAAAACTATCTCAGTCCGAGTCATTGAACCCAGAATTAACACCTTACCTGTGCTCTTCTCTCTAATAATTTCCACATTAAAGATATTAAGCGTTCCATCACAAAATACACTTCACCACAACCTTCCAATAGCAATGAAACCGAGAGCAACCCCACACTTGCCACTGTTGTCCTTTATTATATTCAAAACCTCACTGACCACATATCAGAAGTTCTAAAGAAATATAACTTCAAAACCAGATTTACCACTTGTCCAAAAATCTTTCAACATCTTCGATGCGTCAAAGACAACATTCCATTTGAGATTCCAAGAGTTTACAGCATTCCATGCAAGTGCGGCAAAGAATACATTAAACTCATCAGCTGTTGTCGAACACAATCACGAAACCGCATATAATATTTTATTCCATAAAACTATGTAATCAATTCTTCTATCAACGAAAGAAAATCCGTATAGAAATCTATAAGCAACCTAACAATCTTAACCGCTACTCAGGTCTTTACGTATCACCAATATGGGAGTCAGTCATCCCAGACGGCGTTTATATCCCTCATTTAGCTCCGCCCCCTTCAAACCGTATATAAACAGAGTAATGATTGGCGAAACGTTAGCTAGAAGTAGGTTTTGACAGCGTCAATTTTTTGTTACAGGTTACTCCTGCATAACGGGAGCCTTGCCTTGCCTCGAACAGGCTTGGCCCCTATATTTCTAATAGCTACACGGCTCAAAGCGCAAACCGTATGGGGGTGGCATGCACAGAATAAAATGTTTGGCGACATGCTGAAAGCTCTAGGCAACTTTAGAGATGGTTTGAAATGATCCTAAATTCGGTTAGGGGTGTGTGTGTGTGTCATGTGTAATATATATATCGTGTCGTAGAGAACAAAGTGAACTATTCGGTGCAATTAATTAAATCAGTGTTAGTTGCCATGCGAGAGTCACCCGCAGCAAAGCGGCCGCGCGTATTTTTCGTTTACGAGGTTAGAATTTCGTTCGATTCGCCAATAATGCGATAGGTGGCGCCCTACGCGGCGCGCAGCGGAGATCTACAGGGAAAAGCGTCTAACTAAACAAAGACTATTGCTAAAAACTAACGGCCAAATTTAATTAATCAAATCTTATATACCTCGAAGTCCTGCCAAGCAGCAGCGTGTCGACGTGGGACAAGAAAAATAATGCACAATTAGTATCGGTATGACAAAAAAAAATTATCGGACCATCTCAAAAGTTCCCGTCTAGCCTCGACCGTCCCTCGGGTTTCACAATGTAGACAAGACGCGTCATAAAGAATAGAGAATTCACGCGTCAGCTGGCAGTTTTGAAAAAACCGTCATTGTAGTAAAACTCTAGCGGTATCGATGATGAAGATGATGATGACGGTATATTGCGTGGTGTTACGGACTTTCCTCCCTCTATATACAGGGTTATTGATGATTCGATACATTCTTTTGGGGGTGCCGCTGTCTTAAAAGCTAGATTTCGGACAATTTGCCCAATACTACGAAATGTATTAAAGTGTTTTTTTTTCCTACTTTGCTATATGCACTCAAAACACAACCGCAATTTTGAACGTGAACGTGTACGGTACAAGTCAACGATAAAGTTCATCATCTCTCAAATGCAACTCCGTATTAGGAAAATAATCCAATCAAAATGGATAAAAACAAGTCAATAGTAGACACCTGATTTTTGAGATTTTGGACATTTCGTTTTATTGAAAGTTATTTTTAAACCACATTTTGACAAATGTTTTGAAACTTTTTCACTGGGTCCTCCTATCTAAGTAATTGTTTTAAATTGTTCGTGTTCTGTATTAGGTTTCGGATAAATGGAGTTTACTGTTGTTTTGATTTGTTTTTTATTTATCATTTTATCGATACTGGACGGATTGTAGCCGTTGTTCAGTGCAATTTGTTTAATGATACTAAGTTCTTGTTTGTAATTTCCTGTTGAGAGTGGCGTATTAAGAAGTCGGTATATAAAAGAGTGAAATGCAGCAATTTTGTGTGTATAAGGGTGATTTGAGCTGTTATGTATGACTGCGTCTTTGTGTGAAGGTTTATGGTAAATGGAAAAATCTAACTTGTTTTGCGCTTTCGTAATAGTTAAGTGTAAAAAATTAATAGAGTTATCCTGTTCAATCTCGATAGTGAATTTTATACGATTATGTAATGAGTTAATGTAATTCAAAAAAGAATTCAATTGTCTGTCCGTTCCAAGAAAGCAAGCAAAGACACATATCTATACCACCATAGAAAACTTTTACTTAAAGGATGTTCTAGTATGATATTTTCCAAATTATCCTTAAAAATTTGGGGTAACAAAGAACTAAGTGGGTTTCCCATAATCAAACGTTCCTTAGATATGTAAATCTGTTCTTAAATTCAAAATAATTTTGATCTAAGCAATCTAATAAATGGGTTAACCTGTTTCCAAGTGAGGGTGAAATCTACTAAATCACATCCATAGGTGGAATACTGGGAAATAAGTCTTGTTCATCACAAGACAATAGTGTTGCGTTAGAAGGGTTTTTGTTATCTTTAATTTTGTTGATTAATCCAAAACAATTTTTTATTGCAAATTTTGGTTTAAAATCTGTGTGGAACTTTAAAATATCTATTAATTTTGTTGAGAGTTTAACTGCTGGAGCTGTTACATAAGACACGATTGGTCTAATGGGCATATCTTATTTACGTAATTATACTAAAAAATATAATTTCGGCGGTTGTGGATTCATAATTTTTTAAAAATACTTGTCTTTGTCACTAAATAGTGTGGAGTTGGTAACTACTTCCTTGACTTGTCTTTGATATAATTCGGTAGGACCGTGTTTGACACATTGGAAAAGTTCTGGCTGAAGAAAATTGTTGGTTTTTCAAATATATTCTGGGAAATCGATAGCTATGACTGTCTTCCCTTTATCTGCACGTGTAAATATTATGTTATTTTCGGAAGCTTTGTTTTTGATAAATTTTACTAGTGACATTCGAGAAATTTCTTGGTGTTTGTTGTTATCTATTAATTGAGAGTTTGTTATATTCGCTTATCATTGTTTGTTTAAGTTAGAATCGTTAATGTCCTTACTAAGGACAATGTACTTGACGCATTTTTTTTTAACGTGGTTCCCCCAGTGGTTCCACGATCTATCGCATCGTTTCCTATTGATATATTAATAATTTTCAAAGTGGAATAGGTTGTTTTCTTCTAAATGTTGTTACAATAGATAAATGTTTACTTCTACTTCAACAATTATTTCTTCATTTTCATTTTATTCTTCTTGCAGAAGAACGTCAATTGTACACTTTTATTGTTCCCTGTAGATACTACAAACTTCAAATATCTATATCTATCTATGCAATCAATTTTTTTTTGAGCACCATACATTGCAAGAACAAAACTAATTCTATTTCTAACGATGTCGTGTGGAGAAGAGTAAATACTTCTGCGCAATCAATTAATCATTACGTTTTTGGAACATTTTAAATACTACTATTTCGCGTCTTTTAAAAAGTGCTGATGCAGTATCCCAACTAGTAGATTTTGTGATGAATTGTACTTGAGCTTTCCCGGGTTCAGAAAGTAAATAACTCTTTCATGTTGAATTCGTGCAGTCAGTACTATCAACAAATCAACATCTACCCCAAAAACGACAGTTGTATTTGTACATTTCCGTCGTTCTATTGCTGTTTCAATTATAAGGACATCGGCATCTTTATCAGCTTGGTTGATTGAAATACCAGCAGCTGTAAATTCTTCACATAACATTGAAATTAAGCGAGACTAATTGTCAGCATTTGCAAGAAATTGTTGTTGTTGGTTTTTTGGGAACTTTCATAGATCGATCCAAAATGATGAAGATACAATCAAATAAAATCGTACTGTTATGAGCAAAATGTCCATAGTTTTTTTGTTTTATTTATATTGCGTTTAAGTGCAAGTTATGAAGAATAAATATTTTCTAATAATTTAAACCGCGATATCTCACGACCAATTTTTAGCTCTATGCGAATTTTGGCTAGGTGAAATGTTTATTTTTACTGGACTAAAAATCCGTACCTAATTTTCGTTGGTTAAAATTTTGACAGTGTCATTTTGCCGTGCCCAACTAATTTTATGAAAAAAAAAATATTTTCCAATACGTTTTTTGTTGTCATGTTATGACGTACTTAATACACCGTTTTCTCATCACTTTTGAGTGAGATAATGAACTTTTCTCTACGGTACACTCACCCTGTATAATCACACGCTATGTATGTAGTATCGCGAAAAAGTTAAAATTAAGTACTACTGCAAAAAAAAGTAAAATCGGTATTCCTCTGTAAAACTGAGCGCAGTCCATAGGCGTACCTGTACATCTTACGTGTGATCGAAACAGAAAGTCGATAGCATGCTAGAAAACACCGCACCGTACAGTTTGCCATGATCCATGATCATGATCATGATCCATTTTTTCGAGAAACTGAAATCTTCGTTTGAATATTGTGAAACCCTCGGATTCAGAGCATTCGAGGCGGCTGCTAAGAAAAAAAATTACACACACATGACCAGTCGCTTCAGAAAAGAAGAGAAAGAGTGAGACAGATAGCGATCGGTCGATACGGCCATCGGACATTAAAATTTCCAATGGCAAAAGGTCACACATCGAGCAGCATGCACTTAGATTCAATTACGAAGAGTATTCGCGACTGTTAATAAAATTAACAGGTTCGAAATTTGCCCAGAAAGTACGTACAAGATGGTCCATTTAAGACGCTACTATATCTTATCTCAAAAAAGTTAAATACAAAAAGTATATGCGTCATTCATATAATATAAATATATATTATATATAATATTTTTTATGTATAATTTATTTTCGTAATAAAAAAATCTTAATTTCAGTTGTCAAGAGTAAAAAACACATTTTTATAAAAACCTCAAAAAAATACTCAAAAATTCGTATGCTATGTAACGACAAAAAATACTCAAAATCAAGCGACTTAAAAAAATCATGTTGGTGACTGTCTTGGCACCCTGTATATATAAAAATACTATAAATAGAATATATACTTAGGATGAAACACATTGTGTATTTGACTTTTTTCCTGAGCGTCGTCAGGTATAGCAGCATCTTGAATGGGCCACCCTGTATTTGATCAGAGTTAACAATTTCAAACCAAAAGTATTGGATTTTTTATACAGAGTGTCTCGAAAATAGAGCGAGAGATACGGATACACACGGTGAAAAAGCTTATTTCTGTTTATTTTGAAATTTTCTGAACAAATGAAAATATTATCATCAATTTATTCAAAGGTCTTCTGTCTTCTTTTTTTTCTCTAAGACATCTACTTTGACTTTCCTAAGTAAGTTTGTTAATTAAATAAAATTTGATTTGATTGCAATTGCGTCCAACTAAACTTTTTTTTTCGTTTTTCATTAGTAATCGTAATAGGAAACGCAATGGATTGTTTTTTCTTCTCAAAAATTTTCTTCTTTTTCCTAGGACATATACTTTAAGTTTTCGTTTTTCCTAATAATTATTAAGTTTATTAATTAAATAAAATTTGATTTGATTACAATTACGTCTAATAAAATTTTCTTTACTTTGGTTTTTCATTAGTAATAGTAATAGGAAACGCAATGGGTTATTTTGTTTGTTCTCAAACATCTCTTTTCTTTTTCCTACAATATCTACTTTAAGTTTTTGTCTTTCCTAATAATTATTAACTTGATTAATTAAATAAAATTTGATTTGATTAGAATGATGTCTAACAAAATTTTCTTTATTTTGGTTTTTCATTAGCAATAGTAATAGGAAATCCAATGGGTTGTTTTTTTTTGTTCTTTCCTTTTATTTACTTATAATGATTATTGAGTTCGTTTAATTTACGGCCTTAAATACAAATATTGAACAATAATACCGCTTTTATGGAATATAAAAAAATAATTTTAAAAATTGTGAACGTAAGTAATAAAGGACGAAAAAAAATAAAAGTAGCTTTATCACCCTGTATCTCCGCAAGCATTGACATTACGACATAGGTTTACTTAACAAATCGCATTCGTGTTGAAACACAATGTATAAAAATATCCAACACGAAGTGAATTGGGACAGCATAAAAACAGTGAGTCTACAAAATAATGGTACAACAGATAGTAGTAGTATATCAATCGCTAACTTTTTTCGCTTTTTACCCAAAACTAGTAACATTTTTGAGATGTATTTTCACGTATATACAGGGTATCCCGGCGACATTGTCGATTTGCTTCCGAAAACTACATAAAATACGTTTTGATAGTAATTTGATTATTAACAATGTTTAAATGAAATATACATAAAATATAATTTTTGTTGGTTACAGACGAAGTGGAACGCCCTGTATATACTAAAAATTTTTTTTCTCTCCGTGAGTGTACGGAAAATCTAGCGAACGGCATTACATATATATAGATATATATATACGTAGGAAATTTTTGAGTGGTCCTTGCAAACAAATGCATACGTCACAGAGCATCGAACAACACATAGTAAAAAAGTAAACAGACCAAAGTGGTAACGCTCGTTACGAGTTCGTATTTTTTTAATACGCATTATCACTTTGACTTCGGATGGTCTATAATCTAAAGAGGAAATATGTCGAACACACGCCGCCCGAAACCGTTAGTGCCATTTTGACAGTTTCGACCGTTTTTTATCGTATGACGCAAATCGAAAATAAAAACGAAAACAAAAACACCAAAACTAGTTTTTTTTTTTAATGAAAATCGCAAAAAGTTGGCGCATGCAGGGTAGGACGCACCTTTGAGTAGATGCATAAAGGGGGTTTGGACGAATATAACCTCAAAATATAATCGCCCCCGCGGGGGGCCTTGATCCTTCTAGGGGGTGCTCCGCCCTCAAAGTGGGGCGCTGAGGTCGAAGCACACGAGCATCGTTGCCCCACTTGGGAGGCGGAACACTCCCTAGAAGAGTCGGGGCCCAACTGCGGGGGTGGAAAGTTGGAATTTCTAAATGAACGGAAAAAAGGAAACATTTTTTTCGCAAAATTAAAAAATTTACGATATATTTATGTTTTTCCTGGCAGTTTTGATCGCAAAAACGTTTATATCCCAAAAACAGTCTTAATAGGAGCGTAATATACGGGATCTTTCGTTTGAATCTTTCACGAACATTAATATTTTTCATTTTAACTTATAAGCGATTCGAATCAACTTCAAAACAAGTAAAGGATAAATGACCGTACCACACGTAAAATTCTTGGCACGATAAAATTACATCTTTGTCCGTTGACGTGTTGACGATCCCCGGATCTAAACCCGCGGGAATTTTTCCTGCCTGAGGACCACCTAAAGTCCTTTTTGTATTGATTATTGATATCTTGGGTTAGGATGAAGATATTGAGATGAACTACCTAATTAAAATTATTATTATTTGGCAATGTGTCGGAAAACGCCATCTAGCGGCAGGGTACTCGATCGTACTCGTCTCACTCGCAGCACGATCTGAAAAAACCCATTCGAACGATGGCCATTGCGACCTCTGGCGGTCATTTCTTCCTCTTTTATCTGCCCGCTCGAAATGGAAAACGCGCATCCACCAGGGAAAAACGACCAAACTTATTTTCCGAAAAACTGCTAATCGTTTCGGGCGGCGTACGCGCGACAAAATCTCTCGAAAAACATCGAAGGGAACCGGTCAACGAGGCTTCGACGTGTTCCGTGGCTTTCGCAAAACGTTTAAGTAAAAGAAAAAAAATAGTCGCCGACTTCCACCGTTTGTTACCTTGCTGTAGGCGAAGAGCAGGCCGACGCCTTCCATGCAAACCTGCAACAGGCCACCTTCGCCGGTCGCCATGTCCTGCACGGGAAACTCCCCTCCCAACTCGGGTACGTTTTGCACCGAACCGTTCCGCTCCATCGCCTCCTTGATGCAGTAGTACACCTGTTTGCACTAAACAAAAGGAACGGAAAATCGTAGCGTGCCTTGCCACTTGTGACGTACGATTTTTGATCGATCGACGCTAGAAATTAACACTTTGTTCGCGATTTCTTACACCGACAAACGAAATTCTTCACGAAGTTGTCGACAGAGCTACCGGCTTTGCGCTGGCAACTCCCTAGACTTATTTGACGCCTCGAAATGTCACTTGACAGTTCAGTCAACTTATAGTATTTTGAGGTTATGTTTGTCTATTTTTGTTTTTGTTGGTTATTATTTTTTCAAGATGTCAAAAGAAAGCTCTGATAAAATATTGGTTCACGCGAAAGTCCACATAATTTTCGCATATTTGAAAAGAATAAAACTTTTGAAGGAATGAATTTTTATGTTGTTCGGCTTTGATCTATCCTGGATTTGTCTTGAGAAATGAACTCACCTCTTCCTAGACGTAAGAAAAGAAGTTATGGCCTACTAGACATAGAAAATACCTTTTATACTGAACTGCTTTAAATAAACAAACTTTCCAGTTCTTCTTTATTTACACTACATTACAATGCTCTAATTCATCTTGCCGGGCTTGGCAAATAATATCCAATATTGTCTTCTCAGTGGTTTACATGTAGTATTATTCTTTATTTCCCTTAACTGGACGCCCACAGTTCAACAACCTGCCTGCAGGGCCTTCCGGTGGAATAACACTTTCGAGAATGCTAGATGGCTTCGATTCTGGCCTTTTTCTTTTGCGTGCTCGGAATTTGTCTGAGATGCGCGAAACCGCAGTGGTAGCAGAAACCAAAGGTGAACTTATTAGTTTATAATAACTTAACCTTTCTTTCTTATCGATTTTACATGGTTGGCATTACTGAATTGAAGCAAAAATTGATGAAAATTAGAACAAGTTCTATTTCGGGAATAAATTTTTAATAGTAATTTCGTGAATTTGTTTTGGTGCATTACACTAGTCAACCAACTTCGTGAATTAATTCGTGAAGAAACTATCGGCGTAAAAATCGTTACGAAGTAACGAAAATAACCCCCATCTAGCGTTGCATCGTGAAACTAAGAAAACGTAACGGAAGTTTCGGCGCGCACGCGTTTGATGGCGCAACCACAGGAATATAAATATTCAACAACGCAAAGATTTCTTCATTTTAATTGTACAACAAAACAAACAAACAAAATATCGAACAGACAAACAAAAATATCGTGAAATTAACGTCGACAAAAAATAACGTTTCCGAAAACCGGAAAAATAACCTCAAACTTGAGAGTCGAAACAAAACGAACCGAACAAACACGATCTAAGAAAAGATTATTCGGTATTTAGCAACAAGGGGCTAAAAATTCTATAACAAATGATCACGAATAATATCGGTGTGTTTGTTTTCCATAAAATAATTGAAAGAAAGCCGAAAAAAACCTCTTTACTTCCCCGAGTCAGTTGACACTCTCGTCTGCGCCTGCAGCTCTTCTTCTTTTCTGCCATTAGGGCGTAAGTTAACATAAACCATCCGTGAGCTAATTAACCTCGCTTAAGCCCCATAGATGGCGCGACTCAAATTAAATTGTCAAACAGTAAGAACCAGATTGGGAGCTGTGCTTCGGGCGCGTAACGGATCAAATAATCTCTATTGATCGAATTTATTGTACAATTGTGGCTCTCGATGTATTCCGAACTTACCTTTTTGGTGTAGTACTTGTGAACTTGGGTTTGTCCGCCGCAGCGTCTCCACAAGCAGAGCACTTTGTTTTTGGGACTGTAGGTCATGTTGACGAGCCTTTCGAACCACCATCTCTCTATGATGACCCCCGTGACGGATCTGATCACGAGCCCGTCGTCTCTCACCTCCATGAAACGGAGTTCGCCGGTGCAATCGAGACCCTGGTGCACCGTGAAACTCTGACGGTGGAGTAACCGCGAACCCAGCGGTTTGAGGTCTATATCGTTGCCGTTCTGATTAATAGAGCAGGTAAAAGCTAATTTTTATGGACGGGGCGTTTCCTAACCTCTTTATTTGGTCCACAATTTCGTAAAAAAAAAGCAATACGGACCTGTGGCTTATCTTAATTTAGCGAAATTTTCAATAAAAACTTGTAGAAATTTGATTTGCTTAAAATTGCCTATACATTTTATAAAGATTACAGCTTCCTAATAAAAAAATAAAACGGATGATGTCAAACAGTTGTTCTTGGTATCAACATTTAAAAAAATCAAAATAAAAATACAATTTTCATAAATAAATATATGTTTATTTACTAATTTACAATAATCGAGTGAAAGTTTGAAAAAAAAAGCACTATCTGTTGATACTGTGGTATCTGCTTGGTTATTCTGTGTAAATTTCTTAATTTTATCTATAGTTGTAATTAATAAATTAAACATTTTTGTTTGTCAGAGATACAAAGTACAATTAGACGTGGATATTTAAGTCATTTTAAGGAGGCCATTTATGTTTTTTTTTGTATTATCAATTTTTTGGTTAGTTTCATTTACTAAATAACTGAGATCTTTATTCTTGTTCAGTACTTTTTTTCTTTGGTTTTTCTTTTTTGGTATTGCAGATATTGTTTACACAGTTGACCAATGTTGTGATTCTATTTTGGTTAGTTTGTTTTTGTGTATAGTTCTTTTTCACTTCTTTTATTTCTTTATTAAATATATTATTAGATATAATATTCTTTCAGTATATGCACCTATGTACCCATACCAATGGCCAAAGTTTTTTATGCTAGATTCCCAAACTGGTGACAGGTAGAGACCTGAGTCGCGGTTAAGATTGTTAAGGGGCCTATAGATATTTATAGACTCTCGGATTTTTCTTTGGTGGAAGAATTGATTAGATGCAAGAATTTTAGTTTTATCGAATAAAATTTTATGTCCGGTTTCGTGACTATGTTCGTCCGGATTCTCCAATGTATTCTTTGCCGCATATGCATGGAATGCTGTAAACTCCTGGCATTTCAAATGGAATTTTGTCTTTGATGGATCGAAGATGTTGAGAGACTTTAGGATAAGTGGTAAATCTAGTTTTGACGTTATATTTCTTTAGAACTTTTGATATGTGGTCAGTGATGTTTTGAATATAAGGACAACAGTGGCAAGTGTGGGATTGCTTTCGGTTTCATTGCTATTGGAAGGTTGTGGTAAAGTGTAGTTAGTGATGGAACGCTTAATATCTTTAATGTGGAAATTATTAGAGAAAAGAGCAGAGGTAAGGTGTTAATTCAGGGTTCAATGACTCGCACTGAGATAGTTCTACGGCGTAGGTTTTCTGTAAAACACAATTACCCAATGTTAGCTCTGATTTCCTATTGATAAGAATATCTAAGAATGGCAAAACATTTGTTATAAAGTTTAAGTGTCTAAGAAAATCTACTAAATATTCCTGACCATGAGGCCAAATAACAAAAGTATCTTCCATAATTTTGTTTGATGGAAGGTGTCGAGAGTTTTTCTGAAAGGCTTCCATGAATATATTGGAGATTACGGGTGCTAGTGGAGAACCCATAGCTGTTCCCGACGTTTGTTCAAAAATTTGAACGTTATGAGAAAGGTGAGAAGGTTTGGTTCCAGATTCTCGAATTTTAATATATCTGAAATGATGTTGAGAGTTTCAGGAATAGGAACTTTGGTAAAGAGAGGTTCTACGTCGAAACTAACCAGAATATCTTGCGTATCTACTGTAATGCTTTTTTATTTGTCCAATAAAGTTAAAAGAATTAATTACGAAACTGTCAGTTTTCCCTGTAAGGGGTTTTAGTAAGGAAGCTAGACATTTTGCTAGAGAATATGTTGAAGAACCAATGGTGCTGACAATAGGTCGAAGGGGTAATCCTGGTTTGTGGATCTTTGAGAGAGAGATTTTTTTACGGAGTCTGATAAAGAAGAAGTCTTAATGATAGATTTAAGGTTGCGTAAGTTTTGTAAAAAGTATTACCCGTGGAAGTTTCTTTGAAATATGTTATTACCTGTTGTTATTGGGTAAAGTCATTAACCAAAAATTTATTCTTCTTCTGTGTATGAAACTTTAATCAATGATGGCTGTGGCTGTCATCACGATAAAGACAGACTATCCTTTAAATCTAAGTTACAGAAACAAGCTAACGATGCCACGTCATCAAGGTGCCTTGTTTCAGAGATCATTTACATTCGACGTTATTCTACAATATCTCTGAGTGGAGTTTGTTTTTTTTTTTCATACTAAACGCTAGATTGCGTTACTATTGAGCTCTCCGGTTAGTAGTACTGAACTCTGTTGAACTAATTAAAACTAATCAAACAATATGATGCGTACCAGGTTGTGTATCTGATCGAGCAGCAGGTTCACCTCCTGACTGTACACCAATCCGATGTGACTTTTGCCCAGCAGCCTTCTTACTTTGCGTTTTATCTCGTCCTTGTCGCAGCCGAGCATGACCAAGATGGCCGTGAGGTTGTACAACATGGTGGCCAATAGTCTGTCCTCTTCGTGTTCCAACCTTTTTCTCTCTGTGTCGCTCAATCCCTTGTATCGTTCCATCATTTCCCGCGGTCCCTAAATCGATCAAGTCAGACACCGGGGTGTTACGTTGTTGCCCGTCATCTCTTACTTGGTCCATTCCGATCGTGTCCCTCTCTTGGGACACCGCGTCCAAGAAAGCGTCCTCCCAAAACTGCATCTGGTCCCACAGGTTCGATCTATCCTTGCCCAGCAGGCCTTCGAACAGGTACGTCCTGGCCGATTCCGGTGACGGCGATTGCGCGGTGTTGACAATATGGCCCCCGTGATATCGAAACCCCGTACTCAACGACGACTTGCTCGACCACACGCTTGCCGTCCTCTGCTTTGGCAACTTGGGGAACTGCAAGAACGAGAATGGTACGGTTTGTCAAATAGGACGACCCCCTCCGACATCAACTTTGTTATTTTAAATGTGAACACCTTGTATATATCGACGTCTTCATTGTCTGACACAGTGATGCGCAAACTATCTTCATTTGCGACCCCCACTTTTTTTAAACAAGTAGAGAGTAGAGGTTTTTTTTAATCGTTAACGTAGTTAAAATGAAACTATTTCTGAAATTTCCTTTTATTTGAGATTTTTACATAACACATAATTTTGTGAAACAATGGTTTTATGTCCATGTTCGGAACTGTATGGGAAACCGCAATCCGTAAGTCATCCTGTGGATCTAATCGAGATCGATATTTTGTTTTAATGGCAATTAATTTTGAAGAGCCGGATTCACATGAGTAGGTCGATGCGAATTAAATCAAAATATTTTTGGCAAGTCAGAGACCTAAATTGAATGCCCAGAGTTTTGTCATTCGAAATATCAATTAACTGTTCTTTTTCATTTAACGGGATATTGGAATTAATAATATCAAACGAAAATGAATTACGGATCCAATCTAATTCTTCAGCGTCACAACGCCATTTTATACGAGGCAATCAACGTATGAAAAAAACCACATAACCTCAATTTCTGTCTAAAGTATGTAAAATCCGAATAGGAATTTCTTAAGAAATTGACCTTTATTTTAACCAAGGATTCCAAAAATATCGAAATATGTTCCGTTTAGAATAACAAAGTTGATGTCGCTCTACTCTCCAGACTTAGCCTCCAGCGATTACCGCCTGTTTTCTAACCTCAAAAAATGGCTTAGCGGTAAAGGATTTAATTAAATTAATTAATCATCATTAATTAATTAAAGAGTCCGAATTGCCCTTATTTTTGAAGTTTCAAATTTGAATCGTTCAAATGGCCCGTAAGGTCGATTAGAAATGCCATTTCGTCACATAAAATCCGCTTTTTTATTTGCTTTGATGTTACGTCGTAACATTCGGCTGATGTTCCATCCAAAAACGGTTAAATTAATGATTTTTGCTGCCACACTCATAACAGTCTAGGAGTTAAGCGCATTTAATTTAGTTAGACCATGCAAGCACCATGGCAAGTCAAAAATACCGCTCGAAATGCTTAACTGAAACTGCCTCGCATTTTAATCTGTCCTTGCTTATATATGGTCTGAGAGGGGAGGAGCTAAAGTGCTATAGATTATCATATTTCTTCGTGGTCGTGAAGAATTCGGATGATTCCGTCGGAGCATATGTTTGCCTCGGATGGTAAGAAGGTATGATTTTTTTTTATCACATCCAGGAAATATTTTTGCGTATCCATTTAGAAATTTTATTATTATCATTACTAAATGAGATAAAACCGTAGAAATCACTAATTTATGTGTAAAGGAAAGAGCTAATATATATGAGATCAAAAGTTAACAAAAGCGGTACATAAATTTTTATTAGATTTTCAAGTAAATCCAAAATAGTAAAAAAAAATATTGCCATTTTTATTAAGTCTATAGCATGTACATTAAATGGCAGAAAACATACATTGGAAATTCTATATTGATTATGCTTTATTTTTTGATAATATTTACTGGTGCGTGAATGCACCACTGGTTTTATCTGTGAAACAAAACTTTGTTATTGCAAGTCTAGACAAGTCAGCGCATGTAGAATGAAGAATGACGAAGAAGATATGAACGATAACATAATTCTACAAGAGTTTGGGGAACCAACTGATATAGTTGGAACTTTCGAGTTAACCAAATGATACAGCTGTGCTTCAACAGTCCTCTAATTCATCAACTACTGAAACTGAATGGGACTCATCAAATGATGAAACCCTGGAATTCAAAAGAAGACATATGCTTTCTGCAAACTACAGGTTTGCTTCTGCTGTCCAATGGAAGAAAGGTTAGATTGAGTACACTCACACACCTATATCCGATGAATTTAGATCCCGTGAGGAACTAAAAAATAGTATAATATAGTATAAAAAATTGTATAATATTGTCATCGAACAAAAGATTTCCCAGGTAGATTTTAAATCTTACACTGCTTTGCGACTTTTAAAAACTGATAAAACAATTACTCAAAGAAATCTTGCACCTGCCATAGATGAAGTGCATTATGATAATCAAGGTCACGAAGGAGCTGCAGAATCTGCCACAGTCACACAATTTACGTTTGTAATAAGTGCGATGTATTTACATACTTCATGCTTTGTAAAATATCACCAAAAATGAAACCCGGTGTTACCAGTGGTGTGTTTTTTCGTATCAAATCAGGTTCTATTTGGAAAACAATCTACTTTTAGTTGTTTTCTGTCGAATTTGAACTTTCTTTTGTATATTTATGTATAAATCATATTTTACACCTTATGTGCCCCAAAACATTATTTAATGTTTTTTCCCAGTGGTTCGTTTACGCACCAGTATTTTTTGTATGTTTCGAGTTTTCATTTTCTTTTTTTGGCACATGTAATATATTCTTAAGTGCAAAAAAACAAATAATTTCAGAGCAAAAAAGCATTTTTTTTTGTGTTTGGGATAATATGGGTTAAGCTCGTTTTCTTTTGTTTTATTGTTTTGTCAAATCTGTTTTTATGTTTCATTACAAGTTCCCTGGACAGTTTGGCAACCATTTTGAACGTAGAACGGTAGCAGCTGTCATTCTGTCAGCTGTACACTTTTTGGCAAATTTGACAAACGCACCTGACGTAAACGGACCAGCGATAACTATGACGTCACCAATCTTTACCTGCAACGTTTCGACCTCGGTATCGGACACGGTCGATCTGAACGATGCCTGTGCTCCGCCTCTATTCAGACCGCAAGCGGGACCCGTGGTGATGGAACCCGTCGAAGGTGAAACGGTACCACCGGAACCATGCAACGTGCCCTCAGCCTGCCACACATAGTTAAAAAAAAATAGGCAAAAGCATTCAGAACTGATTAGAAAAGCAGGTTGCACGATTTTCTTTATAAGGTGGAACGGACATTATACTAGAATAAGAGTTTTCCGAAGAAAGTTTTGAAATTTTGGCAGAAACCTTGGCTTTTATACGGAAGTGTCGTGGTAGACGGCGTTCCACTCGTTTTGCTATTTTTTTCTCTTGTTATCGAGGGCGTTGACTACTAACTATCCACCATTTTTCGCATTTCTTCTTTTTTTGGTTGATATGGTTCAGTGTATATCATCTCGGGTGTCTTGCTGTATCGCGCCTTGTCTAGTTTCGTTTCTTCTTAGGCTTTCAGGCGTTTCATGTTTCTATTATTGCATCAGAAAGCTTAGTAATTTCTGAGATTTCCTTGACCTTTAAACGTCGATCACTCAATACCATCTCTTACATTTACTAACATTTTCCGTTATGACCTTCACTGGTCGACCAGTTCTTGAATCATCTTCAAGGTACTTCTGCCCCATTTGAAAACGTTTTGCCCATTCTTTCACTACAGAATACCAAGGAGAACGTTGGCCGTACACACCATCCAGCCTTTCTTTAATAATTTTAGGTGCTAACCCTTCCTTTGTCATGCATGATCATTTAGGTATGCATAAGGTTAGTGCAAGATGGGTTCCTAAAAAACGATAATACACCTGTCCATACTGCTGGTGTTGCACAAGCTGCCATTTTAGAGTGTGGGTTCCAACAGATAGATCATCTTCCCTATAGTCCAGATATGGCCCCCAGCGACTATTATTTGTTTGGATATTTGAAAAAGGACTTACGTGGACGGCGGTTTAACGACGAAGTTGAGTTAAAAAAGGGTGTTTTAGCTCATTCTGCGGACAAACCAAAAGAATATTTTTTGAAAGGGATTGAGTTGTTAATAAAGAGATGTAATAAGTGTATTGAAATTAAGGGGGATTATATTGAAAAATAATAAAAAGTTGTTACTCTACTTTGTATGAAATAAATATGAAAGATCTCAGTAAAGTTGATAATAAAATTTTGTTAAAATGTTGTGAGACAGGTTTCAATAAAATAAATCTATGTTGAGAAAAAAAAATGATGATACTGATTTGAATTATCATTCCCTCATAGTTGATTTTTTTCATCGCTACTTTTTTTTCATTCAAATCAAAAAAGCTGGGGACCACGTAGTGTGCTAATTTACCAGAGGACTACATAAAAAATGGAAAAAATTGGCATTTTTTGCTAATTATACTTTTAATATTATGCGAAGTCGTTTTTCGCAAATTCATGAGAACTACTCATGTATAGTCGGTTTTAGAGTTAGACTTTGGATTTTTTAGGTTGTTCCGTTCTTGCCCCCTCGAACGGTTTAGTCTTCGAGCGTCTCTGACGGGAGACACGCAAAGATGTTGCGAAAAAACGTTATGCGGAACTTAGTAGAGAATTTGGGCTGGTTTTTTAACTACCAAAACTTCAAAACTCACGCGGAACTCTTGAATTACGCGAATATTTACAAATGTACATGCGTCAGTCGGTGATAAAATGAAAATGCGGATATTTACGTCAGAGTCGAACGAAGTGAGTTTGCTGAGGATCATGTTCTTCTTCTGAGTCAACATGTCCTTGAAAATATCGGCTGTCGATTGTTCCCTGTCCGTATCGTCGCCCTGAACCAGACGTACTTCCGGCGGATCTAAAAATATACCAAGTACTTTTTTGTGAAATAAAAATCAGAAATGTAATTTGGAAATGAAACGCTAGTAATACTTTCTGCAAAACTTCTGGATTCCCCCTGCGTCGGTTTCGCCAATCATCCTGTTGGCTTCTTCAGAGCTTGACTGAAACTGCTTATATATTGTTTGAGGGGGGCGGAGCTAAATGAGGGGTATGAACAACGTCTTGGATGACTGATTCCCATATTGGTGACAGGTAGAGATCTGAGTCGCGGTTAACGCAAAATGATATATATTTTATAAAAAAAATGCGCGTACGCCGCTGGATTCTATGCAGAATGATTTGCTTGACCGAAATGAAATTTCCGTTTTCGCTGGCAATGTAAAATCGTTTATCGTGTCCGGTGTTTGGATACAATCGTTCTGGTCGTTGGATCATACGGAATTACCTGCTTGTGAAGATTTTCTGCTGTCGTTTTCCCAATCGGAGGACTGGAGCGAGTATCTCGGGCTCTGTGGCGATTTTGGGCTGGAACTCTGGAAAGCAAGCAATAAAAAAGATTAATTGATAATATAATAATAATAATATGTTTTCGCATTGTCGTGCTTTGAGATATACCCTAACTGAAAATCGCACCTGCGTGATATCGGAAGACATGGCGCCGTCGCCGACATCTTTGGACCAGTAATGGGTATGGGCGACTTCTTGCAACTGAAACGCTGATGCCATACCTCCGAGGCCGTAGTTGCCGTAAGTCACTTCTAAACCGTGCACGATCGCTTGTAACACCTTCAGCATACCTTTCCACACGGGTTTCGGTAAACACTGGAATGCATTTTGCACAAGCTTCAGCAGTAGATCCGAAGGATGACCGGAAAACGGAAGAAAGCCAAAACCCAAACGTTTGCAAAACCGCAATGAATAGAATAAACAAACAATTAAAGAAAAGAAAAAAAAAGCAGTATATACAGAGACTTTTCGTCTAAAACCGGATTTCGGATTCAGACTTGAGATCGTTTCGTCAATCATATCGCTGGCCTCTTCAAAGCTTAACTGAGACTGACTCGCGTTCTACTCTGTATAATACGACCAAAAATATAGCGCATTTATTGCGTTGACGTTGAACAGATGTTTATTCTGCATTAAGTGGGTCTTGCCTGAGATAGAAGCTGTTTTCACTAGATAGTTCAAAGGGTAAGGGTAAGTATGGTCTGTTCATATATATATATGAAAGTGACCAATTGCTTTTGAATGAGATTATCCAAGGGTGGTTAACATACAATGCAACAAGATTATTACCTAAAGTTTCGGAATTTAAATTTAAATTCAGGTACCTGTGTTTAATATTCTTTGGTTTGGTATACTACTTAGTTTAAGTTTATTAGTAATCATTCTTATTTCGTGTATAATACATCGTGTGCGAATTATGCAAAATATGCGCCAGTCTAGTGTATCTCAGGAGATGCTCCCGCCCAAATGTTGCAAATGGGATAGACAAGTGGAAAATGAGAGAAAATGCTGGTACTTCGCGAGTTTTTAAAAAGCAACACTAATTAGGCTTATAATCTACGACGTATATAAAGCGAATAATGTTTTAAGCGTAGAAGAACTGCAAAATGCACAATAAACATCTCTCGGGATGGGTTTAACCATGGTCCTGCGAAGGTCTGTGGTTAAGGTACTGTAAAATACTTAAAACGTCAAAGCAATAAATGCACTATATTTTTGGTCGTATTATAATTTAAACTGTAATTTTTCTTTAGATTTTATTGTTTAATTAGGGATATTTCGTTATCGGACTTTAATTTTGTATATTTAATTTTTTCAGTATAGGTCGCTTGATTGAATTTCATGGATATTAATTGGACATATTTTATTAATTTCTAGTATAGCAGTCTTATATCAAAGGTATATATCAAATGGCGATTTCAAAGTATCCCGATTTATGATATTTTGACAGGTCACTTTTCGTAATAAAGTACGATAAATTGAAATTAAAATCTTTTAATTGATATCTATTTCTGAAAAGCTAACAACGAGCCCAATAAAATTATTAAAAGACACGCAAATGACCCTGTATATCGAAATTGGTGTTTAAATTTTGGCTTTAGTAATTAAAAATATGAAAATGGACTGTCTTACGACGTCGTCGATGTGATCGTCTGGTGCGATTTTCCTGTCTAGCGTCTTGTTGATTTTGCTGAGCACGAAGTTGCGATACGACTCGTCCTCCATCAGCTTCTTCAGGCGGTTTAGTTTGAGCCAACCGACGCCTTCGCCTTCGAGAACGCTGCCGACGATCTGAATAACCGAATCGTGAACTTTTCGCCGTTTTGCCACGCGCGCAACGTACGTCTTTGAGAAAAGCCTGGTTCTCACTGTTCGTCGCGGACTTGTCTACGCTTTGTTTCCGTTGCAGATCGTCCTGCCTTTTGGGCACGTGTTTGATCAACGGACTCTTCTCGACGATACCTTTGGGTCCGCGTTGAAACGGCCCGAACATGCTGGTCTTGGATTCCTTTGGTCTGGGCACTTGGCTCGGGCTCTGTTCCGGTTTCAGTTCCCTTTTGCTACCGAACAAGTCGGAAAACATGCTCGACGTACTCGTGGCCAGTCCGTTGAGGTCCGAACTGATGTTCGTGAAGAAATCGCGACTTGCACCGGCCAGCACGTTCGAAGTGCTGACCAGCGAGGTGCTGCTGCTGCTGCTGGAACCCCGTCTCGAGTCCGATCTGCTGAAGGAGTCCGTCTGCAAGCCGATACAGATAGAAAATTTCAACGAGGCACGACGACGCTAACGGTACCCTTAGCAGACCCTTTTTGGTGGCCGCCTCCTTGGCGCTTTTGGTCAAATCGCCCAGGGTGGACTTGCCCACGTACGTCAGGTCGTCTAACGTGGTCTTGCTCATCGCGGTAGCGGTTTTGCCCGCCTCCTGGACGCTCTTGGAGGCCTCCTCGGCTGCCTTTTTTGCTTGGGTGGTGAACTGTAGATCGATCGTTTTTTTTTTTAAAGGAACTTCCACCACCATCATAATACTTGTTTACGACATAGCAATTTTGAAAGCACATAACGAGGCTACACTGGTTTCTTTGAAAAATTAACCAAATGCAAAAACGGAAACCATAACGTCATTCCTAAGATCAATAAGACTCTTTTCTCATGTCGATTCACGACAACACTTCGAAATTTTGAAAAGCTAACCTCAACACTTACGAAACGATCAAACCCATACATTATTATCAAAAAGGAGGAAAGCAGAAACCAAAACGTCATTCCTAATTTTCCTTAAATATCCTATGATATCAAAAATGCTGGAAATTTGCGTTTATCTTGTAACCCATTTGTCACATTCAGAAATTTGGAAAAGCTAACCTCAACATTCAATCATCAAAGTCTTCCCAACCAGCAAACATTTTGATTAATACATCATCGCTCCAACTTTCTGAGATTGAAGAATCGTATGACGTATAATCCCAAAGGAGAAAATCATTTGAAATCTTAAACAATAATGAAATTCGATTTAAAAGTGCAAAAATTTAACGTCCTGAATCAAAGTCTGAACGCATAGCTTAATATCAAGAAAACATTCAAGGTGTTCTTAAAAACCGAGAAAGAACTCTTCATATCCGTAAAGAAATACACGAAATCAATAGGACTCTTTCGTCACTACATCTTGACATTGTTCTCATACCTCTCATATCCTTAGTCACATTCGAAAATTTATAAAATTGATTTCAACACCTTTTCAAGCATCAAACATCGTGGTAAATGTATCATCCTAGCGACTTTCTGAGACTGAAGAGTCAGCGAAAGTTTCCGACTTTGTTCCAAATGAGGAAATCATTTCAAATGTCGAGTCTTAGATTAGATAAAAACGGCAAAAAGCTAACTTCCTAGCTAACGAACGCATAGCAAATTTGTGAAAAAAAAACTTTAACTTGGTTCTTCGACCCATCCGCTTCGCTTCTACGTCCAAACCCTTTGCAGGGAAAACTTGTATTAAACTTGTACTAAACTTCCTAGTCCTGAAGCATTCAATATAGTATCAGGTATATTGGAAAAACAGGACGAAAAGTAGCAATTAGGAACAAGCAACGCGAAAAAGCGTGAAAGTTCTTGCACCTAAACCATTCCTCTACCAAAAGAAGATCGCTTAGCTCCTCCCTCTCGAACCGTATATAAACAGCTCCGACTCAACCAGCAAGAAGATTTTCAGATAGTACCAATCAATCAATTAATAAAAAAACATTGTGCGCGTACCTTATCAAACGGAGCGAATATGTGACTTTCCTCCGCTTCAGACAGTTTCTCTTTCGCCTGGAATTTCAGCTAAAAAACGCGTCGTTGAATGTTTGGCCCAACGCGTATCCGAACTCTCTCACCTTGTCCATTTGGGCCAAAAGTCCGTCCTGGCTACTCTGACGCGTCGTCTCCCTTACCAGTTCCTTCGCTTGAGACGCGAACTGTTCAAAGAGAGAACCCTGAGAACCCTGCCTAGGCACGCCGCTTCCAGCAGAGTGTAACTGTCCGGGACTCGAGGTTCCGGAAGAACCCAGACTCGAAGCTTTGGCGAAGACGTTCCCCACGCTGGGCTGCTTTTGTAATGGGGCGGGAGTGATCGGAGGAACCTGTATATATATATATATATATATATATATATATATATATATATATATATATATATATATATATATATATATATATATATAATTACGAATTTTAATCTTGGGTGCCAAAACGATACAAAGAGAATCGAAATTTCTATATATACTTTTTTATTCAAGAAATATTTTTTTACTAGCTAAAATTTAGTAAAATTTACCATTTTTTGAGTAAAAACTTTATTTTAGCTGAGCAAATTTTTTATCTATAAATTTGTTAGTTAAAATCTAGAATAAAAATTATATAAAAGTTTTTGATTTTTCATCAAGAAATGATAAACACCCGCCCATGAAAATCTTATACCACCAGCGCAAATTTCTTTTTTCAGACCTATTAATTTATATATCCCCAAACGAATCCTGCTTAAAAAGAGTTGGAAGATAAGAAATTAATACGGTTACAATACCCTCAATTATTTTTATAGCTCCTCTCCTTTTTCTTTAGGAACTTTTTATTCATCTGATTGTAAGTACATATTAATATATACATATATAATATAAGCTTTTGAACTTCGTTTGAAACCTTTGTTATTACAAAACAATTTAAACTTCTGAAAACTAATCTGGTTAGCTTTTGGATCAGATTGAAGTCAATGATTCGGTAGAAATATTAAGAGGTTGTCCAAGTTCCATTGCCTTTATTATTTAAGATTATATTCTTCAGGCAAATTTGCTCGACGTGCCCTTGGAGGGAGTTTAGAAAAAGAGAAAGGTTGTAGAAGTAGAAATAATGGCTCTATTAGCATCTCTGCAGATACGAAATCATTATGTAAAGCAACCAAACCTGGAATCGTCTAGGAGACACTGTAATACGTTACATCGAACCATCTGAGTTGGATACTCTTTCTCTCTTGACGATCGTGTACACATCAAATAGCGAAACATTTCTACAAGACAAAGAGTGTATCTACCAAATACACTGTGAATATTGAGAGTCATGTAACCAAGACACCTTAAGACGTTCGAGTTGAAGAAGATAGGAAACACCTAATGAGTTCTTGGTACTCAGTACTGTTTTGGTGGCATATTCTGCAGATTTTTTTTGCTATTGTCTCCAGATTGGCAGGTAAATCGTTTACGTACGAATGAGATCAAGTTGAAAATTGCATGACGTCCGCTTACTCACCTTCCTTTGTCTCCTGCTCGCGACGCTTCTGTCTGCGTCGTCGGTACTCGATCTCTGATTAGTGTTAACCACCGTTTTGGGCGTCGTCGTCGAATTCGAATCGGACTCGTTCTCGTTCGTGTCGTCTTTGTCGCCCTTTGGCAAATCCCGCTCGCATTTCGTTTGCTTGCCAAACTCCATTTCCGAATCGCGGTTGAACGACGGCGAGCTCAGATCCGAGTCCGAGCTGGAAGAGGAGTGCGGCGATTCTGATCTAGGTACGGGAGCTTCTCCGTCTGGGTACCGCAGCTCCGACGGCGGTTTGTAGACGCTGTCCACGTCCACGTTCGACGAAAACGTCATGCTTTGCGCGGACGCTTTCCTCTGCTCGTGATACGACAAGTACCCTGGCGAAAGGTCCGAGGAGACCATTTCGGACACGAAATCGCTCAGAGACGAGTAACTAGAGCTGGTACTCTCGCCTTCCTCCGAATCCGAGCCACTCTCGTCTGTCGGTTGGTACTCTTGACCTTGGACGCTTCTCAGGGCTCCGTTCAGCGAGCTTCCGTCGTCCCATACGACGAACTTGATCGGTTCCAGGGTGTGCAAGTACCATTTCGGTTTGTCCCCGATCAGGATGGGGTCCAGGACGCCGGTGTGAATCCTCTGGAATGCGACGTTGGTCGGGGTCAGGGACCATTCGGCCAGGAACTCGACCGCCTGCGTCCGCGCGAATTTGCTGAGGAATTGAGACGCCCTCGGGCGGGATCTCAGGAAACTGTTGATCTGGAAGGCGACCACGGGACGCGGGTACAGCCTCAACGTCCTCGTATGCTCGGAAAAGTTGGCCAGCAAGTTTTGCGAATTGAAAAACCTCACCTGAATACCAAAAGTTAGGTTGAAACGCACTTTAAACTGTCGCTTAAAGGCAATGGAAGACGCAAGAAGAATTGACCGATTGGTGAAACGTCGGATTTATCAACGAACGACGCAGATTTGCAAATTGCTACGCAAAACGATACCATAATAACGGAACGTGCACTTTTAGATTAACTTTAAACGGAATTTAAAAATTCTAAATCTCGGGGTTTTGATGACCTCAGGCAGTATTTAAATAAACTACTTATATTATACGTTACATCTTGGGAATTTCAAATATACAGGGCGATTCATAAAGATAGCGGATATTAGACGCGAAAAAATTACGAAATTCCGACATTTGATTTGAAGTTTTTTTTTCATTATTCATTATTAAATATTGGTTTTTTATTACTCCGCTTCAAAAACTTTTTAAATGCTAATAAGTCAAAAACTGACAAAATCACATGAGGTAATACCCTCTAGAGGGAACGTCCAAATTCGTAATTTCCACGTCAAAAAATCGAAAACGATCAATATTTTAAAACCATTTGCAATTAGCGAAAAAAAAAACAGAATATAATTAAAACATTGTATCGATGTATCGATGTCCCATACAAAACATTCAAGTCATAATTTTTAATTTGTTTTCCAGAAATCCAGACTAATTTTTGAGTTATTCTGACTTATTGCAAAAATTACGATTTATTTAAATTCTGACTTAAAGAAGACACTCTGACGCTTTTTTTAGACTTTAATCAGAAATTCTGACTTAATTTTCAAAAGCCTGACTTATTTTAGAAATCTTGTCTTGTTTTTCAGAAATTCTTATTTATTTTTCAGGAATTTTTACTTGCTTTCTATTAACTTTCTTTTTTTAGTATTTCTGACTTAGTGCAGAAATTATGATATATTTTGCTTACATTCTGACTTAAGGCAGAAACTCTGACGTATTTTTCGACTTTTATCAAAAAATTCTGACTTAATTTTCAAAAAGTCTGACTTATTTAGAAATCTTGTCTTGTTTTTCAGAAATTGTGGTTTATTTTTCAGGAATTTCGACTCGTCTTCTATTAACTTTTTTTTTTAATTTGCATTTTTTTTAAATAAAAGCAGAAACTCTGACGTATTTCTTCGACTTTTATCACAAATTCTGACTTAATTTTCAAAAAGTCTGACTTATTTAGAAATCTTGTCTTGTTTTTCAGAAATTGTGATTTATTTTTCAGGAGTTTCGACTCGTCTTCTATTAACTTTATTTTTTTTATTTTGCATTTTTTCTGACTTAAGGCAGAAATTCTGATGTATTTTTTAAACTTTTATCAGAAATTCTGACTTAATTTTCAAAAAGTGTGACTTTTTTTTAGAAATCTTGGCTTGCATACAGAAATTCTGATTTATTTTTCAGGAATTTTCACTTGTTTTCTATTAACTTTAATTTTTGCACTTATTCTGACTGAGAAATTATGATTTATTTTGCATACATTCTAACTTAAGGCAGAAACTCTAACGTATTTTTTAGACTTTTATCAGAAATTCTGACTTAATTTTCAGGAATTTTGACTCGTTTTCTATTAACTTTAATTTTTTCAGTAATTCTGACTTATTGCAGAAATTATGATTTATTTTGCATACATTCTAACTTAAGGCAGAAACTCTAACGTATTTTTTAGACTTTTATCAGAAATTCTGACTTAATTTTCAGAAACTTTGACTTGTTTTCTATTAACTTTAATTAGATTTGTTTTTCAAAAATCCTTATGTTATTTCTGGTGGTCTGTCAGTGCTGTCGTAAAAATATGTATCGATCCTGACAATTCCTGTTTGAGATTTATATAAGGCATAAGACGAAGCCAGAGCGTGTCAAACCATCTAAAAAGAACATTTAAATTTAAATATTCGGGGATTATTTATTTCACTTCTGATAGGTTGCACTTAATCCATTATGGTTTCTTGCACATCTTTTGCAGTAAACAGGTAATATACAGGGTTGGTCAAAAAGTAGAAGTCGATACCTACTTTACTTTTTGTAAATCAAACACAATTATTTTAAAATCCATTTTTCTTCTGTAGAATTAGATCTTCTACAGTCAGATCTAATTCTATTAGAGGTTGAGGATAATACAGTAGCTTCAAGTAATGATGTTAGCCCACGACGAGCTTTAAAAGAAGCAAAGCATCATCACTACAGGATGATCCCGACCGCAGAAAGATATCTTATCGCAGTGATATAACTGGATCAATAGAATGGCCTGCGAGCTCACCAGATATTACTCGACTGGACTTTTTCTCCAGCTGACGTTCAAAATCGAAAGTATATATTGAAAAACTTGAACACCATGTCAGAGACCTTACCATCGCAACTCTGGTGGCGACGTCTACCGAGTCTACGTCGTTTCCATATATGAAGGGATTGAATCCCGATTGCAGGGTGGGAGACAACGTCCTCGGAGACAGAGCAGCAGCGGTTTGAGGCGACAAGGAGAGTTTTTGTTGGGCGGTGGGCGACACTTCCTGAGGACTGGCCCTGCAGGGACGATTATTAGACACCTTAAGGATTATAGTTGCATTGTCCTCTCACCCCAAGTGACTCGAAGACGACGTCGATAGGCTTTCCCTCCGGGAAGGATGCAGTTGTGCGTTGGTGTTACTGGGAGCCGTCAGGTTGGAAATGGCCTGTGGAGAAATGGCCATTAGTTTCTAAGCGGGGCGTCGCTTTTTTCGAAGCTCTACGTCATGCAACAGTATCTCAACGCTCTTGGAGTCGGTATAAATACGAGCCAAAACATCGGAAAACAATTACCTACTTAGAGGTTGCAGAACCGCAAGCAACGGAGGAGACTTTCAAATGTCAAAATTTAGAAGTAGTTTTTTAAAAGGCTAGACTGGAGATTGGCCGTTTTTTGACCCTGTACAGGATGTGGAATGGAATTTCGATTGAAAAAAGTTTTGCCTCAAAGAGGAAACGTTAGTAGATAAATGAGGGTGGTTCCGGCGCACATGCAGCGTCGTAAGGTTTGAGGTTATGCGCGCTGAGACTTCTTTTATATTATAACCTCGTTTATCAGGTGTCGTTTTTTACGCAACATTCGCATCAACGATTATAAACCATTTACTCAACAAGCACTACCAACTTTTACGCGCGAAAGTCACAGGAATGTGCAAGCCTGCCCCGTTTACCGCTCAAGTGTGCGTGAAAAGTGCAAAAATGGTGGATATATTTACTCCGGTGCCGACTTGGTCCATAAGTTGCATTGCCTTTCGGTGGAAGCGTAGAAAAAAAACGTCGGGGAAACGGAAAATATCAAACGGGGGCTTCGATTTGTAGGAGCATCGGTTGGCTCACTTACCTGCTTCAAGTGGTTTTTCAGAATCGTGCCTTCGGGCTCGGGCAGAGGGGGGATATCGATCGGCGAATGTAATTTATTTGAGTCTAAGTCCACTAAACACACATCGTCGGGCAATCTGAAAAGCATCCTCTTAAAGGGTCCACATTTTGGAAAGGTATATTTGCTTCGACAAGAAAGTTGAAAACAATAGTGAAAAAAATATTAATAAATAATATAAAAATTAAATATATTTTTTGATATACACAACATACACGTTAAATTCTCAACAATTTTTGTTCTTAATCTAATAAGTGTTTGTTTTACTTCGTTAAACTTTGAAATAAAAACACCGAAAAAATAGTTATTATAAATTAGATACACGGTTCTATAATATATTCTTTAGATATATAGAACAGAGTGTCCTCAAATGTTAAATCCTTTAAATAATTAGTAAAGACATTTAAAAATTATATAGAAAAAACTTACAAAATATGTATTTTAGATTTGGAGAGCACATACTCCCAAAACATCTGTTATAAATTAAATACTTAGTTTTAAATACGTAGTATGTAGTATGTAATATGTAGAACATAACTCCATTCCTTCATGCGTAAAATTTGTAATAATTTTTTTCACTTTAATTTGCATTTATGTAAATGGTTTTTTATTGTTAAACAAAAAAAAAAATAGAGACATAGTTTTAAATATATCTTTTAAAAATTCACAATGCCTTCACAAGTTCAATTTTTAATATTTTTTTGTTTTCAATCTAATTTGTATTTTGATTTCAATTGTATGAAAAAAATCAATTATGACTTAGATACATAGTTTTGGTTAATATGTAGAACACAATGCCTTCATACGTAAAATTTTTAATAAAATTTTTGTTTTCACTCTAATTTCTATTTTTTTTAAATTTCCTAACCATCTATAACAAATGAAAGACTGTTCAGCAATACACGAAAAAAATTCAATTATAAAAATAAATCATTCTAAATATATGTGTAGAACACAATCCTCTGCTTTGTATTTGTGTTAAAGAAAAATGTATATCAATAATTTTGGGTACATACTTTTTAAATCTTTAATATATAAATTTGTTTTGTTTTTTTTACAACTCTAATTGGTATTTGTTTTATATATGTTTTTTTTTGTTTAACTTTAAAATCATCAATTCGGCCAATCAAAGAACAAGAACAATATGTGGCTCAAGCTAACGCCAAGTTATTGTTCTTAAAATAATGATAACTAATGCACGTCGATGGAAAAAATAATAATTAAAATGACATTGAAAAAGCGGATACGCACATCCTTTTTTTTTACTCACCTAAAGTTCTTTTTGTACATGAGGAAGCTGACTGGCAATCCTATAACAAAGGGTGTCGGCGCCAGAAGAAGCTACGAGTAACGAGTCTTTAGTTAATTTAGTTAGTTTTGGTTAGTTCTGGTTCATTGTGTTTAGTTTTGGTTGGTTTTAAATTTAAGCCGTTTATCAATGTCACTCACTTGCTCTGCACAGCTCATACACGTGGGCAACAGTGGAATGACCGGGAACATATACTCGAGGGGATATATCATGGTCACAAAAGCCATCACAGACATTGAGAGAGCGTTGTAGTCCCGAGACTGAAACACGACCTTATTTTCTAACAGTATTATCGTAAGCACCTTCAGGCAAGTTTCGACACCTAAAAAAGTAATACAATACGATAAAATTCGGTCGGTCGTTTTCTGATATGCTCACCTAACAGTTCCAACGGAAGGTGTAAAGGAAAATCGACTAGGCTAAATCTGGTGTGATTCGGTAAGGCAAAAACTAAAGGCTCGTATACGCTAGGCGACAGCACTTCCACTTCGATCCTGGAAAATGCGACAGATTAGTGATTGGTCCAGTAACACAGCGAAAGCATTGGTTCATAGAGCGAAATACATTGCTAAGCTCCTGCGCCAAAAAGGTACCATTTGCTTCCGAACACCATAAAGACCGAGGATATCTGCAAAAGGCGATTGGTGCCTCTGGAGATACGCTCCACACCGCTCGGTGTGCAATGTTACGTGACTGTTATACTGCTCACCCCACTCACTTCAACAATAATGAAGAAAGAATGCAGCACTCAGCATCTTCGTTTCTTGTCTGAGTCGGGGTGATCTATATAGCCTTCTAGTTGTTTTTGTTATCACAAATTCCTAATTTTCTGCTAATTAATGGTTTTAGACCGAAGTCTTAAGATCAGAAAAGAAAAACGGACACATTAACTTTCGTTGATTCAACTGTAACTGAACAAATGAGTTGTTCGCAGAAAATCCTCATTTTTTTGAACCATGTAATTTCTTTTAAATAAGTAACAGATCGTCATTCCATCACTTTAAAAAGTATGGTTAGTTTTGGTTAGTATGGTTTGACCGTCTAAATCATTGTTAGCCAAGTCGTTAGTAAACACATTTTGAATACACGATATCAGAATAGAATACAACTTAATAACTATAACTATTATATTATAGACAGAGCACACAAAATACGAAAGTTCATTATAGCACTCTGAGTAAAAAAATCTTGCTTTTTATTTTAAATTGCTCAAAAGAGAGCTTTTTAAAATTTGATGGGAGAACATTATAAAATTTCACATTAATTTTATTAGATTGCGAAGACTTTCCTTCAGGAGAAAACAAGTTTTTGGGTTTTCCGTTCATTAAGTACTAAATTATTTGCAGAAAGCCATTGTTGCGGAATAATTGTAATTGCAGCAACATTTTCAGCTAGCGTTCGGTGATGTTTAGGAATTGACAAAACGGCAGCGGTTCATCTTTTCAGCCGTAAATCTTTTATATAAATGATAAATAGCAGCGGCCCAAGAACCGAGCCCTGTGGAACGCCGCACTTCACTAGACTCACCTCAATACTCAACGTACTGAAACCTTTTATCGAGATGTGATTCGATTAACTTTAAACAAATAACTCATAATAACAGTGGGGCCTACTCGACATGGTGAACAAGTTGAAATCACTATAGAAATGACCAAATCTGCGATAGAGAGTCTAAAAAATGGAAATGCACCAGGTCCTGAAGGCATTTACTCTGAGACAATAAGAAGCATTGTGAGAATTACAGAGGACTGTCAGTGACTAGTACGATGAGAAGAAAAACGACAACTTATTCTCAGAAGAAAATGACCACAAACAGGGATACACATATAACATTTGTTGATCTTCAGGGAGCCTACCGACAACAAGACTTTGAAAAATCCTAAAGGACAATCATACACTCAATGCTACACTGCAAGATGGAACAATATCAAGAATGTAGTTAGGGAAATATGTCCCCAAGGAAGTCCCAGTAAATAAAGGCCTCAGATAGGGATGCCGTATATCTCCGACACTGTTTAATATCTATGTAGCAATGTAAAAGGAAAATACACGGAACGGGGATTGAACTTAATGACCCTTATTTAAATACCTTGCAGTTTGCAGACGACAAGCAGTAATATCGGACGATAAACAGGATATGGAGTACATGATGCGTAAATCGATCGAAGAATATGGGAAATGAGGCCTTGCAGTTAACATAAAAAAAACCAAATGTTCATGTATTGGTGGAGAACCTGGTGATCCACCGTTAAACGACACATTGTACATTAAACATTGCCAAGAGTACAAGTATCTGATAGTTACTCTATGGTACAGGAAAATATAAAAAATGCGTAGGTCAGTAATGCTTTCTAGAAGGGACAGGGTTCGAAACGACAGAGTCAAAGAAGTTATGCGCATCGAAGGAACCGTTGTAGATAATATTGACAGGAAACCGTTAATTAGGTATGGACACGTGCAACGAATGCCATGGAATGGAATGGCAACCAATCTCTATCTCTTTTATTTCTGAGGTTACGGTTGAACCACGCTACCGGAAAACGGACCATTTGGATATATTTTCCAATATTCGTGGTATAAATCTGGTTCCCACTTGAGTATGATTCCCAACTATGGTAGAAGCATCTAAATATAATTCAGTATAAATTGCTGAACGATCAGAGAGCACTGGACTCACCCCATCATCAGTAAACAGAGTGGACGCTATGTTGACATTATCAATGCAGTTTAACGTAGAATTAGGAGCCAAAGTCAATTTAAATTGGATGTTAAAATTGCCAGTGATAACAATTTTTTTTAGCTTATTTATGTCAATGTGCGTTACTTGGTTTTTCCTGGGATGGGCACCGGGGCAGATAACAGCTTCAGTATCCAGGTTTCAATCTCCTTGACGTCGTGAAGCACTATTGAAGAAGCGCCCTCTCCCGGCTGACCGGTTAAAACTCCCCAGACGTTGTCCCTGTGAAAACGGTCCGAAAATGATTGTAAATTTTACTACGTTCGTTTAGAACCTCCACCTCGATGTTTGTTTTGAGCCTCCGACCCTTTTCGGATTCGAAGACTCGTTGCACGCGTCTATGAGTTTCTTCAGAATGAACAAACATTCACGGAACATTGTGAAGAACGGATGGTGCGACAGGATGCACAAGGACGTTAGCGAATGGTTCCGTATTCTCTGGAAAAACAATGCGGACCCCGTCCATCTAAATAGATCCGACGGTAGTTACCTGTCTTCGTCTGCTAGCTCTTGGAGACGGCGAATGGCTTCCGCCGCTTTCTGAGTCATTTCCGCCTACTGCTAACCTCGACGTTGGCAACTGATGGTGGCCAACACATTCGGAGTCTCTTCTGCTCGGAGGATAGTCTTTTTCCGAATCGCTAGGCCCCACGTTGCTACTCCTATAATCGCTGAAATGTTTACGAGAAAGTTCCATGGTTCATTATTCTACCGCCTGGTTTTTCATCGCCCTTTTATTCCAGGCACAAGTTTTTTTTTCCAAAATTTTGGACTATGGTGATAATATGAATAAATGGCTAAAAATATAACTTACACTACTAAATATACGATTTACTTCAAAGACGCAGACTTTTTCGACAAACAAATTTAATAACCCTATTAAAGTACTCTGTTTCTCAATGGATAATGTAGCTACCAAAAATATAGGTAAAAATGCGATTTATCGATATAAAAATACTCTTATATTTTGGCCCATTTTCGAAAACTGACGTACAAATCCTATTTTGCCCGTAAAAATTTTCGACTCAAATCAAATTCTTCAATCCACCCGAAACTTGGCATAACCTCAGACGGATATTAGTGTTCTCTGGAAGTATAGTTATTTTTTAATTGAAGTTTTTTAACCTTTCCAGATAAATTATCAAAAAAATAATCCGTATCCGAATTCGGCATCCCAAAGAAAACCTAAAATGAACGAAATAGCTGAAACTTGAAGTTACTCTTACGAAGTCTGAAGATGCAAAGCAATTTTTTCCGAAACGTCGCAACCTATGGTTTTAATAACACGGTTTTTGTTTGCCGCTTTTTCCTATCAGCTGTTTCTTTATTTTTTTGAAAATGAGAGAAATCTTTATTTTAGAAACGTTTTCAAATACGACATGGACATAGTTTTTGGGTACATTTTTGCAAAACAACAAGAACACATTCAGAATTGACAAACGTCAATATTAAATCAGCGGGAAATATCTCCGAAAACATCCGATCGCTCCCAAACCCGTGCGGTAAAATTCTGGAAATGTCAGAAGGGGCTCGGATTCGTGGGAAACGAAACTGACCTGGTTAAGTGACGCTTCCCGCACGCTAGATCGGTGCGTAATTAGGTATTTTGCAGACGGGAGTAGAAAAAAAGTGTTAAAAACCGCCTCAAAACCCCAAAATTGCGACACCGCACTCTAATAATGAATATCTTATCAACGATGCGCTGAAAAGAAAAATTGATCAACCAGAGTCTTCTCTTGTTCGACCGAAAATCTATATCTATAACTATAATACCCAATTTTTGAAAAGACATAAGGATATCACAACTCTTTCGAGTTTCGAATTATTTTGTCAATATTAGGTCACGATAAAAATATTTAGATGCGGTTTTCACTGGGTCTCTAGAATTTTTTTTAATCATATAAAAGTCCATTTTAACGACTCAAAGTTAAAATCCACCATTTTGAAGTTGTCGACATTTATTTCGAGGAATGTTGCGCCAGAGTAGCTCAAAAGTAGTTTTCGGCTTTCTCTCTTGACGCAATTACGTAATTTCTTTTTTCAATTTTTTTTCTGGGACGCCCAGTCCGATCTCAGAGTACTTTGAATGTTTCGCGCGTGCGTCAAACGGGTTCGAGGTTATTTGAGCGATTATGGTCTCGAACCGGCCTCGCTTATCTACTTATGTAAACTGTTTACCTGGAAAACGCCGAGTCGGAACTCTTCTCCACGCTTTTCCGCCACGAATCCCTGCGCATGCCCGGGCTTATTTTATTCTTGTTCGCGCCGATGGTCGCGGAAGTTTTCTCGATCGCCCTGTAGAAGTTGACGCAGATGCCGTAGCGGGTCTTGCCCGAATCTTTGTCGGTCAGGGTAAAGACGAACGAGGAGGCTTCCCGAAGCGCGGTGCGTTTCGGCCCTACCGAAGAACACCCTTCGGGTTGGCAGAAGTATACCATGTCGATGGGCATCGGGAAATCTTTGTGGTCCTGCAGGGGATACCGTCTCAGTAGTTCCGGCGGCTGGAAAGGCAATTGCTAAATGCCGAAGGTTTTTCGGGAACCAAAATGACGTGAACCATATTGTACAACCAAAAATATAGTGCTTCGAAGTTTTAAGTGTTTTACGGTACCTTAACCGCAGACCTTGGAGATCAGTAATGATCCGTTACTAATGGTTACAATTGTTACTATTTATAATACGACCAAAAATATAGTGCATTTATTGCTTTGGCGTTTTAAGCATTCAAAATAAATAAGAACTAAAAGTTCACGAAATTATATATTTTCACATGACAATGGTTTCGACAACACCGTGTCATTATCAAATGTAATATTTACAAACCACCTGCTATTATATATACCGAAAAATGTCATGCGAAAATATATATTTTCGTGAAAATCTGAACTTATAGTCCTTATATATTTTGATAAATGGATTTTTATCAAGTAAAAGCCACCTCAGTTCAATTTTCGAATTTATGTACCTGATTCTTGAGCTTTGATCCTTTGGATAGTTCAAAGGGTGGGGGTAAGTACCTGTACTTTATTTCTCTTACAGATAAGTTTGAAAATAACAACATTCTTCTTCTTGCATTCTTGCGTCTTCGATTTGTAAACAACAACAGTCTTCTTTAAGGCTATAGATTATATTCGCCGTAGATAAGGGTACTATTAAACATTTTTTTGAGGTTCTTATTTTTTAACACTTTAAAATGCCCCCTATTAGAAGAAGACATGGCAAACAACGCAGAATTTGAAGACGAAGTGGTAGTTCAACCTAACTCAGCAAAAAAGAAAACGGATCCATTTGTCTTCGGATGTAAGTGGAATCACAAACGTATTTTGTTTTTTGAAAAAATCGTGATAATTGATTCTTTAAAAGTGTCTGTATTACCTTTTTTTAAAAGTAACTTCTTTCTTTGAATTTATTTGTTTATTGATATTTATTTATACAGGATGTTTGCAAATTGAACGAATTGCAATTGAAACGATTACATGTGAATTGTAATTTTGCAAAAAATGTGCTGGACCGACATTAGTTTTAAAATTTTAAACAGAACACCCTATATATTTTGATATTTTTAGAATCCTTGCTAAAAATAAATGTAACTTTTATTAAAATTACTTATTCGAATTTTGTGTAGTTTAGACAGAAATTGAGATTATATATTTTTTTATGCAAAATTACGTTCTTAGTAAATATGGTCTTCCAGGCTGATAGTAATGACTCCTTGATCAAATTTTAAACACTTCCTTCTAACGATCTGCGATGACTAGTTATTTTGACATTATACAGGGTGTCTCCAATTAAAAGACATTTTTTTAACATTTCAACTTGCGGTATTCATTTTTTTAAAAATGAATACCGCATGAATGAATGAATGTTTTTCATACTTTTCATAAACTGGGTCAAAATACTTATAATTTGCTACATATGTCCTATATCTAAATATAATGATTTTCGAAATGTTGAAATACTTAAAAAAGTATATCATTCTCATTTTTCAATTCAATTTTGAGGATTTTTGCAACGAGTGACGGTTTTTGTTTTTTTTTTTTGTAGGTAAAGTCACACAGAGATTTATAGGTTTAGAAAATTAAAACGTCATCGTTTTTTTATATCTTCAACGATGTAAAATACTATGTATAATTATGATAGAAGTTTAAAAATTTAAAACGAGTGACAGTAGCAAGTCAAAGCAACAAACAACGGTAACTGTAACAATTAAATTAAAAACACACAACCTTTATATATAAAAAATTAATAACTTTAAAATTTGGTATAATTTTTTTTAAAAATCAGTAGTTCCTGAGAATAGGTACGGGCCCCTGATGAAGTACCCACCTGGTATCTATTTTTAACTAGTGAATTAATGAAAGACGTACAGATCATATGGAACTGTTGCTATGACGGGGGTATATAAAGAGTTTCGTTTATTTTTGATTACTTACTTGTATGTGAGGACTGGCATTCTGTTTAATGGTGATGGGTGTGTTCCGAGCCCCTACTATGGTCAGGTAGTCAATGAGGCGGGGACATAAAAATTGTCTCTCGTCATCTAGGGACATTTTCCTTTGGATGGTCGTCAACTGCTCATCGATGTGAAGTTCGTGCTAGATTCGCATACCATCGGGCTGTCCCAATTCTCTTGCCAATCTGAAAAAAGTTGCTCAAATTCGTCTATGGTTTTTGGTTAGAACTTCACCGGAAAACGTTCAATACGTATCTTTATTCTTTATTGAAATACAAACGTAAACTTTATATATAGCAAGTTATGCGCTATGTATGAAGAGGCATTACTTTCATTTTACATGTCTATTTTGGCAGACATTGATGGATTGCCACTGATTTCTCTTAAAATACAAATTATTCTTACATTCTTCAATCATTTGTAAAGAAATTTCTTGATTTTTTTCAATCTGATGTACGGTTCTTCGCTTCAAAATAAAAAGTAAAAACCGTGTGCCGGACTGAAAAAAAGTCACAACAAAGTGGAGACATATTTTGAGAATCATTTGCTGCAGCACCGTTGTGAATTGTTTTATCAGGCAGTGATTTTGTATGTTTTGTATTATTAAGAAATGACCAAAAATGTTATGTATCTGCTATCAGATTTTCTTCAGTTACTTTACTTGTCTTAAAATCTTTTCTTAGTGTCCACTACCACCTTTACCAACTAGTGTGCTTTTGAAAAAAAAATTAGAAGACTGTTCATTTTACTCCTTCAGTTTTAATGAAATAACATCCTAACAACATGGCAAATAATAAACAATAATAAATAAAATAAAAAAATACTACCCACTGTTAATAATTTTTAACCAAATTTGTTTGTTAATAAATTAATAACAACCTTTTTCAAAAAAAGTAGAACCTAAATAGTTTGTGAACCGTGTTCTCCATCTTGAGGGTCCTTAGGGTTTCTTATTAAATTGCAGGAAGCTCCAATACGACCCTTCAGCTCTTCTACAGTACAAAATTAGTTGGATAAATTGATATTTGTGCACATGGTACGCCATCTTCCTCACTTTCACATTATGTATAACTTCGAGTTGCTTTTGCATTCGCTGATGTAGCAGAAGTAGCATCTGTCAACTTCTAGGGTTCCACTCCTTAGGACCCGCGTTCTTATAATAATATTCAGGTACATGGTCTATCAACCTCAGCATACCTTAAATTACTGATGGTCTCTCCATTGATCTTAATGCGTTCCTTTGCTTAATTAAGTGCTTGTTTAAACAATATTTCGGAGTAAATATTAAACGGAATTGGTGATTAACTATAAAGTTTTGAGAGGTTTCGTTGAAATAATTTGTTGTGTTCCATTTCCGAATCCGAGCTGAACCTTGCTCATGTTTTCTCCGAGCTTTTTGTATATGCAGGAGTGGATGATGTTAAGCAGCATCTTCAGTATACGATTCATCCGACTTATAATTCGACAATCGGAGCACCCAGTGGCATTTGTTTCCTTAGGACTAAATATGGAAACAGGTATAGAGTGAAATGCGAGCCAGTTTCAGTCAAGCTCTGAAGGAGCCAACAGGATTATTGCAGCAGAGGGAATCCAGAAGTTTTATAAAAGCGTTATAGTAGCCCGTGGAAGTTTCTTTGAAAAAAAAAAAAGAGAATAATGAAGAAATGAAATTTCTTTAGAAATGATTCGAGATTGTAAGAATAAGTTTTCATATTAAGAGAAATCAGTGGCGTAGGTAAAAAATGGTAGTACACTAAATGCAGTCGATACATAGTACGCGTGTACCAAATTTCATTTAAATATCTGAAGTGGTATTGCAGATATTAAAGAAAAATATTTTATTTTACAAAACTTTACCACACTGTAATTTTCTTTTTAAAATCGATCGAACTGAATTATTTCACGGTCGATAACATACCCGTCGATCCGTAACCTCAATTTTTTCTTCTCGTAGCCACTTCAATTTCAACTTCACCTCAATACGTTTGTTTTCTTTCGAGCGAGTGTTCGCACAACATGGCCGCGAATTCGGAATAATTTCGTTTTAATGCGGGTTATTATCATCACCCGGCCGATAACAGTGAGGTGCCGGAAATGAAAGCAGCTCCGCACTACCAATTTAACGCCATATATCGATCGATACATACGAGCTGTCGCGGTAAAGCGGTTTAAGGGGGAAGACTTCCGCACCGTTTAAAAAGTTACTTTTTTTCGGTGGATTTGCGGGCAATATCACGACATTCATCTCACTGACGAGCAGAGGAACGGCTTAGTATAATATCAGAGACGTAGACCAACAATTTTCTTTATATTTTTAGAATTAAATTTACACAATTATTTTTGGCTAGTGGCTTAAATGCCGATGAAAAGCAAATATAAAAAAAGTACATTGAACTGAGGTGAATTTTACTGGATCAAAATCCATTTAACAAAATAAATAAGAACTAAAAGTTCAGATTTCCACGAAATTATATATTTTGACATGACAATTGTTTCGACAACACCGTGTCTTTATCAAATGTAATATTTACAAACTACCTGCTACAATATATAACGAAAAATGGCAATAAAACCTTAATTAATGTTGTGAGAATTTAAGTTTAATAATGGAAAGGTATTTAAATCTAATTGATCCTTAAGCAATACATTTGAATGTCTTATTTTGTTAATCTCCACATCTTCCAATACATTTAATTTTCTACTTTTTGTGGCTGTATGTAAAATATCAAAATTGTCGTCAAAAATGTGTTTTTCCGTGTTTAAGTGTGCAGCATAATTAGAATCTAGACTATTGTTTTTAAACGCTCTTTTATGTTCGTTAATGCGTTTCTTGAAGGATCTACCTGTTTGTCCAATATAAATTTTAGGACAAGCTCCGTATTTTAACCTGTAGACACCTGATTTCAGAAATTTTGGACATTTCGTTTTATTGCTTTTTAAAAATTTTCCTATTGTGTTGTTAGGTCTGAACGCTATTTCTAAACCACATTTTGACAAATGTTTTGAAACTTTCTCACTGGATTCTCTTATGGGGTTTTTCGAAATCTCAAAAAATTAAAATTTGTAAGGAACAGATTTTTTGTATTTTTGACGTTCTTCAATTTTTTAATACGACCATCTTTGTAGTTCTTATAGTTGCCAAGATGGCCATAGTGGAACATGGCAATTGGGACACCCTGTATAATTAGGTCAACTTTCGTTTAGCTGAGATCAGTTATGGAATAAATATTTATATATAAGTATTATTATTTCATAGTTGTACATATTTACGGGTTATCCTATTATAGTAGTATTTTGAAACCTCGATTAACAGAAAATAATGAAGTTTTTCTTTGAAAATGCTTTTTGGGTTGGATGTCTTTTCGCAAATTCATTTTCTATACAGATATTTAGAGTGTAAAATTAGTTAAACTTTCTGTGCAACTGAAATGATTTTGAAATAAAAATGTGGTGCGTTTCAACAAAAAAATCCATACAATTCTACATAAATTATAAATACGATCATAGGTATATGTTTTGCTGCAGGAAAACAATTTAAACCTAAAGATGCTCAGCTTGTCGTAGACTTTTTAGAAAAACTTTTGGAACATGCTAAAAGTATAAAAGAATTTTGTACAAGCTTAGAGAAGCCCAAACAACCGTGTATTAATAAGGAAGAAGTATTAAATATTCTAGTCATCGCAAAAAAAACAATGTAATTTTATTCGAGATATAACTGCAGAAATTCTCAGCCATCTTAATTGTTTATGAAATGTCGGACAATTTGACAATATATACCAATATATATTACAATATATACCGGGTGTGGATGAAATTACGAACCAAGGCATAACTGCGTCACAAAAAAAAATATTTTTAAAATTTTTGTGTGTTCTCCGTTCTCTGTCCTCGGTTCTCCGTTTCTCTGTAGATGAGCGATTATATGGCAATAACTTTCGAAAGGTTTGACCTACGGGCTTCAGATTTGGCTCCTTTTAACCAGTCCTCGAGACACATGAATCAGTAAAAATTAACCCCGATCAGACTCGGCGTCCATCTTTTTTCTTCGACTTTCGACTGTTTTTTGGACATTGATACGAATCACGATAAGTGTCCGAAATTTGAAGCTATCGACTACGAAAAAATTTTACAGGGTGCGCAAAATATTTGAAACAATATCTTTAGAAATCGCTATTAAAGATAGAAACACAATGGGTCCCTCTGGAACTAGGGATTTTTCGAAAGCAATCTTGTTTATATATTTTTTATTTTGGTTTCAGGTTGACGTTTATATAACGTTGGATATAACGTTCCAAAAGTACAGTGCCGTACAGAGATAATAAAATGATGAATGAATGAAGCGGCGTATTTATATCGAACTGATTATGAAACCGGAATAAGTCAAAAATTATAAAAATCTACAGTATCAGCCATTGATTATTGATTATTATTAAACGAAAATTACTTTGATAAATTGAATTTATTTTTTGATTGGTAAACAACATTCAGTTACCGCACATTTTGATAGAGGACAAGAAATAAACGTTATTGTGTACAAAATACGAGAAAAATGAGGGGAAATAGTGAAGAAGTGTACGAAACAAAAGGATCTAAGTGCGTGATTGAAAATAAAGATCGTCTTTGTTCCACAAAAATGTATAAATAATGTTAATGTAATGATATGGTTGAAAATTGATCACCCGGTAATAATGCCGGTTGGCCATAAATTCTTTTTTGCCAAATTTCGACGAAACAACTCACACGATTTATAAAATTACTTCGGATGACAATTCCGCATTGACCTGAAACGGAAACGACAAGACTACGCGAAATTATTGATTCAGAACAGAAGAAAAATGTAAAGATATGGATGGATTTACCACCCTATGTATTCCACAAACAATTTATCTTCCTAAATTTTGAGAAATTAATTCGTTACAACGTAATGAGTTTGAACAAAACGTTAATTTCTAAGGAAAAAATTACCTTGATGATTTAATTAATAAAACCATGCTGCTAATTTTGAAACTGGTATAAGTCGTTTAAATCCTTCAAAACCACCAAATGGGTCAACATTTTGAAATAATAGTGCAAAATTTTCATATCGGCATATCGCGATAAAACCTGTCGTCGACACTGGTATCGATCTGATGCGAATTCTCAGCCTTCACGGCAATCGATAGATTCAGAGACCCTTTTCCCCGTTTCAATAAAGTCGACGTAATTGGCTAATTCGTTATGCTAGGCCGTTTATTTTTTTCTTTAGATAGCTCACCTTTTAGGTCACACATAGTCGGAAAGGGCACATGGTTTGTGCTCGCGTTTGGTGTCCCGTTACGCCACTAACGATTCAAGAGATTCAGACGTGTCGTTCTGGCGATTCTTCAGGACGCAGGCTCAGGATGCGTGGCTGCAAACGATCTCTTTGGCGAGCCTGCGCCCGATCGAACGGACAGTTTATCGGGCCAAGTCCCCGAAGTATAGTGTTGTTCGGTTTTTCAAAAAATAGAACACCACATTTGTAATAATTCATTTCTTGATGATAATACACCCCTGTGCCTTATAGTTTTTTCAATATTTTAATTTTCCTGAACAAAATACTCCGCACTTTTGGGAAGAAATTTTCGAAGAACACTCGCGAATATATATTTTCTTGCCGACATGCAGAACAGAGCACTTTCGAGCATTCATCGGCAATAGCCAGGTTGAACACCACTTGGAAATAGCATTCAAGTCTGTCTGCAATACGTTCACATGTGTTGAAGGATTTTCAAATAATTTAGTGTCATCAGTATAAGCGCTCACATGAGAATAAATGCTGGATAGCAAATCCACGGTATACACTAAGAATAGCACTGGTCCCAGCAGCGATCCCTGGGGAACACCTCTAGGCATATTTTGTGGCAGTCAACAAGCGTTACCAATTCGAACACTTACCCCACTCCGACCTTTTCAAGTTTGAATATCGAGCGTCGATGTGGCAAAGTTTTGCTGAAATCGAAGTAAATAATATCCACCGGGTCACCTGCGTCATATTTCTTTGATTTGTAAACAACAACAGACTTTTTTAAGACCATAGTCTATATACGTACGTCACAAGAATTTTTTTTGAAGGTTCCTGTTTCTTAAGACTTTAAATTGTGGAGACCGTGGAATGGAGCAGATGTTCCTCTCTGAGAAGAAGATATGGAAAACAACGCAGAATTTGAAGACGGGGTGGAGATGGTAGTCGAAGCTAATGACAATTTAGAAGACGAAATACCTCAGCAAATAAAAAACCCTTTCCATTTGTCTTCGGATGCTAAACAAACTGTTTTGAATGTTTACAATTTTATAAGAAATTCAGAACGGGAGCAGCAATAAAGACAAGTGACATAGGACGTAATAAATTGTGTACTATTTTTTTTTTTATTTACACGTCTCAAGGTTTGCTCGCAGAAAAATTTGAAAACAGGAGGTGCGGTTTTTGAGTAATAAATAATAGGCAAAGTTAATGACGGGTCAGCTGTAAAAGAATGTAATCCTGCGTATATGTATTGTCTGAGATGGGCGGAGTTTATACCCCCCCCCCCCAAAAAAAAAATATATATATATATATATATATATATATATATATATATATATATATATATATATATATATATATATATATATATATATATATATATATATATATATATATATATATATATATATATATATATATATATATATATAAAAATATATATACAAACTAAGGTCCGTTCATAGATATAAAAAAGCGACTAACTGATACGAATTAAGGAAAGACCCGGGCAAGCTGTAAAAATGAAATATGGCCGAACAGGTCCGTACTTTGCTTAGAATTTAATTATTTGGGGTTTTGTTAGGAAAGATACTAAACAATATATATGTATTTATGTATGTATTTATGTTTAAATTTAAAATAAGATTACAAATTATTTTTATTACCTACTTAAATTACTTAAAATTATTCACATAATATATCAGTATCACTATCGCGATCATTATTATTTGCAATATACGATTGTTCTGCTTTTTCTATATGTTTAACAGAATTTGCCCAACTTTGTGGAGGGACGTTAAAAACTTCGGTTTCTATAAGTTTGTTTAGAAGAACTTTTAGTTCTTATTTATTTTGACAAAAAAAGTTTTGTCTCTGCATCCCCTGCCAAAAGCACCTTAGCTAGTCGGAATCCTTGGGACAGTAATAAAGGGTAAATTAGTCTTCCACTTTGTCTCGGATAGAATTGTCATGATATGATTCAAAATATCCAAGAACGCCAATTTCCACGTCTTCACTTACAATAAAATAATTTCTTCTCCCTCTTTTTGCAAGAAGGGTTTCATTATATCTAAAAATTGTTCAAAAGCTGATTCAACCGACTTTGTGTCTCTGCTCATAACGCAGTGATGAACACTTAACTTCGATCACGGGGTGTACTATAAAATTTTGTACGACACAAGCTTCAGTCGGTATTTAGTCACGTGCCCGATCCGCACGTAATCGCAACCTGAGACCGCATAAGTGACCGCAAACGTTCAAGGGGGTCTTATGAGGACGGCCATTCGATAAGCACGACTGACCAAAGTCAGAGAGCCTCGGTAAAACGAGAGGAGACAGTTCCAAAGCTCACCGCACTTTGTTAAGCTTTTTCTTGGATTTTTGATCGCGAACTTTTATTTTATTGTGATTGCCACGATATAATAAAAAATAATATAATAAAAAAATACTAATATTGAACTTTTTTGCCGAAAATGGCAAATACATTGTTTTTATAGGACACTGACAAAAAAATAAATTAAGACTACAAACAGGAATCTATAAACAAGAAAGGAAAATGACTAATCAAAGCACTATTCTACCCGAGTACAGACATTTAAGCTCAGGATATTCCTTCAACTATTTCTCGAATGCACGTAAATTATCACACATTTTTATTTCTTTCGGTAATAGGTTAAACAATCTCACACCACTTACACTAATATTTCAGTGCAATACTATAAAAACTGATGAGTTTAATAATAATAATAATAATCATCAACATCATAATAATAATTTTCCAACCAAACACAATGTTTGTATAGGAAATTGTCTAAAGAACGTCGAAATTCGCGAAAAAAAAAAAAAGGAGGCAAATTTCAATTTGGTAGCTCCAACGGTTCGAAAGTTATTCAGGAAAAACCAAAAGACGAGAACGGAGAACGGACAGACAAAAAAAAATTTTTTTTTCGACGGTGATCATTTCTGCGCCAACGGAGATCCCGTAGGAATTCGATTTCATCGATTTTCGAAAGTAACAAGAAAGAAAAATAACTAACTAAAATACTCTTCTACTGAGTACCGGTATTTAATCACAAGATATCTACGTGACGCCTCTCGGAGTCCTTCGCCCTCGACGTTTCACGCCTGGCGCTTTCTTAACCGCATCGGTCAATGCCGACAATAAACAGAAGAGATATAAGTCAGAAACTCGTACGCGAACGCGTTTATCGTTGACGTTTGAAATGTACGAAGTGTATCTAGTGGGCTGCGCTCTCGCGTTGTTCCTAAACGCGGCTCAAGCGAGACCGCAGAATCAGGCTGGCCGTGAAGCGAGTCGATACGTCATCACGACTTATTCGGATGGCGGGGAACGTGGTCAAGAGGGCTACGAAAGCAAGCACGAACGAGAAAAAGGAGCGTCGGGAAGCCAAGACAAAGAAAATCGTAAGGAACGGTACGGCGATGAAGGTAACGTTTTTAAACCCCGATGGCGATTATTGAACTAAAATTGTGCGGAGTGGTACTTTAAAAATTTCAAAAGTTATAAAAAATTAAAGATGGCCACAAGTAGTGTTTAATTTGTTGCTTACAGTTCGTAAACTAATGGTTCTTTTGAATTTTGAAAAGAAGACCCTTAAGGAGGAGAAAATTGGGTAAAAGATAAGTTCCGATAACCGAAACTGTACCGCCATTATTAATAATTTTAATTTAATTATGGCTTCGCAAGATACAAACAAAAAATATTTTTAAAGTGTGTAAAGTAGATTTAAAAATCTTTAAAAAAATGAAATGAAATGTCTGTCCGTTCTCCGTTGTTGGTTCTAGTCTTTTGGTTTTTCCTGAATAACTTTCGAACCGTTGGAGTTACAAAATTGAAATTTGTCTCATTTTTAACCCCCCACGAGGCGCATAAGCTTATAAAAAATGGTCCTGATCCGACGCCGGTATCCATCTTTTTTTCGCGAATTTCGACTGTTTTTTGGACCTTAGATATCAGCTTAAACTTTTGTATTTACGGTTTTTAAGTATTGTGCGCGATATTCCGTGCAATATTAAAAAACATTTCTAAACAAAAATGATTTTTCGCAAGCAATCTTGTTATTGACGTGTAGAGGCATTTTTCAAAATTCAATTATCTAAGTTATGTAGAGAACAATACAGGCTGCATATATTCAAACGGGGTTTATAATTATATTTGGTGTATTATAATTCAAACGGTTGGTTACTTGTAACGTTGTCGTTTATATATTGTTGAACATAATAGGCAAATTTCGATTGCAGTCGGTCAAAAATCTGGCCACCGCCATCAAGACGGGTACCACGACGTAGGATACGCAGATCGTATTGGTCAACATGGGTACCATTATCATGACAAAGGAAGTTACGCCAAAGGGCACTGTACAAAAGGTATTTTTTTTTAAATTGCAGTGTTGCGTGTATATCTTTTGATGAGGAAAAAAAAGTACACATTTTATATAAATATAAAAGTAAAGGCTTATAACTTCTTGACCTGGCCCTGTATACTAATGCAGATCGGTTCGTTGTTTTTTTGCAAAAATATAAGTTGCTGTGCACTTCGAATGCCGCAAAACTAGATGGTGTCCAAAAACGTATCGAACGACAATATCTCTTTTGTTTAGGAAATACCAAAGAATTTAAATTTTCAAGTGCAAGAGAGAAATCTCAGCTATGTGGCGTTTTGTATTTCGTGTTTTCCTGAATAATTTTATTGTCGTCGTCATTAACGGTAGTCTCTCAAAGGTACTCACGACGTCCACAAACTGGAGGAGCTGAACAAGACGAAAGAGTTCTTCGATGAAGATCGCGGAGAAGATAACCATGAAAAACACGGGGCATACGAAATAGCAAGAGGATTGGGAAACGGAGCTTTCCGATTGGAAGGTCGGGCGAAGAAAGTGTCCCTGGCGGATGAGTTACTCAAATCCTGGAAAAGTGACTTGGGGTCCCACGGCGCAGTAGATTCTGGTTACGGTAGACGCAAGGGAACCGAAGAAAACTTCAAAAATGCGGAAAAATCGGCCGAAAGAAACGGGTTCGATGTTTACGAACTCGTGGGTGATAGTTGGAAGAATGAAGCCAACTAGTGTCGTTGTCATAAGTATTATAAGTAATAAATTATTTCGTTTTCACTCGGTCTTGATTTGATCAGATAAGACGTCGAGAGGAATGACAGTAGACAACATATGTAATACAGTCGAAACTCTATATAGCGAAATTACTGCTTTTTTCCCTTATAAAGAGTTATACGCACTTGAAAAATAACAATACGAATATGTGTTCTGTAATATTTAATTATTTTATATACATATTATAGGAACATTTTATAGAAATATTTAAGAACTACATTTAATGTTTCAAATAATCGGCGTACATTGGCTTGTATTTTCACCACTTCTTCCCCATGATACATAAAACATTTCTCTAGCAGGTTAACTGAATATAGGGCTCGTTGAATGGTTGGTGGTGGTTCCAGATCAACTTCATCATCTTCTTCTTCCTCTTGGTGCTCTTCCTCACCCTTTCTTGCTTGTTGTGATATAGCTTCTTCTCTGCTGCTGTTGTAGGCAAATCCGAATCTATCACCAACTCCTCACTTGTAAAGTCCTGTTCACATTCTATCTCGGTAATAAGTCCTGCATGACGATAGGATTGTTGAATTGTTTCTGCTGTCACATGTTTCCAAGCTTTACTAATAAAGTTGACGGCATCTAGCAGATTAATGAAAAATTTGTCTTCGGACTCGATCATTTCCATTAAAATGTTTTTCCTGTATCGACTCTGGTCCATCGGCTGTAGGGAGTTTTCACTGTATTTTCTTCAATCTGCATCTTCAATCCAAGCCTGCGGCATCTGTGAAGCAACACCTAAACTAATGAACAATATACAAAATGTAAAAACTAGACCAATTAACGACGAGGCTTCTGATTCTGGATTATCAACTCTCCGTGCGTGACCTTTAGCAGTAATTAAAGATCGCCCCGTATAATTTCCATATCGCGTTTTTCGCCAAGCGTTACATTGTTGAAATTCGTTTCTATCTAGCGAAAACGTTGTTATTATTGCTTGTGGAGCCGCTAATTAGTCTGCGAGTGGTTCGCAATGAAGAAAATTTAATATGCGTTTCGTCCTTCGTCGTGTGTATCGGGTAATGGGCGACGAAAAAAAATATGTGGCGAGTTGACCAGTCGTCTTCGATTTTGCCGTCAGCCGGTCGATTTCGCTGAGGCGCGTCGCATAATCGCCTGGGCCATGGAAAAAGAAGTTCTCGGAGTGCGAGGAACACCGGCACCGACCGATATCGAGTTCGAAAACGTCTGGTTCACCGTCAAACGAGGCAAGGGTAAGCTGCATCTAGGGGAGCTTTTTATTATTTTGCGTGGCATTTAACCATCGAGTCCATTTGTTTTCGACTTTAACTAAATTTATATGCAATAATTATAATTATTTATTAAAAAGAATTTCATAAAAAACCGATTAGTAACCATTTTTCTATCTATTAAAAAATTTGTTATAATAATGTGTTTTACCCCTGACATTTCGTAAATGACTGAAAATGTACAATTTAAAAACCGCACTTGCAGGGTACCGAGAAAAAAATCATTTCTCCGAGATGGTATACGCGACCGAAAAAATTCTTTAACCAAACGACGCGCAAGATCGGGACCAAAAACCCTTATTCTTGATGATTTTTTAAAAATGTACAGGGTGCGTGGGTAATTTTCAAAAAACTGAAAATTGGGCTCCCTTTATATTGATAATTGACCATAACTAGAAGGCTGTGATTCCGTTGTCAGTTTCTTTCACATTTTTATATAGCCCGCATGGAGAGCTAAAACTTTTGTATTTAAAATTTTCACATACTGTACAGGGTGTTCGGGATATTTTGTGCTATATTCTAAAATGTCACTGGTATCTCAAATATGTAGTTATCGACTTCAAATTTACAGTAGAAATTGAGCCTAATGAAATGTCACCAAATATATTTTTTTAAAATTTGAAAAATTTTCTTTGATTATTTTTTCTCTTCCAGAAAAACATGATTTTCTCAAAAACCATTCAACCGATCAGCAAAACTTTAGTGCCAGAAAATGTGGGAGATCAGGGACTATGACTTTTATTTTAGGCATTTTTTTGATTATATAAAGTGATTATAACAGTGTTATAGGCCGTATCAAGAGTAACAATTTTTGTATTTACGGTTTTCGTCTATAGCATACAAAATCATACGAAAAGCGCTGATTCTCGCCCCCAATCTAGACGCGATGACGTCATTTACTCTTACCACGTACTGCATAGTTTCAGAAAACTGAAAAAAATCAAATAGTAGGAAACGTGGGAGATTCAGGGCTATAACCTCTATTTCGAACATTGTTTGAATCATATACAGGGTGTGTCGTTTATGGGCAAAAATATCAAGAACATCCTAAAAATTTCCGTTTTTGTTGGTAAATTATTGGGAATAAATGAAATACTGCTAAAAATCGGTTAATTTAATTTGAACGGTATCGTAAACTGTGTGGAGAGAGACTTTCAGGTTTCGTCAATTATACAGGGCGCGCGAGATATTTGAGAAGATATCATTCGACAACGCTGTTATTTGTATAAATTTGAATATTTAATAAAGTTTGCTGAAACATTGAAGTATGGCGAGGCTTGAAAGACACAGGAGCACGATAGAAAAACATTGCTTCCGTTTACCACAAGAAACCGCGATACTCTTTCTTTCTGAACTAAAAAACTGCTTTGCGCTACGCGCTACAAACTTGCCCCACCCAGCGACGATTTTTCGAAAGCAATCTTGTTACTTTCGAAAATCGATGAAATCGAATTTTCGAAAGTATCTGCGCTCGCGTAAAAATTTTGTATCTCGGTAACGGTAGTTCCTATGGGATCGCCGTTGCTACAGAAATGATCACAGTCGAAAAAAAAATTTTTTTTTTGTTTGTCCGTTCTTCGTTCTCGTCTTTTGGTTGCCGTTGGAGCTACAAAGTTCGCGATTTTCCGAAATTTGAAGCAATCGACTTCATATTTGGCACATATATGCAGCTTTGCTCCGTGACGGAACTTATTGAAAATGGGGGGCTGGGGGGTCGGGAAATATTCTAAAAAAATAAAAAATCGCGCTTGTAAGGGTCTACAAAAAACATTATTTTTCAAAAACCAAAAAAATTCTTGAACCAGAAGAAGCAAAACATAAACAAAGCATAAACTTTTATTCGGGACAATTTTTCAAAAATGTACAGCAAATTAAAAAAAAACTGAAAAATACGCATTTTTCAGTTTTATTAATAATATTGAAAATTGGTTATAACTGAAAGACTATGATCGAGATCTCACGTTTTTTTATATTGCGATATAACCCGCATAAATAGCAAAAACTTTTGTATTTAAGGTTTTCACCTATTGTACAGGGTGTTCCCGATATTCCGCGCTAAATGAGAAATGTGTTAAGTGTCCTAAATTTGCAGATATCAACTTCAAATTTAGCAGAGAAGTAAAAATCCACATTAAAACTGTAGAAATTGGGATTTACAGAGAACAACAAAGGCCAATTATTTACTTGAATGAAATCTGGTTCGACACTTATGATACCTCGGAAAAGGGTTGGGTTGACTCAACTGACAAGTGTAAAACAAACTCGCCATCAAGAAGAGGTAAAAGAATAACTATTTCGCATGCTGGCTCTAAAGATTGTTGGATTCTAAATGGACTTTCTCTCTCTATGAAAAATATTAAAGATTCTTCTCTGGATTACCATGAAGGCACCACCGCTGATTTATTTGGAAGTTGGTTTAAAAACAAAATGGTTCCAAACATTCCTCCTAATAGCGTAATTGTAATGGACAATGCAAGTTATCGCAGTAGACAGTTGACTAAAACCCCTTCCTCGTGTGACACAAAAGCAACAATCCAAAACTACATGTATAATAACGACATTTTCAAGAGGATTATACCAAAAAGCAACTAATTGAGGTTCTACAAAGCTTGAACCTACAAAAGGAAAACGTCGGTGATAATTATGCAAAAAATCTAGGGCATACAATTTAAGGCTTCCACCTTACCACTGTATATTTAATCCCATTGAATATATTTGGCACCAACTGAAATCTGCCATTCGTCGTAACAATATTTTTCCCCGTGTTAACTCCAATGTCCTCAAACTTATAGAAACCGAAGTTTTTAACATCCCTCCACAAAGTTGGGCAAATTCTGTTAAGCATATAGAAAAAGCAGAACATTCGTATGTTCATATTGCAAATAATATAGAACAAATAATAATTAGAACAAGCGATGATAGCGACATACACTACAACATTATAGATGTAATTTTTTTATATTGTGTATGAATTACTAGTGATTGCTAGTGATTACGATAATAATAATAAAATATTGGGAAAAAAGCATATAGTTTTTATAAAGCGATTTTTTTTATTAAAAAAAAAAACAATACAAAAAAATATAAAAAAAATCGATATGACAAAAATACTTTTAGTTAATGGCTCGTAAAAATTTTAACATTCAAAAACTGTAGATTCAGGAAACAATAAACCTGTTGAGACTTGCGAGTACTGTTGCTACAAGCAGATTGCAATAAACAGTTGGATAATAAGCTCCTTTGATAGAAGCTAATTTTTAACGGATTGTGACAATGACTTTTTGAAATTTCATCGAGTCCTGTTAGGTAAAATCAATAAACACTTATCGACGCAAAACAAGAGTAACAATTTTGGAGGATTTGTGTTCTATTTATGCAATATCAGTCTAAATAAATAAAATAGAGGGAAAATAAGCAAAATGTTCTAGGTAAAGTGCTCCCTAGTGACAGATTTCTGAAACAACGTTGTGAAACACCCTGTCTAATTGGTTGTTGAGCTCCCAATGTCGCTTCTCACATTGTCTAAGGCTTAACTAACCCAGTCTATTCTAATACTGACCCCGCTTAATTGCTATCGCTTAATTGCCATTAGCTGTTTACGAAATCCTTCTGACAAGCCAATAACGTTAAACGGACACATAGGTACAAGCCGAAATGAGATTGACGGGGAAGGTAAAGAAATTCACGCGAAAACGTAAGAACCTCAAAACCTTGAATCGTATACACGAGTATTCAATATCCAAAGCTTCCATTAGCTTTTTTCCTAAATGTTTCGGTTGTATTCTGCAAAAAAAATATGTTAGGTGCTTTTTCGACCGCCCATGAAAATGCATTCCGACGCAATAGCAACTGTCTAATAAAAAGCCGTCCGTAATGGTAGTAAATTAATTAATTTATCGTTTTTATACGCGTCCGCATGCGAGGTATACTAATTGATGTTTTTTTTTTATTTCTAATGGTACCTTTACTTTATCGAAACGGTTTGTGTTGTGACGACGAAAAAATTTTCCGTACTTTTTCCCCATATACGAAAATCTCAATTTCTCGGCTCAGTTACGGCCTTCAACGATGCGCTTGAGCGATAGGTTTAATCTGAAAACACGATTAAAAGCTATTTTTGACAAATGTTTTGAAACTTTTTCACTGGGTTCTCCTACGTATGTAATGGTTTTAAATTTTTCGCATTCTGTATTAGGTTTCGGATAAATAGAGTTTACTATTGTCTGGATTTGTTTTTTATTTATAATTTTATCGATAATTTACAGCTTGTGGCCGTTGTTCAGTGCAATTTATTTAATGATATTCAGTTTTTTGTAGTAATTTTCTGTTGAGAGTGGCGTATTAAAAAATCTGGGTATAAAAGCGTTAAATGCAGCCATTTTGTGTAGGGGTGATTGACTTGAGCAGTTCACCATAAACCTTCACACACTGATACAGTCATACATAACAGCTCAAACCACCCTTATACACAAACAATGACTGCATTTCACTCTTTTATACACAGACTTCTTAATACACCACTCGAAAATTACAACAAAGAACTTAATATCATTAAACAAATTGCACTGAACAACGGCTACAATCCGTCCACATACAGTTTTCAAAAATTAAATAAAATTTTAAAGAAAAAAATGAGAAAAACCGTCCAATCCTATGAAGAAAGTTACTGGCGTTTATTTTACCTATTTACCTAGCTGGATTTTTCCTTTCTGTGAGCTTATTTTTAATGTTTTTTGAAAATTTTGGTGTCAAAATGTTGCGAAAAAAGTACAGTACAGCTTATACGAACCCCTTCAAATTTCAAATCGCTATGCCAAGCCGTTTAAAAGTTATAGAGTGTTCCCACTTTCTTGTGTCGCCCGGTATATAAAATACGGTTTATACTTACGATTTTCGAAAAAGCTATAATACGTAATGATAAATTTATCGTTAAGTGTTTTGGGTCTAGTTTTTTTTTATTTTTTTTTTAGCCATGTATTAATCCACTCTGTATAACGAATCTCTCACTCTCTATATCGAAAGAAAAAAGGGCACATCAGGTAACAAAGTAAGGAATGTAGGCCGACTTGTAATTAATAGTCTCTTACCTTCTCAGAATTCGTTACCCTAATAATCTAATTACGGAGAACCTGGTCGGCCTAAGTGTTTTTCTCGTAATAAGCGATTATGTTAATGTCTTAATCGATATGTATAAAAGCACACCATTATTTCAGTCTGTTCTAATTTGACTTAGTGAATACGGCGAGCATGGCGAGTAAGTGAAAAATTTTATCTCTAGATGATAAAGTTGCTTTAATTCGGGGGATAGAACGGGGAGAAACGAAAAATGTGGGATGTCGATACGGACTTACACCGTCGACTGTATCCACGATTTGGAAGTGCAAAGAAAAAATTCTTCAGGCTGAAGCGGCAGGCAGTTCGAGTAAAAAACTACGAAAGCCAAAATTTGAAGATTTGGATCGGGCAATGTTGCAGTGATTCCAACAGCAACGTCTTAAAAGTGTACCACTCTCTGGACCTATCGTAAAACTAAAAGGAGAAAAGTTTGCCGAAAAGCTGGGCATTATCGATTTCAAGGTTTCGGAAGGATGGTTGGGGAAGTTCAAACGGAGACATGGTATAAATTATGGACAGATAAGTGGCGAAGCCCGTGATGTCGACAGAAACGTCACTAACGATTGCAGACTTGACAGAGGAAGCCATATTACAACAAGCAATAAAGGGCGAGGAAGAGCACCAAGAGGGAGAAGATGAAGAAGTTGATCTGGGACCACCACCAACCATTCAATATTCAGTTAAGCTGCTAGAGAAATTTTTTATGTATCATGGGGAAAATGCCCGTCTCGAAGAAATGGTGACAATACAAGCCAAAGTACGAGAAATAATTCAAAAGAAAATGTCCGACTATTTGAAATATTAAATGTAGTTCTTAAATATTTATATAAAATTTTCCTAAGTAGATGTTGTTGCGTATTGTTATTTTTCAAGTGCCTATAACTCTTTATAACGAAAAAAAGAGCAGTCCCTTCAATTTCGCTATATAGAGTTTCGACTGAATTTCATTTAAATTCTATTTCCTACATCTTAACGCTCGGGGGAACATGTTCGTGTTCCTTTTATTCGCTCCGTGCTGCATTTTCTCTGTTACAAATTGAAAATAACGACCATTTATTTTGCACAGGACACAAGAAAATCATCAAGGGCGTATCGGGAAAGTTCAAATCGGGAGAGCTGACCGCCATCATGGGTCCCTCGGGGGCGGGCAAGACCTCGCTGTTGAATATTTTGACCGGATTTCAGTGAGGCGGCGTCCTTTTCGTATCCAAAAGAGGGTCTGAGTCCAAATCGTTTCAGGAAGTCCGGAGTTGAAGGGTCGATCAGGTGCGGGAGTCGAGAGGACATCAAAAACGAAAAACGGCTCTATCAAAAGGAGTCGTGTTACATTTTACAAGACGACCATTTGCCGGATTTTCTCACCGTCGGGGAGTTTATGTTCTCCACCATGAAACTCAAGCTGAGCGGCCTCACTAGGCAGCTGTGCGATGAAGCAGTGAGTCGACATAAATTACTAATATTATTCGCGCATTTTCTGGAAGTTCAGTTTTTCACGAAATTATATATTTTTACATGACAATTGTTTCGACAACACCGGCCATTTACGAGACAGTCCTTCCCAAAATGCTCGTATAAAATGTTGTGAGTTTCATTTACGTTGAAAGATAGACGACATCTTGGCTACACTCGGCTTGTACACCGCGAAGAACACTCCGTGCGGGAATTTGTCCGGAGGTCAAAGGAAACGTCTTTCGATAGCCCTCGAACTGATCGACGACCCGCCAGTCATGTTTCTCGACGAACCGACCACGTAAGTTATCCCTCGTATGAAATTCAATTTGCCATGATTATCAATTAAGTCTCAACTTCTAAAAATTTCGGGAGTTTCGTCACGTGTGAAATTTGTCTTGTTACTGTCGAAAAATCGATGAAATCGAATTTTTCGAAAGTATACGCACTCGTCACTAAACGGTAACGGTAGGTCCTACGGGACCCCCATTGGTACGCAAAAGATGAGCGTCGAAAAAAAAATTTTTTTTGAAATATATAAAAATCTCCTATTTTTGCCGATTTGTCAAAAACGACTGGACTAAAATTAAAGTGTGTTACATCATTGGACTGTTCGCGTGCCCCTTTGCCTTTCAAATAGCCCAACGCGTCTTCTTCAGGAGTGACACCTCAAAAGCGAACAATAAAAAAATAATAAAATTAATTAATGAAAAATTTTAGAGGCCTGGACAGTAGTTCGGCGAACCAATGCGTTTTCATGCTGAGCGAGCTGGCGCGGAAGGGAAGGACGGTGATTTGTACGATACACCAGCCTAGTACGCGCCTGTACATGACCTTCAATCAGGTGTACACCATGGCAGATGGGAGATGCGTGTTCCGGGGTTCCCCCTCCAACACAGTACCGTACTTGGCGTCTTCTGGTTTCGTCTGTCCGAGGTACCACAATCCTGCCGATTTTTGTAAGTAAAAGAAGATTTTCATTCATTTTTAAAACAATAAATAAGACATAAAAGTTCAGATTTTCACGAAATTATATATATTCTCATGGCCATTGTTTCGACAACACCGTGTATTTATCAAATGTAACATTTACAAGCTACCCGCTACTACATATATAAACAGACACAACATTTTCCAAAAATGAAGTTGAATTTCTGGAAAAATGTTTCAACTTTTACTTACAGCACTCGAACATTACTAGAGAATTAAAGTGTTTGGGGAGCGACTGTGAATTAGCAATTAAACATGTATTAGCGAATGTAATAAACTCTCAATTAATAGATAACAACCAACCCCAAGAAATTTCTCAAATGTCACTAGCAAAAACTATCAAAAACAAAGCTTCTGAAAATAACATAATATTTACACGTGCAGATAAAGGGAAGACAGTCATAGCTATCGATCTCCCAGAATATATTTCAAAAACCAACAATTTTGATAAACCAGAACTTTTCCAATATATCAAACACGATCCTACCGAGGTATATCAAAGACAAGTCAAGTAAGTAATTACTATTTAGTTACAAAGACAAGTATTTTTTTACAATTATGAATCCACAGTGGCAGAAATTATATTCTTTAGTTAAATTACATAAACAATATATGCCCATTCGACCAGTCGTGTCTTATGCAACGGTTCCAGCAGTTTCTCAACAAAATTAGTAAATATTTTAAAGTTCCACACACATTTTAAACCAAAATTTGCAATAAAAAATTCTTTTGAATTAATCAACAAAATTAAATATATTCAAATATCCAATATTAGAACATCCTTTGAGTAAAAGTTTTCTATGGTGGTATAGATACGTGGATGATGTCGTTGCTTGCTTCGTTGGAACGGAGAGACAATTGAATTATTTTTTAAATTACATTAACTCAATAGATAATCGTATAAAATTCACTATCGAGATTGAACAGGATAACTCTATTAACTTTTTATACTTAACTATTACGAAAACTTAAAACAAATTAGATTTTTCTATTTAGCATAAATCATAACACACGGACACAGTCATACATAACAGCTCAAATCACACTTATACACACAAAATGGCTGCATTTCACTCAACGCAGACTTCTTAATACCCCACTCTCAACAGAAAATTACAACAAAGAACTTAATATCATTAAACAAATTACATTGAACAACGGCTACAATCCCTCCATTATCGAAAAAATTATAAATTAAAAAATAAATCCAGACAACATTAAACTCTATTTATCCGAAACCTAATACAGAACACCCAGTGGAAAAGTTTCAAAACATTTGTCAAAATGTGGTTTAAAAATAGCTTTCAGAACTAACAACACAATAGGATTTTTTTTTTGTCATTTTTCGGTATATATAGTGGCAGGTAGTTTGTAAATATTACATTTACTACCAAATACTAGCCTGTTTGTTGGATTATAAAATTGCAAAGATCGTTAACGTAGATCACAAACAAGCCTCTTCCAAGATTGAGCCCCGCGGCACACCATATTTGATTGCTTCGAGAGAGTTCCTCTAATACCGTGTTAAGATTTTTAAGGAGTAAATCATGGGAAACACAATTCCATCCTCCAGGCCGTCAATTATGACCTCCACAATCTTTAAAAGTGCTTTAGTAGCGAAACCAATTGAGGATGAGGAAGAACCGCGGATGGATAGAAATCTTTTTTTTTTTCATTCAAAATTTTAATGAACCTTTTTTTCATTGGTTTTGGATGAACAGTTGCATCAGTTTTTCCCTTAAATTTAGTCAGGAAGGGTTGCGGGAAAAATAGCGAAAAATAAGAAAAATGGATAAATGTGCCGATAGTTTCTGGCTGTAGTGTCTAATCCCCGGTACTTTCTTGCACAGTGCTGGAAGTGACGTCAGGTGAATACGGGAACGCGATTGATTGCCTCGCCAAAGCTGCTCAAGATTCAAAATGGGCAATTGATGCGGAAGTACCACCAAGTAACTATTGGAGTTTTTACCACGTAGCTATTGGATACTGCAGAAGCCCTACTGCTTTTATTTCTCAACTCTGTCTTACTTTCGAAAAATCGAATTTTTGCCCCGCCCAGCAACGATTTTTCGAAAGCAATCTTGTTAGACTTCCTCAGCATTTCCCGTCATTGAGGAGGGCTTCTACATCTCCAGTAGCTATATGGGTTGTGCGCAGAGCTAGCGAATTTCACCTCGTTTTTCAGCCCGTCGAGTCGAAACAGACAAAGGGACGAGAAAGGTGGGACACTGGCGAGTCGCAACTTTGAGGAAAAAACCTTCGGAATTGGCCAGGTTCTCCATCTTGCTCAGAAAACAGCTAGCTTACCTCAACAGGGACGCGGTAAGTTGAGAAACATTCCAGGAAATATCAACGTTCCTCTTAATTTTCAGTCAGCCGCTAAGCTGAAACTGTTTCTCCACTTTCTGGTCGGTGCGATGCTCGGATTAACTTACCACAACTCAGGTTACGACGCTTCCAAGTCCATCAGCAACGTCTCTTTCTTCTTGGTAAGCGTGGTATATATAAGTTATACCTCGCTGATGCCGGCAGTGTTGAGATGTAAGTCAGATATGGACGATTCTGTTTTAACCGTTTTTTATTCGGGACTAAAAGTATCGGATAGTGTCAACAAGTAAAAAAAAATGCATTAGAACACTAAAATACAAACTTAAAAAAAAGATACGTACAAACACAATCAAAGTATTCATCGATAGAATAAAAAAACATTCTTATTCAAAATGAGCTTTAATTTTTGTTTAAATAAATGGACAGGTAATATCTGTTTGACGCAAAAAGGCAAGTTACTATTTAGTTTTATTCGTAAAATCATAGGGCTGTTAGCTACTTTGGCGAACTTATGACTTGGCCCTTGCAAATTAAGATTGGCACATTTTCTTATTTTATTTATCTTGATATCCCTGTCACAGATAATTGAAATGTTATGAAGAAAAATGAGATATTTTTTTTTACTTGTCAGTCAGGGCACTCTTTGAAATTACATAAAAACTTCTAAAATAAAAAAGTAATCATCATCAATGTAAAAAAATTGATAGAGTTTGGTTTATACTTGGAAAAAAACTTGGTTAGTTTGATATCTTGATGTCTCTGGAAACGAAAAAGTCGCAGATAATTAAAACGTTATCAAGAAAAAATTTTGTAATTATCGTGTTCATTTATGCCTCTTCTTAACAGTTAACAGAAAATATTACAAATATGAAAAATTGGGTGTATTATATTATAAGAATTAAAAATATACGTTGTCCTTTACGAACTAAAAATTTGAATGTTTTCCGATGTGTAAAGTCGGAATTTGCTCTCTAACAACTAACCGTCGTTCCAGTTCCGTCAGAGTTGCTGATATTGAGGAAGGAGCTTTTCAATCGCTGGTACACTCTGAGAACATATTTTATCTCACACATGGCGGCCGACATCCCTTTGCAAGTTGGTGAGGAAGTATTGACCAAAGGGCGATATTAAAGGGGAACTTTTTCAGATCGCCTTCGCACTGACTTACACCACTTCGGCGTATCTGATCAGCGCTCAGCCGTTGGAATTCGGCAGATTTTTCATGGTGGTGGCTGTGCTCTCTATGGTGTGCATATCCGCTTCGGGAATGGGTTTGATATTCGGCGCATTGGTCGATCCCATTGTAAGTTATTTTAAATCTCAAAAAACGTTATCGTTAATCTCTAAAAGATGTGAATCTGACTTTTCTTCTGTAGTCCAAATCGATTTTTAAAAAAATCAGGTGCCTTTAATTTTGATTTTGGACTAGATCCTTTTTGGCTTGAGATTTTTCGTTGTTTGGTCCTCATCTGGAGTAATAGCAGTCTTTAATACTAAACTCAGCGCTGAATAAGACACCGGATTTTTTTATTTTTGTTTTTATTATTATTTTGCCTTCGTTCTTTATATTTCGCTTGCTTTTGACGCGTATTGCTTGGGATAAGGTTTGATAAGCGTATACCTGGACGTTTAAAACTAACTTGGACATCAGGGTAATTTTTAAAATTTGTTTGATTTCGTTTCGACGAAACAACTGGCAAAATCAACGAGAAATAGACAGAAAAAGAAACAGCGATGGAGAGGCTAGGCTAAAACTTCTTTGGATGACAATTCTGAATTCAAAGTGTCAGACCTTGCACCTGAAGGTGTGCGAAAATATTCATTCGTAACCAGTATACGAGGTGTATTCGGAAAGTGCGGTGGGTACAAAAGTTTTATGGTTTAAATTGAATTTTAAAATTATTTATTTTTATAAAAATTTTAAACGTTTACGAAAACGTAAAATTTTGATATTTTTAAAATCCTTGCCAAAAAATAAAGGGTAACTTTTATAGAAACTACTTATTCGTATTTTGTGTAGTTTAGACAGAAATTGAGATATGGTCTTCCAGGCTGGCAGTAATAACTACCTGATAAAATTTCAAACACGTTTTTAGACGACTTCCTTCTAACGATCTGCGTAGGTATTTGAAAATTATACAGGCTGTTTTAAATTAAAGGGTATTTTTTTAAAAATTCAACTTGCAGTCTTCATTTTTTTTTTAATGAGACGCCAATATTGTTGATATTTTGCTCAAAGCGGGTGAAAATAACTATAATTTCGTACATGTATGTTCTGTACTTAAATCTAATAATTTTCGATATACTGACACGTAATTATTTTAAAGAATTTTAAAAAAGCATATCATTCTTATTTTCAAATTAATTGTAAGGATTTCTGCAATGGGTAATTGGTCTTTTTTATAGGTAAGATAATACAGAGATTTATAGCTTTAGGAAATTAAAACGTCATCATTTCTTATATTGTCAACGATGTAAAATAATATGTATATAATTATGAAGTTTAAAAATTTAAAATAAGGTGACTTTTACTTGATGAAAACACATTTTTGCTAGTTCTGAAAGCTATTTTTAAACCACATTTTGATAAATGTTTTGAAACTAAAAAATTCTTTAGTTAAATTACATAAACAAGATATGCCCATTAGACCAGTCGTGTCTTATGTAACAGCTCCAGCAGTTAAACTCTCAACAAAATTAGTAAATATTTTAAAGTTCCACGCAGATTTTAAACCAAAATTTGCAATAAAAAATACTTTTGAATTAATCAACAAAATTACAAATATTTTCTTTTGATGTACAAAATTTATTTCCTAGTATTCCACCTACGGATGTGGTAGATTTAGCAGATTTCACCCTAACTCGGAGACAGGTTAACTGATTGGTTTAGGAAGTCCTTAGTCCTTTGTTAGCCGAGATTTTTATGGATAATTTGGGAAATATCATACTAGAACATCCTTTAAGTAAAAGTTTTCTATGGTGGTATAGATACGTGGATGATGTTTTTGCTTGCTTTGTTGGAACGCACAGACAATTGAATTTTTTTTTAAATTACATTAACTCATCACATAATCGTATAAAATTCAGTATCGAGATTGATAACTCTTTTAATTTTTTAGACTTAACTATTGCGAAAACGCAAAGCAAGTTAGGTTTTTACCATTTACCATATATAAGCTCAAATCACGCTTATACACACAAAATGGCTGCATTTCACTCTTTTATACACAGACTTCTTAATACGCCACTCTCAACAGAAAATTACAACAAAGAAATTCATATCATTAAGCAAGTTGCACTGAACAACGGCTACAATCCGTCCATTATCGATAATATTATAAATAAAAAACAAATCCAGACAACAGTAAACTCTATTCATCCGAAACCTATATATATATATATATATATATATATATATATATATATATATATATATATATATATATATATATATATATATATATATATATATATATATATATATATATATATATATATATATATATATATATATATTCTCACGTATTGATTCACTATATTCCGTGATATCATCCGTTCGCTCGTTGAACTTCGACTGGAATCCATCCTGCAAATCCTGCATCCGGCTGGAATCCTGCAGACGTGTTCGAATATATATATATATATATATATATATATATATATATATATATATATATATATATATATATATATATATATATATATATATATATATATATATATATATATATATATTGGGTTGTTCGGAAAGTCATTTCGTTTTTTTTGGGGAACATGAAAGACAGTTTTCGTATAATGAATAAATATTTTATTAAATTATATATTGGCCATTCTGGTCCAACACCTTTTGCCATCTTTCTGGCAGTAACATAATTCCCCTCTCATAAAAGTTTTGGTCCTTGCTGGCAAAAAACTGGTTCAGGTGGTTTTTGACATCTTCATTTGAGGTAAAGGTTTTGCCATCCAAAAAATTTTGCAGGGACCGGAACAAATAGTAGTCGGAAGGCGCCAGATCTGGAGAATATGGTGGATGTTGCAGTACGTCCCATTCAAGCTGTAAAAGTTTTTGACGAGTGACCAAACTTGTGTGAGGTCTCGCATTATCCTGGTGGAACACTACACCCTTCCTGTTGATTAATTCGGGCCTCTTCTCTTTAAGTGAATCATTCAATTTGACCAGTTGATGACAATAGACTTCTGAATTAATCGTTGTATTGTCCGGCAAAAGCTCAAAAAAAACGATTGCTTTGACATCCCACCAAACGGAGAGCATCACCTTTTTTTGGTGAATGTTGGCTTTTGACACGCTTTGAGCCGGTTCATCTTTTCTGCTCCATGACCTCTTGCGTTTAACATTGTTGTATACAACCCATTTTTCTCCCCAGTAATAATCCGCTTCAAAAATGGACATGGGGCACCCACACATCGAGCTTCGAGGTTAAGCCCATGCCTTTCAAATGGCCTTAAACAGTCGAATTTGACAAATTGAATCTCTCACCGATCTCTCATGTGGTTATTCGCCGATTTGTATCAACTAATGCCTTTATCGCATCTTTGTCAGCTTCGACCGGCCTTCCAGACCGTGGTGCATCTTCGACATCAAAATTGAAGGATCGAAATTTTGCAAACCAGTTCTGGCACTGGCGTACTGTTAACACGCCTTCTCCATACACATCCGTCAATTTTTTTCTCGCTTGGACAGCATTTTTACCTTTTCTGAAGTAAAAAAGTAAAATATGACGAAAATGCTGCTTATTGCTCTCCATATTTAAAAGGGCACCAACCAAAAACTACTGCGTAGAATTAATAGAACTTTTTCACACACAAGCCTTGCAATATCAGCTATCAAGACATATAATGGTTATGCGGCTTAAGTGTGAAGTTGGTTTCGAAAAAACGTAATTAAGTCCTCTGACGGGAAAAAACGAAATGACTTTCCGAACAACTTTATATATATATATATATATATATATATATATATATATATATATATATATATATATATATATATATATATATATATATATATATAATTTTCGTGAAAATCTGAACTAATAGTTCTTATTTATTTTTTTAAAACAAGTATTAGTAACAAGTAAAAGCAACAAACAACAGTAACTGTAGCAATTAAAGTAAAAACTAAGGTAAAATAAAATAGACCATCTACAGTAGGTTTTCAACGTGGTTTATAGCATTACAAAATTTTAACATTAAAACTTCTCTGGAATCCGCGTTACAGGAACTTTTTTTTATACTCTCTAAGAGCCAGAACTGGACTTTCCAAATTCGATAAAAATCATTCAAGCATATCCGTTTTCCTGTCCGTTTATTCAATACACACATTTCATTTTAAAATACCTAGTCATCGCAGATCGTTAGAAGGAAGTCTTCTAAAAATATATTTAAAACTGGATCGAGTAGTCATTACTGCCAGCCGTGGACGACTATATTTACTAAGAACATAATTTTGCATAAAAAATTCGAAAATTCAATTTCTATAAAAGTTACATTGAAGGGGACAAAATCAATTTTGATAAATAAATAAATACTTTTTGATAAAACTTAAAAGTTACATTAGTTTTTGAACACACCTGGGACACAACCGTACGTCTCACCAATTTTTCACTCTATTTCCCTAAATAGGAGAAAATAAATTGCTTGGTTGCAATGTTACAGTTTGAATAAATCGTTACATTTTTCCTCGATGTTTTGTAAGTTTGGTAAATAGTATTACGGTAGCGTGTGGAAGATTCTTTGAAACAAAAATTAACCAAATAATGTTATTTTCCCAGAACGGTACCTTTTTGGGGGCAATTTTCAGCGCCCTACTGTTTAGCCTGGCGGGGAGTTTGTGCCTTTTCCCCCACATGCCCAGAGTCATGTACTACCTGACCAACTTCTCCTACCTAAGTTTCTCGATGGAGGGGGTACTGCAGGCGGTATACGGCTTCGATAGGGGTCCACTTATCTGTCCTAGTGACGTAGCGTACTGCCTCTACACGTCACCGAGCGAACTGCTGCGGGACATCGGAATGGATAGGTTATCCTTCTTTGCAGACATTGCGTATATCGCCTTGTACGCCGTAATATTTAGAGTTCTCGCGTATTTCTTTCTGAAACGAAAATTGATGAGTTTTTAGTTCAAAGTGAGAGACTAAAAACGCGTTAAAAACTTACCAAAGCGTTCATGTATTAATTGTGATGTGTAGAAATATACTTTTAAAATTGTACTTATCGCTCTATTGCCTTCCAGCTAATTAGAAAGATGTGTGTTTTTTTTTCTACCTGACCGGGAACATTTCATTTATTAGCATGTTACGACCGTAGACTATAAAATTGGGTAATAAAGGAATACAAGTGTTAGTAGCTGAGAATAAAGAAAATGAAGAAAACGCTTTGGAATAGAGAAACGAATAAAAACATAACACCTGGACAAGAAATAGAAAGCAAGAATGACAACTTGTGATAAAAATTGCATTGAAATAAAACAGGTAGAGGTGCCTAATATAGAAGAAGAAGAAAAAGAAGAGGAAGCCAACCATGGAAAATATATAAAATATTGGTATATACATAAAAAGAAAAGCATAATACATAAAACTAAACTCAACGAAGAAAATAAGCTTCTCCGAGCTGTAGATTGCTTTATTAAAAACTGTTTAGCTAAGTTTTTGAATCTAAGTATTGGAGGCTTATGTTCATTAAAAAATCAGACCACAAAGTAAATTGGCATTTATTTAATTTATGGTCTAAACGAGTTCTCAAGAATTTTGCACTTTGTTGATGTGTCTTTGACAGAAGATTAAAGGAACGATTTTCCATTCGTTAAGGGTTAAGTTTTTTTTTGTAAATCAGTCCTTGGCTTCAGTAGGTTTTTCTTTCTTCAAAAGCATTGAAAAGGGCTTCAAGAAGATCGTTGATATGAGGAAAACCGGTTAATTCACATTACTCAGCCCTAGACAACTTCATTTCTCACTGCTGATGTGGCGTGCGTTCAATTTGTCTTGATAACATTTTAATTGGCTGTAACTTTTTTGTTTTTGGAGATATCAACGTAAACAAAAAAGCAAAATGTAGAGTGCACAGTCAAGTTTTTTATTCGTATAAAACAAAAACACTATCAATTTTCTGACATATAAGCCCAAATCATATTTTTCAAAAAGGGAACACCCTACATATTATATATGTTTTTAATAGAATATCTTATGCCGATTACAATGATGAAACACACTTTCTATTTAAGTACACTCGTTTTTGACAAATCGGCAAAAATAGGAAATTTTTATATACAGCGTATAACGTAATACTGTATAACGTAAAACTCTGTATTACGAACAAAATTCGTTGTAGTATTAGGTCTCCATACAAAGCTATGTATTAATCCACTCTGTATAACGAATTTCTCACTCTTTATGCCGAAATAAAAAGGGCACAACAGGAAACAAAGTAGAGAGTTTGTTACCTTCTCAAAATTCCTTACCCTAATAATCTAATTACCGAGAACCTGGTCGTCCTAAGTGTTTTTCTCGATTATGTTTATGCCTTTATCGGTATGTATAAAAGCACACAATTGTTTCAATCATCTATAATCAATCTAATTTGACTTTTTTAATGCTGATGAAACTGGTATTTTTTCAAAATGACGCCAGATAGAACTCTTAAATTTACGAAGCGAAAAGTGTATGGGTGGAAAACTTTCTAAAGAACGTATAACAGTGTTGGTAGCTTCCAATATGAGTAGGAGAGAAAAATAAAGCTAGTCGTGATTGGAAAATCAACTCAAAAATCAAAAGAAAGGGTAAGGAAGAGCAGCAAGAGGAAGAAGAAGATGAAGAAGTTGATCCGGGACCATCACCAACCATTCAACAAGCCCTATAGTCAGTTAAGAAATTTTTATGTATTATGGGGAAGTACGAGATGCGTATTGGCATACTAAAAAAAAAAAAACGATTATTTGAAACATTAAATGTAGTTCTTAAATATTTATATAAAATGTACCTAAGTATATGTTAAAATATGTATATAAAATAATTAAGTATTACAGAACACATATGCGTGTTGTTATTTTTCAAGTGCCTATATCTCTTCATAATTAATATTTATAATGAAAAATCTTTATAACGAAAAAAAGCAGTCATTTCAATTTGCCTACATAGAGTTTCGACTGTACTTTCAAAGAGTGCATTGACTGATAAATAGAAATTTGTTTTGCCATATTAGTAAACAACGTTGAATTATTGTCCAAGTCGTTATTGTTAAAATGGTTTTTTGCGAATTGAGCGTCTAAATATTTAATGTAAAAACATTTTCAGCACTATTATTGTAAGAAATTCGATTTCATTTTTAATTTAGATCAAATTGTTTAATTAGGATCGAACTGGGTTTAATCACTTCCACAATTTAATGGTTTCCGATTATTTGCAGCGTTTATTTCCCCTACAACATGGATGGATTCTTTAATTACCGGTCGAGTTAAAATTTTAGTTACATTTAGGTACATTCACGTCCATTTATACGATTTTCTCAAAAATTCACGAAGAAAACTCGTGTCCCACTTCATTATCGATCTGTGTCGAACGATTCGCGAAAACACCGATAAATCGCGCCAAAAACGTAATGGTGTCGATTTTTCGCGATTTTTGTGACCCATTTAAAGCGCGCGATAAGCGGGTTATGGGATTAAACAACAACGGGCCGGCGTAAAACGCCGACCGCTAATTATCGCAGTTGTTTGGGCAAAAATATCAAAAATTGCTCGGATGCAACTTGTCGTCCTTATGCACAGAAAGTTTATCGCGGCTCGTTTTAGTGGAGCGCCGTAAGGTTTATACCTCGGAATCCAGGGCCAGTCAATGTTAAAAAAAAATATTTTGTGCGATCTTAATTTTTTAATAATTATTAATTTTTTGGAGTTTTCCTTAAGTTATATTAGTGTAAAATTGGATTTTAAGAAGAAGAACTATTACAAACTTCATCTTGGGTCTCAAGGGACTGCAGGTATAAGGATGATGGGCGCGGAGGGGAATAGAGGGGACAACAGCAGCTGTTGGGTGTTGTTAACGCGGGCCCTAACAGAATAGTACACGTGGCAACTTGCTAGGCTTGATACGTAGTAGTTGCTTATTTGTTTATTATTTGTATTACATGGTTTTGAAAACAACTGTGAATATTCAACAGTATATTTTATAATAGATCGATCTTAAAAGTTAGAATGAAATGGTAAAATTTAATATATATTTGGAATCTGCGTGAAATTTCCTATAAGATAGTGCTTACACAAACAGTTGATTTATTTTTATGTATTTTATTTATGCAGAAATAATAATTTAATTAATCGGAAAAATAGTGAAAATTCCGATTTTGTCACATTTAAAAAAAAAGAAATTTCCAATCCTTACATCTGAAATTTTAATTAATTGTGATATAAAGGTTAGTTATTGATATTAGTAACATTTATTGTTACAGCCTCGTATCAAAATGGGCGAACCGTCGAATAGTGATAATATTAATAATGATTGCCTCATTTGTGACAAAACTGAACTAAGAGATATTATAAAAGTCACTAGAGGAATAACAACACTGAAAGCTGCTTCTGTGGAAAGAGGGGATGGACTTTCTCAGTCTACGTGCATTCAGTATGCAGACAAAAATATATCAATAAAGGATGCAAACAATGCTTATTTAAAAAAAAAGAACACTACATCAACATGCCCTCCACCTAAAAAAAAACTGTGAACGGCTACTTCTATTGATTTTGATTGGAAAAATAAGTGCTTTTTCTGTGAAAAAGAAGCGGATGAAATGAAGGAAAGAAGAAAGTCCAAATCGGTAAGACAGCAAATCAGCTACGTAACTACTTCTGAGTTCAAGCAAACTATTTTAAATTTGATAAGCGAAGAGAAAAGCGAATATTGTCGCAATATCCATTAAAGGATTGTAGGTGTGTTAGATCTAGTAGCTCAGGACGCGGATTGTTATATGCGTTTGAAAACTACCGTAAAACAGACCCAGAGGGATAAACAAATTCATCCAGTCACAATACAAGTAGATGCAGCAACGGAGCAGATTTTCAAATATATTGAAGAAAATGATGACTGATGATTAAAAAGTATAGTGACAATTGATCATAATCCTGATGATAAAACGATAAAAATGACGTTAATGAACCATTATGAGGATAATATTGTATTCTCCAGTAAATTTGGATCTAATACAATCATATGTTTAAGAAAAACAACAATATGAAATATTAACAAATTATATTATATATTAATTATATTATATTATATTAAATATATTATATTAAATATTAATAAATTAACATTGAATTTACTCCGCAAACATAATTTATTACATATAAAATTAAGATCTTTACTGTAAACATTTTTTTGCCCCTTGCGCCTTTCATTTTTCAGTAAATTGTTTATAAAAATTGTTGTAATCGAGATCGGCCAATTTTTTTTTTAACATTTTTATTTGAGGTTTTAATAATGCAATCAAACGCTTGTTATACAGATTCATTGACTGGCCCTGGGTTCCGAGATTTTACCATTTTTATGCCTTACGGCGCTCCACTATTAGTTTTTTTCCTAAAATTTTTCGATCTCACTTAATGTTAGTTACTACAGGATCGCCGTCTCAAAAATCAGGTGTCTACCGGTTGAAATGCGGATCATGTCCTAAAATTCATATCAATTAGATTTAAATATCTCTCCATTATTAAACTTAAGTTTTCACAACAACATTAATAAAGGTTTTATAGTCATTTTTCAATATATATACTAGCAGGTAATTTAAAAATATTACATTTGATAATTACACGGTGTTGTTATTGGGCAGAATACGCAATTATCTGTTTGAATATTGCTTTCTAGTTGTTGAACTTGAACTTGTTGTGGTTGTTTTTAGCTCCTTTTTCGCAATCGTATTTGCAAATTTTGTGATACTTTCTGTATTCTGTATTCTAGCCTCTGTATTAAAACCCTTTATAGGGGAAACTGATAGCATCCCCCAGTTCCGATATGTTAAAATCGGAGAATCTGGAATCAAACCTTCATTGAAAAGTCTGGAATACATTTTTTGAACGTACGTTGTGTTCTCCATTATCACCAAGGCTTTGGGAGGAAATCCCTCCACACCCTCTAAAACCAAAATTATTTATTATGGATAATTAAAACACTTCAAGTCTGCTCCTCTAATAATTATCAATTTGGAGGTGTTGTTTTGTTGCGAAATAAATATTATTATTATTATCCAAAACAAGAAAGTTTGGTAATTTAATGGAAAAACCGTAAACGTGGCAACGTCTGTCGACAATTTTTGATTCCTTGGCGGTCCCGGCCTACACCGTCTTGGGCTTTTCGTGGCAATCGAAGAGGCCGTGATAAGCGCGTCGACGGATAAAAGCCGAGACATATCTAGCAGAGACCGGCACGTGAGGAGGACCCTATCCGATCTGTTTTGACGCTTTCGTTTGAAAATAGGCGGTTTGCAATGAACCGGACGGGATCGCCGTGCAGTGCGCGCCTCTGAAATCGAAACAAAAAAAAAAGCGGTCGCATCGCAGTGCGCGTTGGATTCCAGACATTGAGCCTACTTGATGCGGGGCGCTTTCCGAGACGTTACGTTACGTTATTTAAACGGTGTTTGATGGTGTTCCTTAGCCTGCTAGATCCGTAGTCACCCGTGCTGTCAGCCATGGAGAAGAACGCCAAAAGCATTTACGAAAAATCGAACGCGATCGATATAGAATTCGAGGACCTCTCGTTTACCGTCAAACGGAAAAAAGGTGAGTCTTTCGATTTTTAACGATTCACCGAAACATGCCAAAAGTCGTTTTTTTTCAAAGCGTTTGATACTTCCGAACTTTAACTCACAAAAACGAAATTTTAAATATTACTAATGTTTGTTTTTTCAAATACACCCTAATTTCTATCAAAATAAAAATTGTTCTTACAATCGACATTAACTTGTCATAAGTTACTTAATGAATTGTCTATATGTTTCATTAATTATACTCATTTCATTCATTTCCTGCCGTTGCAGTAGGCTGTGTCTGTAAGAATTATTAATTCCGTTGTCAAGGCGATTGTTTGACAGTTGTTCGACGTCGAACGACTGTCAAATTCAGTGCTTCGCGTCTCATTAATTTGGTGTTTAAAATAGCCGAGCGTTGTTATTATAAAAAAGATTTTTTACGTTTTACATTTTCCAATGTACAGTCCATAGGAGAAACAAAAAAAAAGTTTCGCACAAACGTTTCTTAGACTCTCCAGAAGATTTAAATTATTATAATTTTGTTGATACAGGGTGTCCCGAAAGTGTCTCACCTGACATCACCCTCGTTACTTTCGAAAATGGATGAAATCAGAAATGGTCACCGTCCAAAAAAAATTTGTTGTTTGTCTGTCCGTTCTCCGTTCTCGTATTTTGGTTTTTCCTGAATAACTTTCGAACCGTTGGAGCTACAAAATTGAAATTTACCAATGAAATAGAAGCTAACAACACCTCCCATTGTCCTTTCTTACATTCAAAACATCACTGACCACATATCAAAAATTCTAAAAAAATATAACGTCAAAACCAGATGATCTCTCAACATCTTCGATCCGTCAAAGACAAAATTCCATTTGAGATGCTTTTATAAAAAATATGTAATTTAGTTTGAAAAACGGATTGTTTCGTTTTATTGGTGTTCACGGGTTAATTAACCCGTCAATTGCCAGTTTGCGGTTTCAAATAAAGTCCATTGGAACGCGTTCTGTGTTGGTTCCGAATTATTGAAAAACGTTGAAGTTTATATTTTTCATTGTCCAGTAAGTGAAAGTCGAAAAATGGACATCCCGTATACATTGCTGACTGTTCACACATATTCACACTATTTAATTTTATCTTCGACGAGTTGTTTTGTTGACATTTATATTAAATATAACAATTGTCATGTCATAATATATAATTTCGTGAAAATCTGAACTTTTAGTTCTTATTTATTGTGATAAATGGCTTTTCATCAAGTAAAAACCACCTCAGTTCAATAGTTCAATTATTTTTATTGTTCGGGAAATCAGTGTCGCCAAAACAGACATGTGAAATTCCGTACGTCCGCCACTGGTGTGTTTTTAAAAAATTATAATACACTAAATAATGCCTCTTGATACATAGTACGCCTGTGTCAAATTTCATTAAAATATCCAAACTGGTGTTACAGATATTAGAAAAAAGATAAATTTGAAAATTTTACCACTCTGTGTCTCAAAGGTTAAATCGTTTAGGACGAATGTTTATATGAAGTTTTCTTTTTGAAATGGATCCCTCAATTGGGTATCGATTTGGCCGTTCCAAAAATTATTCCCTACTTCGAGACGGCTCGTTATTACTAACCAAATCGAATAAGTTTCGATCGAACCGGTTACAAGAAAAAAACCAAAACATTCGGCACATTGTATTCCAAGAACCGTCGAAAATTGGAACAGAAACAAAGCGCTTCTATCAGCAGCGCTGATAGAAGCGCTGGTAAATAGTAATTTATTTAAACCGAACGAAATTTTAATAGTATTTTGTTTTTATTTAAATGCGTGTATTAATAAACCAACTGCGGGTTCCTTAGTTTTATTTTATTTTATTATTATTATTTACTAAATGCGGGACTCATATTTACTTATAAAATTTAAAACTTTTTGCGGGAAACCATTTAAATTAATATGGAGTCATCTGTGTAGATTAGTGACATATAAAGCAAAATAATTTTTATATAATTACGAAGAGTGCCATGACTGACTGCAACAACAATAATTATTTACAAATTAAAGTGGAATAAAAACACTAAAAATGACAAAACTGCTTAGAATGATCCCCATTGTATACTCTAGAGGAAACTGGCTGTGCTTCATAGAATCCTAATGTGCGCCTTATTTTCTTCTTTTAAGACATTGATTCCAGCATACCTTTTTAGCATTTAATAAGTTACCTTTTTGTGCAAATTTGTTTGCCAGCCTTGGAAATATCTGCTTTGACGGAGCTCAGCGCTCTGGACAAACCATTTTAACAATATTGACTTGGACAATAATTCAGCAATCAACGTTGTTTACTAATATGTCAAACATAAACGTATTTTCATTTGTCAGTCATGGCACTCTTTGAAACTATATAAAAATTTCCTATTTTTGCCGATTTGTCAAAAACTAGTCGACTAAAATATAAAGTGTGTTACATCATTGTAATCGGAATAAGATATGTGTTGTGTTGTCGAAACAATTGTCATGTCATAATATATAATTTCGTGAAAATCTGAACTTTAGTTCTTATTTATTTTGATAAATGGATTTTCATCAAGTAAAAGCCACCTCAGTTCAATTTTATGAATAAGATATTCTATTTAACACATATAGTATACAGCGCGTGCCATTAAAAAAATATTATGTATGCTTGTATGTCAGAAAATTGGTAGTGCTTTATACGTCACTTGGAAAAAAACTTGGCTGCTAACCCTACATTTTGTCGTTGTCGTTTGGCTTGATATCTCGAAAAAGGAAAAAGTTACAGTCCTATTTGTTTTCCAATAAAGGAAATACTTTTTTAAGGCTGCCAACGCTACTGGAAATAATCTCAGTTGAATTTAAGATATCGGTTACCCTCATCCATGGAGGTTCTTGTTGCAAGTTGCAAAAAAACGATTGCTTCGGAGAAAAAATACAAAAACAAAAAAATATATAAAAATTTTTCGAGTTGTTTCGAAGTCGTAGCTTAACATTTCTGCCTTCCGTAAACTGGCCGACGACGACTAGGTAATATATCAATTATTATAATCACCTCCGCCGCCGTTGCCGAACAGCGAAATCAGATTTAACGAATCGTATTTCGAAAAACGACGATGGTCCAATGAAAAAGCCACTCCGCGGACCTGACGACCGTGATTCTGCAAATTTCACGGCTGCGGTATACATTATTTAAATGTACGCGCACGGGAACGAAAAAATCGCGTATTTTTCGGTGCCAGTGGGAATTAAAAATATCGCTGCGCGTGGCGTGAACTTTGACACATTTCGGTAACTTGTTTGTTTTGTTTTGACTCGTTTATCGGCCACCACTCTAAACAAACATTTAATTCAGCTTGGCTTCAGCTTCCAATCAGAAAACCGTGGTTCGAACAATACGATTGTGCTTTTGGTGGACTTTCTGTCCTCTGCTTTCCCGTTTTTAAGACGTTGCCGCTTTGCACACCCTCCCCAGCGGCATGGATGTGTGGACATTTTAACTTATTGCTATAGAAAAATCGACTAAATCGTCTTACGAGACCCCCATTGCTACAGAAATAATCTTTTTTTTAAATTTTGATCTCTTTGTCTGTTCTCTGTTCTCACTTGTCTGTTCTCTGTTGACCTTTCATAAAAACGCGAGGCCGAACGGCTTAAGCCTGTGCGCCGAGATTTTTCTCCGTTTAAACGCCCCACGAGACATATCAGCCTGTCTGACAGTGGCGTCCGTCTTTTCTTTTTTTTCAAAATTTAAAAACCGCATACTCGGGGTATAAAAAAAAAATCGTTTCTCGAAAACGGTTTATACGACGAAAAAAATTCTTGATCCAAAAGACGCGCGAGATCCGGACCAAAAACATTTATTTTGGATGATTTTTTGAAAATGTACAGGATGCGTCGGTAATTTGCAAAAAACTGAAAATTGGGCTACCTTTTTCAGTGACCAGTTGTCAGTTTCATAGGACTGTATAGAACTAAAACGTTTGAATTTCACATCTAAACTGTAGAAACTGGGAAGTATTTTTTTTCAAATTTTGGATTTTTTACTATATACAGAGTTTTTAAATTATGGGTCAAATTCTAAAGTCGTTTTCCAAAGTAAATTAATAGTCGTTAATCAACATTCGTAAAAAATATGGTCCAAATTTTGTGTATTTACGGTTTTCGTCTATCACATACTCTGCTCGAGATATTCGAAAAAATCCATATGAAATTCGCTATTTCCGGCATTCAATCTAGATTCGATGACGTCATTCGGAAAAGAATTATTTTTCCGGAAAATTCATGGGAGACATAGGGCCATAACCTCTATTTCGAACATTGCTTCAATTATATACAGGGTGTGTCGTTTATGGAAAAAAAACTATTGGCCATAAATGAAAAACTGTTAAAGATGAGATAATTTGGTTTGAACAATGTAGTAAAGTGTGTAGAGAGGAAGTTTAATTAATTGGGTTTACCGAGATTCCATCATCTGGATCGAACAAGGCGACGGTTTATCCAGTGGACTTTCTTTTCTTTCGAAAAATCAACGAAATTGATTTTTTTTTAAATTGGAATTTTTTTTTAATTCAAAATCGAGTTTGCAAATTTATCTTCAAAATTTGCAATAACGCCAACTGTCATCGTTTCAACGCGTTTCTAATGGCCTTTTCAAAACTTTGTTTTTTTTGCGAAGTTCAAAACGTCCCCTAAATTTCAAAACGCTTGACTGAACCGTTCGAACGTTGCATAGCGTTCCAACTTTCTTCCTCCACCCGGTATAGTAACGCTGAACGAACGCCGAAATGAAATACGCAGATAAAAATGAAAAAAAAAAACGCTCAATACACGTGGTATTTTTTCCGAAAACCGACTTGGCAATTATTAATAATATCGGGCCATTAAAGTTAATACGGGGCATAAATTTTCTGGCCAATTTTATAATCGCCACGTCAAAGTGAAGCTCATGAATATTTTTTTTGTTTTGGTAAATATTGCGCACAACACTGTTTCCTCGATGTCCTAGTGCGTGTATTCGGCTTAATCTGCTTTGCAAATTCGAACGATCGGCGGCGGCTCCTATGACCCCCATTGATTTCTAATCGTAGAGGTTAGGTTTTAAAAAATTCCACAATTGGATAATGTTCCCGGCAAATAAAGAACCATTGTATTATGAACCCGAACAGTACCGAACAAAGACTCGCCATCGGTAATAACGTAATAACGTGCACACTCGCTTAATATCTTATTTATTAAACTTAACAAACATCAATCGCTATACACGGGATGGAATAACGCTTGGTGCCGTCCGTGCCAGAGAATCGGGCTTCTTCTTTTCGCAATGTCGGGGGCGAACCACAGAATGCAAAAAAAAAATTGTTTAGCTCTACGTAGCTTGAACTGAAAATGCTGTTACGTGTGAAAATGTGCGTTTTGAGTATGTTCACGTAAAGTTCAAGCGTATTATACTTGAAATTATTTTAAAAACAATATGAATTGGTTAACAACCAACTAGATCTGTTTCACCTATGTTCCTACGGAATCGCAACTAACCAATATAATCGTAAAGTTTGTCTATGATCATTTTTTCAGTTTTTGTTTGTGTCGATGGTAAAGTTGATTAGCAAAGTGGCGACCCTTCATGCAAGTAAATTGGAAATATGGTTGGTGTAGAGGCAAAACCGTTTAGGGCCGACGGGATGTTGCCCTAAGCTATTTCGCCAGGCCTTTATTAAATATATGTTTTCTTTGCCGAAAAACACAGAGTGTAACCCCTAGAAGACAACTAGATTGTTCTTATATAAGTAACAGTAGTAGACTTTATAATACATGCACTTTCTGCATGTCGTGCTAAGCATTTCTAGCACATTCTAAAAAACTGCGAAATATAAATAACGCACATTCTATTTCTAAAACGTTATTTATTAAAAATTGAAAATGCAATGTTTGCGCGCCAACTCACGGGCGGCCGTCGAAGCATCCGTTGCATGTTCTTAGTTTCACGGTGTTGCGCCAGATGGGGGTATAGATTGACACTCCAGATGAGGCGGTTAAAAAAAATACGGATTAGGCACGTACTTTAAACAAAAAACTCCATGATAACATTGAAATAATAAGCCGATGATTACGATAAATAAAATTATTCGTAAGCAATCTCTTGTATGTTTGACAATTTATGTTGGTTGTCAATGAAAAAAAAATGAAGGGTCTTTCTCGCTTTTGGCTCGGGCTCGGTCGAGTGAAGTCGGACGAGTTCGGCTTGGCTGGCTCGAGACAACGCGTCACCATAGATCAGATAGAGATTATCTTTGTCTGATGCGTTCGGTTTTTTGTTTAATGGTGAGGCTGTTTCGATTTGATACTAAGTACTTTTGTTTCGATACCGAGTAAATATCGAAAGATTGATTCGATGCTATAAATACTTGGTATCGAATCAAAATGCAGAAATTACTATGTATTAAGGAATTAAGGAAATTGGTAGATCTTGCGGTGAAATGTTTCGTGTTTCCCAAAGGTCTCCCAACAGCTATCAGTGAGCAGTGAGACAGTTTTTTAAAGAACTTGACACAAAGAAGCATTGACCGAGTTTTAAACAGTTAAAAGTTAGAAACTTGGCGGTCTTATACAGTTTTGTCGAATTTTTTCAGATGCCAAGAAGATCATCAAAGGCGTTTCGGGAAAATTTAAATCTGGCGAACTCACCGCCATTATGGGCCCCTCGGGGGCGGGCAAGACCTCTCTGCTCAACATACTCACCGGATATCAGTAAGGATTTACAACTGTTACCTTTGTTTTCTTGATAGTTTAGACCATGTTTGCTTGCATGTTGAAATTTAATATTTCTTTATCGAAAAATTTTACAAACAATAAAAAGAATGATCAATTGCAAGTACAAGAGCCTTAGACGGTTTTGATATAAATCTAAAAACATCTAACTACTCTCTCCTCAAGGGTAAACTGTGAACAAATACTCTGTTTAAAATCATTTTATTTAAAGGAAAATTAAAAAATAAATAAATATCATAAGGTACTTTTTTATTCATTTATTTGATCTTTGAGACACAAACAGGTTAAACCCACAACAGTGTTCCGCAAAGGAAGTTAAGCAAAGCTTGGTTAACAATACCAAAAATGCGAAAGATAAAAAAATAAATAAAAATAATGTTTTAAATTTTAATGCTTTAATTCTTGTTTGTTTTCTAGTAAACTTTTACTTTTTATTGAAATTGTTATTTTTTTAGTTGTCCTTGAAAACACTTATATGTATTTTTCTTTTCTAATACACTTTTTTTTGATTGAAAACTATTATCTATTTTTCATTAAAAAATACTTTTTTTTTGTTTTCTAGTATTTTTTTTATTGAAGGCTATTTTTTTTTTGTTTTCTAATAAATTTTCTTTATTGAGAATTATTAATTTTTAAAGTATTTTAGTATTTTTGATAGGAAACTATTTTGTTTGTTGAATTTTTTTTTCTAATAAACTTTTTTTTATTGAACACTGTTATTTTTTTAGTTTTCTAGTGGTTTTATCCTTGAAAACTATTATATATATTTTTTTGTTTTCTAGCATTTTCTTTTATTGAAAACTGTTATTTATTTTTCAGTAATTTTTTTTATTAAAAACCATTCTATTTTATTTCTTTTCTAGTGAACTTTTTTGTAGATAATTACTTATTTTTTTGTTTTCTACTTTGTTTATTGAGAATTATTAATTTTTAAAGTGTTTTGGTATTTTTTATAGGAAACTATTTTGTTTGTTGAATTTTTTGTTTTCTAGTAAACTTTTTTTCGAGAGAACTATTAATATTCTTGTTCGTTTTCCAGTAAACTTTTTTTATTGAAAACTGTAATCTATTTTGCATTGAAAAATATTATATATTTTTTTGTTTTCCGGTAATTTTTTTTATTTCAAACCATTGTATTTTGTTTGTTTTCTAGCAAACTTTCTTTATTGAAAGTTATTAATTTTTAAACTGTTTTAGTAAAGTTTTTTTATAGGAAACTATTTTGCTTGTTGTATTTTTTGTTTTGTAGTAAACTTTTTTTACAGAGAACTATTAATGTTCTTGTTTTTTTTTCCAGTTAACTTTTTTTTATTGAAAACTATAATTTATTTTTCTTCGAAAAATATATATTTTTTGGTTTCTAGTAATTTTTTTTATTGAACACATTTTTTTTGTTTTTCCATTTCTTTTTTATTTAGAATCATTATATTTTGCCTGTTTTCTGGTAAACTTTGTTTATCAAAAATCATTAATTTTTAAACTGTTTTACTAAAGTTTTTTTATATTATTTGTTTTCTAGTAAACTTTTTTAATTATTAATCTTCTTGTTTGTTTTTTAGTAAAAAAATTTTGTATGGAAACATTTTTTTTTTCTTTTCTTAAAGTCTTCGTATTCAAAAACCGAAAAGTTCCATCGAATTTCGCACAAAAACGACTAATTTGCGGCGTTTTTTTTTCTTTAAACTTTGCACAAACCCAAGTTCCAAGTTTAATATGGCATAATCGACATATTCGTTTACGATGAGGCCATAATTAAATTCGCCAGTGATTAACGGCCCATTAAATCTATTTAAATAATCGCCGGAACGATTTTCCTACCGCCCAATTACGCTCTAATCATTTTCAAACTTAAGTGGTTTCGACCAATAAAAATTTTAACGACCAACCAAAAATTCAAGGTTCGCAGTCGATTCCGGCTTATCGGAGTCTTCAGATTTTTTAATAAAATGCCGTATATGGCTATAAATAACTTTTATAAATTTTTTATTTTTTTTTTAAGTCTCTACGCTGCGAAACACGATAAGTGTCCGAAATTTGAAGCATAGTTATTTGCCGAAAATGAAAATTCGTGCAAAATTTCGTTAATTTAAACTGTACTGTGGATCGCATCGGCGGCTTCAATTTTTGTATGTGCGGTTTTCGTCTATCACACGCGCTGCTCGAGATATTTGAAAAAATCCATGCGAGAATGTATTTTTTCGATGACCATTCACTGTACAGGGTGCGCAAAAAATTTAGAACACCTTAAAAATTTCCGTTTCGATGGGTAAAATATTATCCGTAAATGAAAAATTATAAAAGCTGGAATGATTTAGTTTAAACCGTATCGTGGAACAAAGCGTGCCTACATTAGATAGCTTAATTAGGAGTCTTGAAAAAGATGAAACCGGTGTTAAATGTGGCAGAACTACCTTATGGAAGTGTATTCAACACATGGGTTTTAGATTTAAAAAAATTGGCAAAAGGCTAGTTTTAATGGAATCTTTTAGAATTCGGAAAAGGCGACTGGAATATCTAGAAAAAATTAGGATTTACAGAGAACAACAAAGGCGAATTATTTACTTGGATGAAACCTGGTTCGACACTTATGATACCCCGGAAAAGGGCTGGGTTGACTCAACTGATAAGTATTAAACAAATGTGCCATCAAAAAGAGGTAAAAGAATAACTATTTTGCATGCTGGCTCTAAAGACGGTTGGATTCCAAATGGACTTTGTCTGCGAAAAATTTTAAAAATTCTTCTCTGGATTACAACGAAGACACCACCGCTGACTTATTTGAAAGTTGGTTGAAAAATAAACTGGTTCCAAACATTCCTTATAATAGCGTCATTGTAATGGACAATGCAAGTTATCACAGTAGACAGTTGATTAAAACCCCTTCCTCACGTGACACAAAAGCAACAATCCAAAACTACATGTATAATAACGACATTGATTTTCACGAAGATTACACCAAAAAGCAATTAATTGAGGTTCCACAAAGCTTGAACCTACAAAAGGAAAACGTCTGTGATAATTATGCAAAAAATCTAGTGCACACAATTTTAAGGCTTCCACCTTACCACTGTACATATAATCTGCCATTCGTCGTAACAATGTTTTTCCCCGTGTTAACTCCAATGAATTTTTCAAGGTCTAGACTCGACATTGGATCGGGAAGATTTTGCAGAATAAAAGGCTATTTATTAATTATCGACCAGATTTTTTATATAACGTCTGTTGGTAGCTTTTTGCATGACATTTGTGCGTAAATTCAGTTACTCTGAAAGCGGTATTCCAGGGTATCGGGAGTGGAAGGTACAATCGGGTGCGTCAGCGGCGGCAAAAGAAAAACCGGATGTGCACAGTACAAGAAACACTCGTGTTACATTCTGCAGGACGACCATCTTCCCGACTATTTGACGGTCGCCGAGTCGATGCGACTGGCGACCCGATTGAAAATCTCGCGCGTTTCGAAGCAAGTCGAAGAATTTTTGGTAAGTCCGTGCGTACTTGAACGATCCTGGTTCGCAAATTATGTCTTAGAAAAAATTGGCAAAATACCCACCTACTTGGTTAATTTTGAAAAATAGAAAAAAAAAACAATCGCAAGCTGTCAAAATAACAGCAACATCTTTTTTTTTAATTAAATGCCCTATATATTACTAGCTTAAATCGTATATCTTTTTTTCCTGATTTCAAAAACATACAGATATTTCAGTTTAAAGATAACTATCATTCGATTTGTGGACAATGGCCATATTGTTTAAAAATGGTCAAGTCTGCCTTGATAGCAACCATGTTGTCTACATTTGCCATCGATTTAACGTTGTTTTGGTTGTTTTGACAACTAATCAAAACTAAAGAGAAAGAAAAACGCCAAATAATAAAATTGTATATGTTCACGCACACAAAAATCGCAAATCACAAACTGAAGGGCTATTTCCATTATTCTCAATTTCTGAGAAGTTTTAGAAGCCTTCCTACATATAGGAGAACCAAATAGTCCCTAAACAACACCTTAGAAAATTTAACTACTATGTCTCAGTATATTTCTGATATCTTCATTTTTCGAAAGCGTTTGATAGGTTAGATCACAAAGTGTCAGTCATATAACTGTTCAGAGGAATATCTCAGTCACCAGCATAGTTTGGAGCAAATCTCCAGTCTCTACAGTCAGCTCATTACAGCCAATTTGTAATGCTAGTTGGGCTTCATGCCTGTTAATTACTTAATTCGTGTTGTTTTTTTTTTTTAAGATCAACGACATTCTAACCACAATCGGATTGTACACGTCCAAGAACACGCCCTGCGGAAATCTGTCTGGCGGTCAAAAAAAGCGTCTTTCAATCGCGCTGGAACTCGTCGACGATCCCCTCATCATGTTTCTAGACGAACCGACCACGTGAGGCTGTTTTTATTAGTATACCCGTACAAAAAAAAAACAAAAATTAGCACCACACATTTGGTCCTTCGAGCCGGATCAGGACCCCAGCGTGCGTGCTTAAAAAAGTTCCAAGAAACTTTTAAAACCCCGTTGCTTAATAACAACTTATATAGATATGGTCTGTTCATAGATATAAGAAAGTGACCAATTGCTTTTGAATGGGCTTATCCAAGGGTGGTCATTAACATACAATGCAACAAGATTATTACCTACAGTTTCGCAATTTAAATTCAGGTAAAATTGTGGTCCGTAATAGACCTACCTGTGTTTAATATTCTTTGGTTTCTTCGTCTCTTTTTCAAGTCTGTCTTTTTATGATCTTTCCATAAGTTCGTCTCTTTTCCCCTTGTCGAGTATGATACTACTACTCTGAAAGCTCACAAAGGTGGTTAGTTTCTGGAATAGAAAGAAGAAACAGAGGGTGCAGCAAACAGTTTTACTTTTTTTTTTCTTGTCAGCGGGCTGGACAGCAGTTCCGCGAACCAGTGCGTGTCCATGTTGAACGATCTGGCCAAGAAAGGCAGAACGATCGTATGCACCATACACCAGCCCAGCACGCCTCTGTACGTGACCTTCAGCCACGTGTACGTTATGGCCGATGGTAGATGCGCCTTTCAGGGATCGCCGACCAACACGGTACCTTATCTGGCCTCGGTCGGTTTCGTTTGTCCCCAGTACCATAACCCTGCCGATTTTTGTAAGTAAAAAAAATTGGAAAAAAGGCCTCGGTAGTCAGCTCAGTGTTTTTCGCATTAAATGATCCAAAGTATTATTAATAAAAATAAATAAAAACTAAAAGTTCAGATTTTCACGAAATTATATATATATAAATTATAAATCTAATTGATCGTTAAGCAATACATTTGAATATCTCATTTTGATATTTTACATAAAGTCACCTCTCCTTTATTGAACTTAAATTCTTAAAACAACATTAATTAGGGTTTTATGGTCATTTTTCAGTTTATATAGTAGGAGGTAGTTTGTAAATATTACTTTTGATAAAGACGCAGTGTTTTCGAAACAATTGTCATGTCAAAATATATAATTTCGTGAAAATCTGAACTTTTAGTTCTTATTTATTTCGATAACTGGATTTTCATCAAGTAAAAGCCACCTCAGTTCAATATTATTAATAATGTGCTCCCAATATTAAAACAACCTTAGGAACTGTGGCGTCAGTGTAACATTTACTAGATGTCAGTTGTCATTTTTCGAAGGGAAAATATTTTCCGACATTGTCATTCCATGGAATTCTTGCATTTTTACAGTACAAATTTTATCCGTAACAATTTTCACTCACGGAACACCCAGTGTATTAATATTGATATACTTGTGAAACGACGCATTTCGGGATGATGGACGTTCGTCTTCATTGCTTAAACTGATTTATCTAAGGCATTTCAATCTTGTTTGAAATTCTCTTCGCGTAATAAAAAAAAAAGAGAAAGAAAAGTCCTACGGCGTTGCCATCATCAGTTTCAATTTTTCAATTTTCTTTTCATATGCAATATAATAGTTTATGCGCTAAACTTCGTCCTTAAGCTTTTGGCATTTGTTTTGAAACATTCTGTACAGCAACAAATGAAATCGCCAGTATTATTCCAGAAAAAAATGCCGGAACGTCGATCACACAACAATTTCATTTTCCCTAAATTAATTTAATTGGTATAATTTAATAATCATTAATTTGTTTAATTTAATGTTCAATATAGTTTAATTAATATGACTAATTTAATTCGTTCAATTTAATTAATATTATACGACAATCAAGTTAATTTAATTTATTTAATATCGCATCAATTTGATTTTTCATAAACCCCCATAATTTCCTTAATTTAATTTTCTTTTTTTAGTTTTTTTTTTCAAGGAAACTATGTACAGATATTTTGGATTCCTTCTGCGTCAGGTGTTGATGAACTGAAGTCGCGGGCGTTTCGTCAGTCTTTCTGTTGGCTTCTTCAGGGCTTAAATTGAAGAAGAAACTGAAACGGTTTCATTAAAGCTCTGAAGAAGCTAAACTGAAGGATGATTGGCCAAACGTCTGCGGGCTCGATTCATCAACAACCGACTCAGGAAAAATGCAGAAGATTTTTACATAGCATTTAATTTATTTAATTAATTTATCATTCCATTTAATTCAATTGCAATAATTTTAATTATATAATTTGATATAATTTAGCAATCAATTTTATTAATTTAAAATAATTTTAGTTAACTTAATTCAATAATAAATTGAATCAATGTGATTTAATAATCGAATTTAATTATGTTAATGTATGTATTTTAATATCACAACAATTTCTGTTTTATAAATCGCCGTGCTTTCCTTAATTTAATTTTAATTTTTTAATTTAATTAATGCAAAAATTAAAAATCATTTTAATTGATTTAATTCAATTATTACTTGAATTCATGTAATATTAAAAGCAATCAATTTAATTTAATTATTTTAATATCACAAAAATTAACCATTAATCAATTAATGCAAATATTTTAATAGTTAACTCAGACAATTGAATTGATTACACGTTAATTGAATACACGTAATTTAATAATCTTATGTGATTTAATCAGTTTAATTTAATTAATTTAATCACAATAATTAACCAATAATCAATTAATGTAATTGTTTTAATAACTAATTCAAACAATTAAATCGATTTGAGGAATTTAAAAATCATTTTAATTGATTTAATGTAATTATTAATTGAATTGATGTAAACATTTTAATAGTTAACTCGGGCAATTAAATTGATTTTAAATATTATTTTAATTGATGTAAATTAATCATTAATCGAATACACGTAATTTAATACTTTTATGTAAAGTAATCAATTTAATTTATTCAATTTAATATCACATAATTTGATTTTTCATAATCCCCTGTGATAAGGTAATAATTAATTTGATCAATCAATGATTAATTTCGTAATTTATTCAATTCATGTAATATAATAATCGATTTATTTGACTTAAGCCTGGATGGTGTTAATTGGTTACTTGGTTAGTTACGCAGCGGCGAACACTGACGTCACGAATCGCTATTCTCGTTAATAACGATAGTTTTCGTCGTGGAAAACGAATTTGATTTTTTAAAAAACTTTATTCAAGCGAGATGACAAAAAAGCTAGCGACGTGGTTCGCACCGTGGTTTTATACAGACAAATTGCTGACGCTTTGAGAAACAAGTAATATAATATGTATGGGAACCTTTACTCAGCAGTTTACAGTATTAAAGCGTTTATAACTCCTCCGCCCTTAGATAAAAGCACGGGTACAACAAGTGCTTTTAAATAACAATATTTTCTTTTTGTTTATTAATTTTAGATTTAAATGGAAAATATTTATATAATAAATAAATCAAGATTAATATAAGTATTACGTATAACAAAATTGTCCAAACACTAGTTCTCGTAGAATATATACGTGATGACATCTTTCCAAGGTTTTCTTTTGCTTCATCCATTTGGATTTGCAGCTCCTTTATTTCCTTTAGGTTAATCGTGTCCAATGTGAGTTCTGGTGGATCGAAGATTATTTTCTGTTTATGTAGTAGTGAGAGATTCACTTCCGGTAGACGAGTGTCATCAAATCTCAATCGATTAGGGGTATAGGTTCTTAGTTCAGTTTTTCCAATTTGTACTTTGCAAATTGGGGAGGATTCGATAAGGTGGGATCCAAATAATGGAACAGTATTAATGTCGTCATTACATTGTACTGTTGCTATTATCTTCTTAGGTGTCACAATAATCCATTTTCCATTTTGGATTTTAAAAATTTTTATTTCTTGAAGTTGGATTTTAATTGGTTTACAGTTTGTTATATTAGTCTTGTGAGTTATTATTTCCACTGAACAAGGCGGGTGTTCCTTCATATAGGTAATATGTATATTTTTACACATGAACTCATTTTTTAATAGTTTTACGCATTCAGAGTCCATAAATGAGTACATATTTCCACTCAATGCAAGATATGGTTTGACCGGTATATTAACGTAATATTGCAGTTCTTGTTCACTATTAACTGGTAGCGGATACAACTGGTAATATTGATAAATTTCTGATTCTAGTAGCGGTAGTTCCAAAATAAATGTTATTATTAGTCCTCTAGAGTAGCTTTTTATTTCTATAATTTTTTCAAAATTTAATATATTTTCGATAGATAACTCGAACGGCAGTTGATTTTCTTTTAATTCTTTTTTTATGTTTTTAATTTCTTCGAATAGATCAGACGGATCAATTATCGAATTATGTAAAGTGTTTAATTTGGCAAAACTAATTGCGGTTTCAATTTTCTCAAAAATATTATATATTAAATTATACATAAAGGTAATTTGATTCATTACTACATGTATTTGGAAATACTCATAGTCATTCGTTTGTTCAATGGTTATCTTTTTAATTACTTGATCAATTTGTAATATTTTAGATTTAAGGATAAGTTGGTTATGAGAAATATTTGATATCGAATTTTTAAATGAGTTGATTGTTTTTTCTAACAGTTTTATTTGATTAATTGAATTGATTCTTAAATTATTTTGGTTTTCTTGCAGTTGTTTGATTTCTACATCGTATTTTTCCGCATCAGATTGGTCTAAGTTTCCAGTAATACATTTAATAATAGAACCGATTGGGTTTAATAAGCCTCTTTTACTTCTTATAGATAATGGATTGAGTTGACTAATTTGATTTTCAATGCGTTTTTCTAATGTTACAAGAGGGATGACTGAATTAGAATATTCGTGAAAATAATTAGTATTATTTTTAATCTGACTAATTAATATTTTTACTTGATTATAGATTACATAGAATTCAGCAACAGCTGGGTTTAAATCAAAAATTTGTATAAAGGAAAAATGGTTGGAGGTTATTTTTGCGGTACCTAGTTTATAAGGAAGGATTCCTGGATACTTGTTCAGGTTGTGGATTTTTACTTCGTTTGCTCCGATGTTTGTGAGCCATCTGGAACAATGTTCATTATTTTAGTCTCGTTAACGTGAGTTATTTCTTTTTTATTTGTTTTTGGGTTTTCTATTTCAATTTTATTGTTATCTAAAATTTTTGTTAATATGAATGGTCCAGAAAATTTTTTGTTTAATTTACTTTTTCGACTTTCGGTGCGCTTATACACTGTTGCGCCAATTTTTAGTTCTACTGGAGTTTTGTTTTTGTTAATTTTATCGATCGTTTTTTGTTTTTTTAAAAGGGAATCATTATGTACCTTTTCGTAAAGAAGCTTAGTATTTGTTTGATGGTTATTTACGTATTCACAATATATTTGAGAAGGAATTAGGTTCATAGGGTCACGTGTATCAGTGTGTCCTAGTGTTAATTCAAAAGGCGTAAAATTAGTATTTGAGTGTATAGTACTGTTATATGCAATGATCGCATAGGGCATAAGTGAAATAATATCGGAATTTTTATCTATTTCTTTCAATAGGCGTAAGTGTTCGATGAGGGTTGAGTGAAAACGTTCGATAGGTGAATTGGATTCGTGGTGACTCGGCGTTGTGAAATGGATTTTAATTTTATGTATTTTTAATAAAGAGTCTAGGACGTCATTTTTAAATTCTGTTCCGTTGTCAGAAACAATTTGTTTTGGTATTCCATAGAATGAAAAGAAATGTACTAATTGTTGACATGCTGAAATCGCAGTTCCAAAATAGGGCAATGCCTGTCCAAACTTAGAGAATTT